TGTTGAACATATTGGTCGTGCGCTCCAGCCTAGGGTCGACGCATGTGTCAAGTACTTTCTACCACTGTGTCTGCACCTTGTCCGATAATCAGATAAAAAATGTACACGTGGTTTTGTACGTGCTTGTATATTTGGATACCTACGTGCATATATACCTGGCGTGCAAAATATTGTGGCTATGTACGCGATGTAAACGTGGCTATGTACGTGCCTGTATACGTGGCTATGTACGTAATGTAAACATGGCTATGTACGTGATGTATACGTGGCTATGTATGTAATGTAAACGTGGCTATGTATGTGATGTATACGTGGCTATGTATGTAATGTAAACGTGGCTATGTATGTAATGTATACGTGGCCATGTACGTGATGTATACGATGCTATGTACGTGATGTATACGTGGCCATGTACGTGATGTATACGTGGCTATGTATGTGATGTAAACGTGGCTATGTACGTGATGTATACGTGGCCATGTACGTGATGTATACGATGCTTTGTACGTGATGTATTCGTGGCCGTGTACGTGATGTATACGCGTTCAATGGTTTGTCTGAGCAAGGCTCCGTTATTTCCAGGCTCCCGTGATAAAGCTGGTATAGTGTAAAACAAAACGTGTGCGAGTACGTGCCCGCTTAGTTCTACACTATAACACTTGCCATGGATAACACCATAACAACGACAGAGTGGCACGGTATGCAAGGTTTAACGCGTGCCTTAGCATACCTTTGTCGCTACCATGCAGTACTGTTATGAAATATTCGGATTATAAAATCAATGAAAGTTATAATATAACGTGAAGGCTCAGCTGTGTTTGGAGACTTGAATCTTACACAAACAAAATTCTCTTTATTGGCAAATCCATGTAATTCAAGACATTGCAAACATCAGCTGTAAAGTTTGCTCTGAACACTTGGAAATGTTGAGGCACAATGATATTTTCATATGCGAAGTTCAATGTTTTATTAATTATTTACTCACTTATCTTATATGTCTAAGTCTGAAAATCACTGTCAATCAGGCAGACTGAAAGTATATAAGTATATAGCAAAAAGTGTTATTTTCACCAGTGTGAAATAACGATTTAATATTTCAGTTAAATATATTATTTCATCTCTAAATAAATAATAAAGCATATTTCACGCTTTTCGCGGGTATGCCAGCATAGTTACTTAGTCAGACGTTTGGGTTAACGACGTTTGGGTTAACGACCATTTAAATCGAGGACACTCACTTTATATTTCTGTCAAACATTTGCTTTAATAGTTAGTAAAACTGGGCAAGCATTTCTCTTTACTCTACGACTACACTAAATTTTAAATATTTCAAAAAATATTTAAATTATAGTTTTATTTCGACCAATGCTCCTTTAAGTTTTTAAAAGAAATTGCAGAGACCATATATCGGTATATACCACCACGCCATATATCGGTATCTATACCACGCCATATATCGGTATATACCACTCCGCCATATATCGGTATAAACCACCCCGCCATATATCGGTATATACCACTCCGCCATATATCGGTATAAACCACCCCGCCATATATCGGTATAAACCACCCCACCATATATCGGTATATACCACCCCGGCATATATCGGTATATACCACCCCGCCTGGGTGAGGAATGTTAAAGTGACGCAGAGCAAGACCATATCTACCCATCCATGTATGATTGCTGCAGACTGGCCTATTAAGATTAGAGAGAAATGCAATTATACAATTCATTTTCTTATGACTGGGCTGCTTATTTAAATATGTAAGAATGCAGAAATGACCTTGATATTTTATAATTTGCATACAGTGAAAATGGTCAGGTTTGATGCCTGGCACAAAATAATTCTGGAAATATTTAAATATGTTTACGCTTACAAGCATTTAAACATTTGGAGATGTTATAGGTGATCGTTTAAACATGTTTATTTACAGCAATATATAAACTGATTCATTTTGGTGTTTTCAATAAATATAACAATACCACAAAATGTTTCATGATTTATTTGTATTTATCTACTTGTGTTATCTGTGAACACAACTTGCAGCGTGGCAAGCCAAAAAACAGCACTGTCTATAATACACTTACTGAAGCGCTCGTTAAATCTTCCAACATCGATCGGCGGGGCGTCTGTTGGCGCCAGCTGGCCTCAAGTTGTGCGTGTTGCGAATTGAACTCATTTATGATATATCCGGTATATAAAAGATGTGTCATCGGTCTCTTATGACATTAAACAAAATTTGTTAGAAAAATAAAAATCACTTTGTCGAGAATCAAGATCAAGAGAAATATACCTTGATCTAGAATCTAGATCTCGACCGTGGGAGGCATCGTGACATATCTTTAGCGCAGTAATAACCAAAAGCCTGATGTTACTTTATATTAGGGGACACTCGTATGTTCAAATATCGAACTGATTACCACAGTATGGCAACTAAACGAAGTAATTTCATGCACAGGCAAACCAACAATCAAATTTTCATGATTTGGCGGGAATCTGCACCCCTCCTAATTTGGACTTTGAAATCGCATAGATTGGAGAATAACAAATACGACAAAACATATACAGTTGTTTACTAGCTACATTGAACGAAATATGTGACGCAAGGAATGTCTGAGTTTAACACTGGGACACGAAATCTCGGCTGACACGAACAGACCAAATCGGAAACGTCGTGCCTGTGCCACTCCATGTTTCAAAGTGAGGCTACAAGGTCACTGTGACCCCACCAGTTATAAATAGATTGAATTTCCTCTCACGGGCAGGCAAGCCTCGGTGGCCAAGTGGTAAGGCGTCGGTCTCGTAAACCGAAGATCCAGGGTTCGATCCCCTGTCGGGGCTATTTTTGAAAGAGGGTTTTTATTTTCATGCAAAGTCCGCAGCTCACGTATTCTTTCATCAAAACAGGAAATTTATTTCCCTCCAAATGTAACGGGGGCTATTTAAGCATGTGCATATGTGAAAAACCCAGACCTGGTGTTAATCACAGGTGATAGAAGAACCATTGAAAAATTAGAATAAAAATTACATATGAAAAAAAGAAATATTGAAACAATAATTAAATAATTGATTAATTGAAAATAATTTATCCATATAAATAATGAATATATTTTATAATTTTATTTTCAAATTGTGAAATTTGACGAACGATTCTGTGTTTATAGAGTGACTAGCATCCATAATTGTGTGCTGTTTTTCAGTGTATGTCTTGTATTATTGTCAGGTTCAATATTTTGAGTTGGATTCAAACAAACCTCCGCAGGTGTTTAAATTTGGATGATGTGATTCCAATAAAATTACCAAAGACTGCCAACTGGCTTCTTTAGTCCCCCTTGAAGTAACAAATACATGCACACATATTCTCATTCTAAGCATTGCAGTTTAACTCTGCACTCAGCAATATTCCAGCTAAATGACGCTGGCCTGTAAACAATCATGTCTGGACCAGACAATCCAGTGACTGGTATTATGAGCACTGATCCACACTAGGGCTGGGACAGGTAACTCAGGTACTCGGGTCGGGAGGGTACTGAGGACCTGGATACCCACAGGATTACCCGGACCCGTGGTTTGTCAAGTGATATATTGTTTAATCACAAAAACTATCTAGATCTCTATGGTTGCACAACATGTTACTAATGTTTGCAGTTCTTTCTGACAATGCACCCATTCCTTCTGACTGTGATAGTTTTGAATAAAGATAAAACTTCAGTTAATGTATGCATGATCAGATCGTTTTATATGTGTATCTAAATACATTTTGCCAGGGCTATGGTCAAACTATTCCCAATAAGACATTTTGTGCCCAACTCTTGAGACCAACAGCAGGTACCCGGGTAGGGTCAGGTAATAGGGGGTATGTACCCGGGTAGTAAATTTGGACTCGTCCCAGCCCTAATCCACACCATCGGGGAACAATGACACGCATTTATCCTGTTAACTAAGCCTGACCTAATTAGTCATCTCTTAATTATGACAAGGTTTACGATAGGTTAATACTTGGGATCCAATTCTAACCCAGAATCAAATTGCTAGTCATGTTGTTATGTGGAAAGTGTATGTTGGTTGGGTGGTTGGTTGGTTTGTTGAATATTAATGCCACACTCAGCAATATTCCAGCTTTATGACAGTGGTCTGTGAATAATCCAGCCTGGACCAGACAATCCAGTGATTAATATCATGAGCATCGATCCAAGCATTTAGAAACGATGACATGCATCAACCAAGTCAGCGAGCCTGACTACCTGATCCCGATAGTCGCCTCTTACGGCAAGCATCGGTTGCTGAAGACCTGTTCTACCCCGAATCTTCAAGGTCGAGAGTGTATGTCATCATTTATAATGTATTACTTATCAGTGATCCAGGGTTTTATTTGTTAAACATGACAACTATTGTTTGAGGATATGGTGTTTGGGGGTTTGTTGAGACAAGTACCTGTTACAGGTGTTGAACCTGTCAAAATATGTTCCATTTTGATTATGACGTCATCATTGTATTTACAACATGTTAAATTGTCAACATTTTATTTCGCAGGGAGTGTTGAACCTCTCAAAATGGTTGAACTGGTCTGTTTTTGTTAGGAGTATTTTTGGTGCTATTTGGTACCCCTATAAACAAAAATATTGATCATTGACCAACACAGACCTGTTACCCAATACCACCAACCCCCAGCAGGACATGACTGCACCCATGAATATCCGGGGTAGAATAGGTCTTCAGTAACCCATGCTTGCCATATTAGGCAACTATGCTTGTCGTAAGAGGCAACTATGGGGATCGGGTGGTCAGGCTTGCTGGCTTGGTTGATGCATGTCATCATATCCCAACTGGGTGCTCATGATGTCAATCACTGAATTGTCTGGTCCAGATTCGATTATTTACAGACCATCGCATACAGCTGGAATATCGCTGAGTGGGGCGTTAAACAACAAACAAAGAAACATTTACACTGACGGCATCTGTGGATCAGGAAATCCATAAATACAAAAACAAGTCTTTAAGAAAATCACTTTATTCCTCCTCCTATTCTTGAAAAATTACATCTCAGCAAAATCAATCGACATTCACTCATGTTTGTCAAATTATCACTCAAATGGCTAAAGTAAAGTATCCAGTTGTATCCAAGTATCCCAAAAACAAAGATGGAGTCATTCTTCATGAATATCCTGCACAAAACATGTTTCATTACTTAAAACCAAAGACCTGACACACAATAATATGTCCACTTGATCAAACATAAACATGATAAATACACATCTTAAAAAACATAGTTGACATGAAATTATTCTTATGTTAACAATAACTTATTCTTTGTTGCCATGGCAATACAAATGCATTTCACAGGTTCTCAAAACATTTTCTTCATTACAATGTTAAGATTTCTTCACAGAAAAGCTGGTAGCAGATGCCTGACAGTTAATAAACACAAGTCCTATAATCTCCAAATCACACAAATCACTTGTCATCACTGTTTTTTATTCAAAATAAACAAAATAATGTAATTAAATATATCTATATATCACATATATATCATGAATATATATCGAACATAACTGTGCTGATTACCAAGTCAGATGCATTCTGATATTGGAATATAGGAAAAAAGAAATGTTAGACTATTGACAAACAAAATATTTGAGAGAAAAAATAACAGTACATAACAAAAATCAACAATAACAAATTGGATAGTGCGCTTTCATGTGCATTACCATGATCATATCTTTGACCAGCAGTCTCTATTTCCAAATATCATTTTCTTGGAAAACTCTTGATCTGATAAAAACAATGCTACACCTACCATAAGCAATCAGTAAATTTAAGTTCAACAAAATAGGCAAGAAAACATCTCCAATAAAACATCAGTGTTAAAACTTTCTTCTCCAGTATTTTAATCTACAAGGCGCCCAAAGTTTGTATTTCTCACCTCTTGTTTTATGGACAGGAGCCTGCTGACTTTATGGCTAACTTAAACACTGAACACTCATAATGGGTTAACACTTGGCCCTTGTGGACCAGGCCTTGTCACTAAAAGTCTTAGCACTGAGTTGATTACTACTCCCATTCTCTAACACAGACTTACGACAGTCGTAGTGCTAAAACCGTTTTGTAGAACAGGGCCAAGGCTTCTTATGTTTACTTAGCTAACAGAGTATAGAGGATAAACAATTGTATTATGAGGTTCACTCTAAAAGAGCAGCATATATTCAGTCATTTGGCTTTGGAAAAAAGAAAATTATTCAGAAAATAACCAACTATTTGTGCTAGCACAATGTAGAAAGTCATTTGCTCTGCAGTGCTTGGCATATTATTGTGTCAGGTGGGGCTGACACTACCACTCAAAGAAGTTCAAGAATGCCTGATTCTTTCAAATAATATAGTTAATCAGTCATGGCATGACCCTATTCTTGGATATGCCATGACACATTAACTACAGTAATATGAAAGAATCGGGTCTTCTTTACCTTTTCATTTGTACGGGTATATCACTATCAGTGTATTAAAAAAACCAGCATAAATTTATTCAAACAGGAGGCAATAACTGATCAAGAGAACAATGATCGTGGATCTAAACTTGTTAATTTTCATTCTCTGCAATACGAGATGTATCAGGATCAAATATATAATGCATAACAAAGTCCATGTCTAACATACCATTGTTCAGTGTCAGACACATCAGCTGTGCAGGTTATGACTGGGACACACATCCAATGCTGCTCATATGGTAAATATGCCTTGTGGAAGCTCTTCATGATATTGGCAATGGACAAAAAGAGCTTTCAAAGCAGTTCCAGATTAATACATTTTGATTCCAGGGGTGTTACATCAGTATGCCCGAATTGAAAATAGTGAGTTTGGTTTAACGCCGCTTTTAACAGTATTCCAGTTATATCACGGTGTGTCAGCTTAATGTGGGAGGAAAGCCTGCAGTGATGCAGGTCTCAGACGTTTACCACTTCGGTGAAACCCACGAGCATGGGTATGGTGCCGACAAACCTGCGAACCTGCGAACCCACTATTAAAGGTTTCTGGCGGGCCCCATGGACGCAACTCTGCACCGCGAATCGCGGCGCCTGAGACGACTGGGCCACATGTGCCCCCCTTTGATTTTTTAAACGGGCCCAGGTCGTTAACCCCAATATCATATCAGTGATCTCTAGCAGCACAGGTGCAGGTTGGCCATTGGGTAACCATGGTAACCAATAATCATTATAACATATCCAGTGTCACACATATCAATAATAAAGTTAATCACCAATTATGTACATTCATGAAGCTCATGTACTCGACAACATAATAACTGTACACATTATACTGTATACATGCCGCACTCAATTCAAAGTAACCTACATTAAAGCAAAAATATAAAGCAAGCCACTCAATGACTCATTCATAAGCTAAAAAAATATGGCTATACCAGTTGCTATTTTAGGCACTTTGTTTGTGAGGGGATTAAGCTAATATGCTCCAGCACTAACAGAAATTCCACTCAAATAAAAATTGTGCACCATTATTCAAATGGTTACCATGGAAATAAATAAAATGCTATTACTACACAAATATATGCCTTGTTAATTGGAAAAATTAAATAAAAAATATGCCATGATATACAAATTATGTCTTCAAACAATGTCCCTGCCATGAAACGTTTCCTGAACTGCAAAGTCATGGAAGTGGTTTGAAGATATTATGCGGAGATGGGCCTCTAGCATCGACCATTTTATATTCTTGGCGCGGGTGTAGGGTGAGAAATAAAAGGGGAGAAAAAAGTGCTGCAAATTTTACAAAAGAACTTGTTTCCCACACATGAATGTCCTGAAAAAAACAGTTGTGAAAAAAATTGTTTGGCACCTTACGGAGAAAAAACAATCAGTGACTAAAAAACATTCCGTTTCAAACAAAAATCCAAACTCACCCTTTCCCTAGAATATAAAATAATCGTCCACTTAAAGACACAATTACTTTGTTTGTTTGTTGTTTAACGCCGCACTCAGCAATATTTCAGCTATATGACGGTGGTCTGTATATAATCGAGTCTGAACCAGACAATCCAGTGACTGACATCATGAGCATCGATCCACGCAATTAGGATACAAAGACATGCATCAAACAAGTCAGCGAGCCTGACCACCCGATCCCGTTAGACGCCTCTTACAGGACCCCACCACTATAGTGCAGATATATTACTATGTACTAGTAATGAATAGCAACCCTCTTAAAGTGTTTTTCCATTTTTGGGTGATTTACTTCAAGGATGCAATATTTGCCAAAGTAGTTCATGAAATTCACACCAATATTTGTTTTGATGATCGTCCAAATCCCTATGATGGCCAGTCCTCTCCCACAGCCCTGTTATGTATTGGGCAACTCTCCTGGGTCATACTCCTTAAGTCAGGTCTACACTCCAAGAAGAGATCTTAGGGTACGAGCGAGTGAGTGAGTGAGTATGGTTTTACGCCGCTTTTAGCAATATTCCAGCAATAGCACGGCGGGGGACACCAGAAATGGGCTTCACACATTGTACCCATGTCGGGAATCGAACCCAGGTCTTCAGCGTGATGAGCGAACACTATAACCACTAGGCTACGCGACCGCCCCTCTTAGGGTATGAAGTAACGACAATTGAAGCACTAAGATAGACATACAACAGCTTTAGTGCCAAGCTTGTTCCAGGCAAATGGGCTGATGTGCTGGTTCAATGGCAGTATCAAATACTATTTGTACGACAACATCTCAAAGCAGACAGTTACATACAGTCCCCAACTGGACAAGATGAATATCCCTATCAAGATTTGAGTAGCATAACCTCAACAACACTTGATACAGATGATTATTTCATTCTCTGGATGGATTGTTTGATTCATGCAGAAATATGGTAAGTCTGAGAGTGAAAACAATTACACCAGAACCGTCAGGGAAACTGGAATGTAGCTGAAGGGCGAGATCCCACCCAGACAAATACAATGAATGTAACACACACTGAAGCAAGGTTGTAGATTATTCTAGTAATTCAGCAATTTCAGTTCCAAATAGGGCTGGCTAAAAAGATCGATAACTGGAAGTATCGTCATGAGAACGAAAATCGATATGAAAATTGTGTCATCGATAATATCTCACATAAAAAATTGTGATGAAATAAAGTTTAAATTTACCAGAACAGACTTGTTATTATCAATCAAGTCAATTGCCAAAGAAGGAAAGCAACTGTTTTTGCTCTAACATTTATGTCCAAGAGTAATCCATGCATAGATATGTCATAAGTGTGTTGATTTCTTTCAGATTTTTGCATATTTGCTTAAAGTTACTTCTCCTATATATATCAATAATTGATCGATATTTAGTTGACGATTATTGATCTCCATGATCCGTAATGATCGCTAGCCCTAGCTACAAATAGTCAGATTTATTGTTTTTCTTTAATTTGGGGATAATTAATTCCAACCAATCCAGAACAGCATAACAAGGTGGGTAGAGTTGGCAGGATCACAAGCCCCAGAAGCAGGTGACAGTAATACTACCCTTCTTTTGTTGGGAAAATGTAAATAATGTACCTCCATGCCAATCCAAACACATTGCAATTACCAATTATGTGCTTCTCTGCTACTAGGCTTAAAGTGAGTTAAGTTTGGATCAACTTAAATTAAACATATTCACTAAGGTTGTTTGGCAATGGAATACACTGGACAATTTGAAAAGAAAATCTACATTTTCAGAGTTTCTTTGAAAGGGTCAGGCATGCATGTTAGGCTCAGAGGTCTTTGTTGCATCTAAGTCGGTATTGTCAGGAGCAAAATCATCAATTTGTGAACAAAACCTGAATCTCATTAATCAGGGATTAATTAGAGATGTGAACAAATCCTACATACCTTCTTATTGCTTATTTCCTTCATAACCTGATCGATTTGGATGTCAGCCAAATCATCCAGATTAGCATTAGTGGGTGGGTGTTGGGTCATCGCTGATTGTAACAGTATTTCAGTTATATCACAGCAGGTAAGCTTAATGTGGGAGGAAAGCCCTAAGTGAGAAAAGATGCATGTTGTCGACTTTTACCACTTTGATGAAACCGTGAGCGCAGAACAAGGATCATAACAATGTGGGATTCAAATGAGCAGCAGGTCCTGGTGGGGCTAAGGGATGCAACTCTGCACAGCAAATTGCAGTGCGGAGACCATTGCATCCCTGTCCAGGTGACCAATGTGTTGTAGAGAAGGCTCAAGAGGACAATGGCCTGTGTCAGACAGGTTAGACTGATTCAAGCTGGGAAAGAACTGCTCAAATACCAGACTTGGTATGGATCAAGACAATATACAGCATAACACACAGAATGAGATAAAATATGTGAGACAAGAAAGGCATTCGAATTATTACACCAGACCAATGTCAATGTCGAACCCAGCAGTAATGAAGTGGATTTCGCATTCATTATTTGCATCAAGTGATTTACTGCCAGGCTCCGGACCTCAAAATTTGATTACTTGTTATTACCATACACCCACAATTGGGTGTAACTGTGGCTTGATCATTGAAGTGAAGACAGTGACGGATCTGAAGGTGGTGATGTGTCGCATGACGGATCCCTGCTTGGAGTTGGCAAACTCCACACAGAAAGGAATGCTCTTTGACAGGTCCATTATGCCATGACAGTGAAACAGTTTCTTTGTTGCCAGCAAGTTTACCCGAATAAGCGAACCAAGAAAAGATTATGAGTTTGTCATGGGTCGAAATGGACAGTCAATGTTCTCAGGTGATAACAGAAAGGTGAACGAAAGGAAGAGTATCACAAGATGCTTTAGTGGTTGCTAGTCTAACTCCCAGATTTGGGTCGTCATAAAGACGTTGTGCGAGAGGTGGGGGTTTTCGGTAACACAGTGTCCATGCACTTCTGAGCTTCCTGTTTCAGGTCCTGAGCTTCTGTCTTGATCCTCCCAATCACCCACTCCATAGCTTGTCGTCCCTGGCAACAGATGAAAGAAACTTACTAGATGACAAACATCAAATGGAGAAAATTAAACCACTCAGCAAAACGTTTTTCACTGTTTCATCAGTTTATTGTTTTAACGCCACACCCAGCAATATTCCAGCTGTATGACGGCAACCTGTAAATAATCATGTCTGGACCAGACAATCCACTGATTAGTATTGTGAGCAACAATCCACGCAATCAGAGTACAGTGACATGCAATAAAACAAATCACCAAGCCTGACTACCCAATCTATTTAGTCATCGATTACAACCAGCATAGGTTGATAGGGACTTATTCTAATCCCCCCCAGTGCAATCGTACCAACCAGACAAACCAGTCACTGAGAGCTGGTTTGGATAACAGTAGTGACAACACTTCCTGTGACGCACTCAGCAACGATGGCAGTCGGTAAAGAATCAAGTCTGGACCAGACAATCCAGTGATTGACATCATGAGCATTGATCCACGCAATTGGGATACAATGACATGAACAACCAAATCGGCGAGCCTGACCAAACAATCCTGTTAGTCGCCTCTTACGACAAGCATAGTCACCTTTAACGGTTTCATGTATGCGCATGATGCACCTAGTTATTAATTCATGTGACAACTGACACCATAGGACTGCTTCTATTAAAGTGTAAGTAACGAGGATCTGATTATTGGGGTATTGTCCTAGACAGATGATAGAAGTCTTGCATACCTTTCCTGCATTGTTGGATATAGAGTCTGTCATGACTGTCTCGAGGTAGCTGCCCAGAGGGACTCCCTTCACCGTAACAACCGCCTCCTGGTGCAGTGTGGTCCTGGAAGTTACACAGGGTTAAGATGCAGTCTGGGAGTGAGTTGGCTTTAATATCATTTCAGTTATATCACAGTGTCTCAGCTTGATGTGGGAGGAAAGCCGGAAGTGATGGATGTGTTAGACATTTACCAGTCCGATGAAACCCTCGTATGGGCATGGGGTTGACAAACCAAGATAAATAATCATGAAAAAAAACAGGATTCAAACCAACAATCATAGGTTCTGGTTCAGCCAAGGGATGCAGTACCTTAGACAGAGTCAGCTATGCCCCCAGACATTTTTAGAAATAAAAAAAAAAATTCAAATGCCCTGCTGGCTATCCAACAAATTAAGGAACTATTAACTGAATAAAGAAAACCAAATATAAAAGGCATAAGGTCCATTTTAGCAATGATGATTTGCAATCGAACACAACAAAAAACAATAATCTTTAACTGCAACAATTATCATGAAATTGTCAAACAAGATCTAATCAGCTAGTCTGGATGGATCAGCGTTAAGTTAAGCATGTGTGTTCGTTTGATGTTTAACAGAAATGGGTTTCACAGAATGTACCCATGTTGGGAATGAACCCCATCCTTCTGAGTGTTTGTTTGTTTATAGTTTAATGCCACACTCAGCAATATTCCAGCTACATGATGGAGGTCGGGAAACAACCAAGTCTTGACCAGGCAATCCAGAGATTGACATCATGAGCATCAATCAATGCAACTCTGGTATACAAAGACATGTATCAACCACATCAGTGAGCCTGACCTTGTTAACTACCTCTTACAACATGTACAACAAGAATGGGTTGCTGAAAACCAATTCTTAGCATGTGACACATTATCTTACCTGGTGCGGTCCTCAGGGTGTGGCACATAGGACAGGTACTCATCCACGGTCACCACGTTGCAGAACGTCAACTGTAACATCACATATTGTCAATACAGCTAGTGAAACAAGTCAGTGTATAACTCACAGAAGTCAAACGAGCCCTGCTCTGTTCATAAACTTTGTGTGAACCCTATCACTGTCTGACACTGAATCAATGTGTAGAGTGAGTGATTGAGTTGGGTTTAACGCCGCTTTTAACAGTATTCCATTTATATCACGGTGTGTCAGCTTAATGTGGGAGGAAAGCCCGAAGTGATGAGGGTCTCAGACGTTTACCACTTCGGTGAAACCCACGAGCATGAGCATGGATATGAAGGAGCAGAGGATGAAGTCACTGTTGCTGCTCAAACACTAAATTATGAGGTTGAAGCTTTATATGTAAAACATAACCGGGGTGAACAAGGAGTGGAACCCACAATCATGGGTTTCTGGCGTGCCCTAAGGACGCAACTCTGCACAGCGAATTGCAGCGCCTTAGACGACTGGGCCACCCGTGCCCTCAATGTGTAGAGAATGATGTCAGGGGAGAAAAACTGCTGTTTGGACGATGTAACCTGAGTGCTCATTATTTGGAGTACTGAAACCAGGCTGTTGTTTGATTCATTGGTTGAAATAATGACTACATGCCAAAGAGGCCATATGAACTCAAGGGTGATGGGGAACAGTGCATACAGACCTATGAAGTATTGACGATGACCACGACACAACTAACTGTTCATAAAGCTAATGTCATCTGGAAATTTACCTACATAGCCTAGTCAGGATTCACACTAGGAATTTTCTGACATGGTCCCTTTATGTGAAAATTTCATCTATTCCAGAGGTACACCCACACTTGCCCATACAGCAGAATGTTGAAATGCCCCATTGTATTTGAAAATGTGGGCCTTTTTTCAAATTTAAGAGCTTAAAGCACAAGGCCCCACCCTAGAATTATCCCTGCCGAGTGGTTCCAGTTGTGGTCCCTGGCACAACAAAAGGGTTCATATGCTTAAAGACAGTCTATCACTTTAAGTCTTACACCATGTACACGAGGATCAACTCACAGCTGCCATGCATATCTGGCTCAATCTAATAACCAGTTTGAATAACCATGGAAGTTGTATGATACATGTTAAAGAAGCCTCTGGTTATCAATTTTCAACTATTCATTGATGAAAACTTATCTTCTGATGTATAAAGTATGTGAACTGCTTAGTTTTACTATTTATGATGTTTTTATGACAATCAATTTCTGAAAGGACTCAAGGAATATTTTCCTGGAAATCATCAAAACTCACGGCTAGAAAAACCTTCAATATACAGTATCATCAGGAACTAACCGTTTTAGTCCACTAGTCCTTATAAAGATAACATACAGCAAAACCCTTAAAAAACTATTGGGCAGTTTGGCAATGACTACAGGAGTAGTGCCAATTTCTAAGCCACACATCGGTCAATTTTCCACAATGCCTTTTTGACATAACTTTAAGACTAATATTGACAAAAACGCTTCTGAATCAGAATTTGGAGTCCGACTCCAGGCAACTGATGACCAGTAACCATGGTAACACTACTCACATTCCTTGTCCTCATGGTGAGTGTCCTGTTGGATGTGTCCACTTCCGAGTGCTCACTGGCGTAGCACACTTGGTCCATGCCGACAATCTGCAGGCAACAAAACATCAGTTCAAACTCAAACTTGCAGCATGGTTAGTAAGCCCCATTCCAGCTATATCATGATGGCCATTAAGAATCAATTCTGAGCCAGACAACCAGGGAAGCAGGAAATGCATGTTACGGCTGGCACTGGGACAATATTGCCCTCGAAACCCTCGGGGGTAAACACTGTTAAACATGTTAAAGACACCAAAATCGGGTATCTGGTAGGATGGGATGGTAATGTAAGAGTTTATCTTCTATTTAAAGGTGAAACAATACCATAGGGCAGGACACAATACGTATCCCGATGCTATGGGTGTGACACAATTTGCATCCCAATACAGTACTTTCTTTCTGTTTGCAGGTGAATCACATCCCTGAATCATATGCTTTAAATTTTTGATTGAAGATGGCATATTAAACAGCAGAAACATATAGGCTTGAGGCCATTGTCAATGTTTGTTTGTTGCTCTACGCTGAACTCAGCATTATTCCAGCTATATGACGGCAGTCTGTAAATAATCAAGTCTGGAACAGACAATCCAGTGAATGATATCATGAGCATTGACCCACAAAATTGAGATACGGTGACGTGCATCAACCAAGTCAGCGAGCCTGACCACCCAATACAGTTAGTCGTCTCTTACAACAAGCATAGTCGCCTCTTACGGCAGGCGTGGGTTGCTGAAGACCTTTAGCCAACTGGGAAATACGAGAGAGTCTGTGTAAGCTGGTTGTTGAACAGTTCCAGCTGTTCTTCATGTTTTTTACACTTGTAATGTAAGGAGTTGCGATTCAGAGTTGCAAATCGACATATGCTATCATGAACATGATGAACTTGCCGTATCGTTACAATACTACTACTATTGCCTCATTAGGCCCCTGGGACCAGGGTTCAGCTGAAGAGAGAGAGAGATACCTACTTTTGTAACCCATGCTGACAGCCCCCACGATGTACTAAGTAGCCTGTGACTCTTGAGCTTCCCATCCGGCGTAACCTGCCTCTCTACCACATCAATTCCCTGCACACTCGGGTTCATGGGGTTGGGGTACTTCCGCCATGCTGCTTTCACCACAGTCTCCCACGGGTGGCTGCAATATCAGGAATCATCATCAATCTCATTTTCTATATATATTACATTTTAACAGTTTCTTCTATGCATAATATAGTACATCAACATGTCTAAACACCTTACACTGAACCTCGGGATCAGGCGTGCAAAAATCAAAAAGAAAATTCTGAAGCTTACTGATACATCTTTTGCTGAGCACACCTTTTGCTGAGCACACCATGACTCAAGGGTTATTTGTGAACAAACTTAAAACCAATGTTGGGTTGGGCCGGTTTTCCAAGTTGCCTTTATAATAATATATGATTACAGCTTCAGTTTTATGTTGATTAACACCGCACTCAGCAATATTCCAGCTATATGACGGCGGTCTGTAAATAATCGAGGCTGGACCAGACAATCCAGTGATTGATAACATGAGCATCCATCCACACAATTGGGACGCAATGACATGCATCAACCAGGTCAACGAGCCTGACCACTCAATCCCATTTGTCGCCTCTTACGACAAGCATAGTTGCCTGTTAAGACAAGCATGGGTTGCTGAAGACCTATTCTAACCCTGATCTTCACGGGTAGGTTTTCCAAGTTGCCTTTTTAATAATCTATGATTACAGTGAGGGAGTGAGTTGGGTTTAACAGTATTCCAGTTATATCACGGCGTGTTGTTATATGCCAGGAGGTCATAAAGACTAATAATTAGTCCAACACCATTTTACTTCATATGCCATAAAATACAAACTGTATGTGAATCATGTGCATGACAGGATTTACTTGTCACTTAGTAACCAAACAGTGTAACCATAGCAACAGAAACACCCTACAGGTGTCTTTATTGTAATACATAACAGGACATGAGAAGGGATTAACTTCTTTATCAACATGATCAAGACGAACATCTGCAGCAATGATGTAGCAGTGTCTCAGTTGGAGGCCAGGATGTGTGATATCTATATAACAATCTGACGACTAGACACCCCTCCTGGAGAACAACGGGGCACCTCTCCTGGAGAACAATGACCTTTATCTACATCATCAGGCCTCAAATTTGCAACTAAAACGGTAGCCAATGCGACCTAAATTTCAATTTGTCTACCGTCTAAAATTCAGAGGTAGCCAAATGGCTACCTTGAAATATATCTTGTGGCGACTAAATTCTATTGCTACACATATGTAGACACAAAAATAAATAACAGCTGATCTTTGAAAAAAACATCTGCTAATAATTGTACTCGCAAATAATTCCTCCTAAAGTCGACAGTGAAAAGAAATACAGAAATATTAATGTAATTAGCATGATTAGTATTTTATTTCAGTTGACAATGCTTAATGGATAAACAAGGATATACCTACATAATCTAGTAACATAAATTGTATCATTGTTTCAAGTCATAAGTAACACAGTTTCCACTAATAATACCAAAACTAGTGCTATGACTATCATATTATAATCATTGATAATAGGTATTTGATGAAAGATAATTTCAAATGCTTTTGGCTACCTACAATATTGGCTTGACTTCTTGATTTTACCACTGGCTACCTGTAAAAAAATACTTGTAACCATATGGCCACTTGGTAAAATTTAAACTTTGAGGCCTGATCATATTGCCCTTCATCCCAGAAACATGATAAAAGCCACAGAGAGAAAACACTTCAGCAAAGCCTTGAATCTACTTGTGTTGACATATATATGTATATTAATGTTGCTATATAATAACCACAATAATTATTGTTTGTGGCTTATGTAGATCTGTCAGGACACCTACAGAGTGAACTCTTGACTGTGTGTTTTGTATATGCTTCACCAACTGAAGCATGATAGTCTAACAATAGCCTTCCTCATTGATTTACAACACTGATCCTGTTGATCAGCAGTGACAGATTATCCAGAAATAACCTGGTTTGTAGTGTATAAACTGTTCACTGTGACCACCACCAAGCATTGTCAATCACTGTTAAGCTTCTTTCTACATGTTCTAAGGAAGCATTTGTTGTTGGTGTGTGTGTGTGTGTGTGTGTGTGTGTGTGTGTGTGTGTGTGTGTGTGTGTGTGTGTGTGTGTGTGTGTGTTATATATGCTAATAACGAACTACGGTCATAACGAACTAAAATTAGCTGTCCCTATAGTTCATTAAAACATAGTTTACTGTAATAATATGTTCAACCAATGCAAACAAACTATTCATCCTGTGTATAATTCTAAACAATCTATACATTTTAACCACCTCCCCGACATCATATGGACACTCCTAGCATGCAATGACTAACAACTACATGTAGAAACACCAAATCTTGCTTTCCACTGTTGCCCCATGACCAACAGGACCAAGAGCCAAGCTTACCATTAGAACAGGCAGAGTAATTAATAGCTTTAGTCAGCATGGTTAGTGGTGCCTTCTTATATATGCTTATTCTACACATGTTCTAATTCTAGCCAGTTCTTTCACTAGTATAAACAGCGGCTGTTCTCCATGAACATGCTGAATGTCACATGAGGACAGCGTAACTTAATTTGCAAGGTCATTGACTGATGGCACATTTACAATGTTAGCCTATTTAACAGTAAGTCCCAACAAATCTTGGGTTAGCATGGCCAGTCAAAGAAACATTTCATGACTGACAAATTCAAAATATCTGTTATACAAATGTCATATGATAGACATTTTTCTTTTTCAATTTCATGGCCTCTCATAACATGCAATAGCGCTTAGCATCTCACATCTTCAAGGCAAGAGCGTCCACTAGCCTTTTTATCAAAGTCTTGTTTCCAAAGTCAAAACAGAGAACGTTTCACAAAATCAACATCCAAGACTGGTACACCTTCGTATGAAAGTGATTTACTCCTGCCTATCTGGGTTGACACCAATATGTTTTATCATCTTTTGTAAGGGGTGAAATCACGAATGTTTTCGTTATCTGATCGAGGAGAAAACACATTAATATTTATGTATTTCAGTTCATTGTCGACTTAAGGAAGAATAATTATAGATAAGGCATGTTTACCACCATCAGTTGTTCATTTCGTTGGCATGCGGGAAACGAACAAACAAACAGGTCTTCGACAATGTCTGTTAAGATCATAACTTAATATATTCAAAGCGATGACATGAAATAGCGACAGATGTAAATGTTACAGTTTGTTGGCAAAAAATATATAATTTACATTCCAGTGCTTTCGTCAATTTCACTGTCTTGTAGTGTCTGAAGTGTGTACTGTATCAAAGACCGGGTGTCTGACCATATCAAATGAAGTCTTATTAATGTGGACGTTTATTAATTAGAAGTGACAGTTCATTATACAATGATTTTTTGCTCCAGGTTCACCCTTTTGTGTGATTAGCAACAATTAAGTCATTTGTTTTCTGCAGAAGGCGGCGTGTTTGCCATGTGCAGCAGCCAGAAAATGTTTACGAGTAACCTGAAGTTAAAAAGATTGTTGACATTCACAATGTTTAAGAGTTACATTTGAATGATTAAGTCATAGTTTTCAATAAATATCTACAAATCTGGAAGCAAACATATTGTAAAATTTGTAATTCATGAACTTTGGCCATTCTTGCAAGAGTGTATACGTTCAAGAAAACCAGTGATGTCTTATCTAAAGTCTAGGCAAATCTCATCTAAAATATGATCGTTTGTGATCTGAAATTTGTATATTGTTATGGAGAAAGAGTTGTATGTACCTTCATTTTGGCATTCCAAAATCGAAATTTACTTGTGTTTTGAAACTTTAACCGTGATTGCATGTTTTCTCTTGATTTCTGCACGGATGCACATACATCATGATACATGTACGTCTTTGATTTCTGCTAGGATTTAAGTGACCAAAAAAATGGCTAATGACTGGTTGTAGATCAACGAATTCGATTTGACAATCAGGTATACTAGTGCAAAGCTCCAAGCAGTGCTACAGGAATCATTAATGAACAGAAAGAGATGGCACGCAGCACTGTGAGTATGAAAATCGCTGTTTCGATTGACAACTTTTGACGATTGAAGAAACTATTAAGTAAGTTTTCTTATTTACATTTTTAGATACAGTAGATCTGGGTTCACTCAGGGACCTTTCTGACATGGGCCCTTCATGTGGAAACTCAAAATATTCCTGAGGTAGGTCCATACAGCACAAAGTTAAAATGGCTCATTGAATTTGAAAATGTGGGCCAAGAATTATCCCTGGTAGATAATTTTATTCAAGCAATACGACTTTTTCTATGTTTGTAGGTGGAAATGAGAGTGTCAATGCAGATAAAATTATTGAAAGACGTACCCTATTTCAATCATGCTGAATTAATGTTGATGCGATATCTATGAAAACTATGCGAGAATATCGTGGAATTGAGGACTAAGCCAATCCTTTCCCAAACACCTCACCATAAAAACCATTATGTACACATGAAATACAATATGACTTCATTGTCTTGTCATTATGTTTACAGCCATTATGATACACCATGCAGTTATCACACCATGACTGTAACCATGGTAACATGTATAAACACTGATAAAGGACAATTTAGGTTAATGGGCTACATCATGACCAAAAAAATAAAAAAAATAATTCATTGAAGCAACATTGTTTTATTTTTTCTAAAAATCCTTTGCTTATTAATATATTGCTGAGTAACCACTTTGTATAAAGCCTTTATGTATGTACTGACCCGTGAAGATCTGGGGTAGAATAGGTCTTCAGCAACCCATACTTGCCGTAAAAGGTGACTAATGGGATCGGATGGTCAGGCTCGCTGACTTGGTTGATATGCTCATGATGTCAATCTCTGGATTGTCTGATCCAGACTCTATTATTTTACAGACCGCTGCCATATAGCTGGAATATTGCTGAGTGCGGCTTTAAACAACGAACAAACAAAAAACATATGTACTACATTAACCCATCCATCCAGTTATGTCCTCATCTAAAACGTCCATATTAGCAAATGGCTGGACAAACTTTCAGGCCAGATAGGGGTGTCACAATACACCTACCTCAAGTAAAGATACACATGTCATGACATTTAATAATGACGTCGCGATACATGGATTATCATCGGCAAACTTTGCCTGATACGATACCCGATACACTAATTTGGCATCGATGCACACTTAACCCCATATAAATTGTCCATGTTGATCTTGCATCAATATTAATAAGGAAGTACAAACTACTTTTTAATTCCTCATAACTTTCTTGCTTTCCCTTGTTGTCTGTCACAATATAGTACATTAGCTTGTTTGTTTCTTATTTTTTTCTCATACAGAACAGATGCATAGCTGTCAACCCCCGGATGTCTAAATGATTGAGAAGCCAGGGTGCAGGGGCTGCAAGCCCCGCTGGGTCCAGGACTTAAACCCCCCCCCCCCCCCTCCCCCCCCGGCAAAAACTGGTTTTGAATGATTTTGAGACCATTTAAATGGCCTTAGACATGTAGAGAGCATGTATTGTGAAAAATTATATTTTAATCTACATTTTATATGAATGCCTGAGAATTTCCCAACCTTGCGTGTGAGCGTGACGTAGGTGATAAATGTGTGAGACTCACGCGAGATGCGTGAGTTGACAGGTGTGCAGATGACATGACTCGGTGTCATGTTGATGGGTATTACCATGATAACTATCAGTCATTTGACCTTCTTTACCTTTATGAGTGAGTCTGTGGACTCTATTCTCAGTCTAATGACAAAATGTCGCATATGCAGTATTAAGATACATATCTTTTCATGGCTTCTGTATCAAGATATGTATTGTATTGTGTGACCCTTGTCTCATAACATCCCTAATAGTTAATGAGCACATGTAGCTTTACTCAACCCTATCCTGGTACCTGCTATAGGTTTGTAAAGATGAGTACAAAATGTCTGGATGGGAATTGTTTTACCGGAGTCTGGTAAAAACTATATAGACAGTAATAGATACAAACATAAAACAATCTGGTCATGCATACTATCTTTATTATGTTTATTTAAACATATAAACATGATAAAAAGTCAGAAAGAAAAGCTACCATCTGTGACTTTTCATAGTGTAATCATGGTAGTTCTTCTAGTGAAGTTTTGTCAAAAACAATATATTATGTGACTAACCAGGGATTAGGGTAGTCCCGTGGGAGGGCTGGGACGGGTAACTCTGGTCAGTCGGGTACTGAGAAGGAACCAGGTACCCACAGGACCCCTGGTTAGTCACGTGATACATTGTTTAATGACAAAAATTATCTAGAACTCTATGATTACACTTCAAGTCACTAATGTTCGCATTTCTTTTGACTATGCACATATTCCTTCTGACTTTTATGTGGAGGGTTGTGACGATTATCGATATGAATATAATGCTATCGATAATGACATGTATTTTTTTCGACAAATAAAAGTTTTTACTGCAACACATTTGACTTATTTGTTTTGCTGTCCTTGTAATTATCGCTAGATATAAACAGATTCACCCTAACATACAGTTTTCTCCCCTTCGCTTTATGTTTAGTCGCAAATAATAATCAAATGTTTCAAAAAGTAAAAAGTTCTGCTTTGAATCGAACGACGACGCCATTACGTGTTGTTAGTGGGTAATTACAAATGTAGTCACTGGCATCTAAATGCGGAGTCAGGATTTTAGAAAATATGTATATTTTCGAAATAGTATGAAGTATCATGATTAAAATAGGTTTCATAATACTTTAATTCTTAAAAAGAATTCTTCCCATTCTTTTTCATAAAATTTCAAATTTTATGTCTATTTGGTAACTACGTATTCCAGTCTGTTTCGATTTTTTCAATGATCATAGTTTTCGTTTTTCCCGGTTTTCTCAACTCACAGCCCACGTGAGGTCCACGTGGGGTTTGACATTTTTACGATATGGCAGCAAAAATTCCTAATTTCGCCGTTATAATCGCACAATGTTTGTTTAATATCAGTCTGCCACCCAATCTATTACGTTTCACACCTGTGAACCTTGTACAACCTACTACGTAGCACACACCTGTACACACCTGACATTCACAATGGCGGAATATTTGATGATTTTTTATCTGAATAGTTTCGTGAATACTGTACATAAATGACAAACGACTATATCAGGTGAAATTACATTTAATTTCTCAATTACCGTATCGGTCAAGACACACCCAATGATATTACTTAATAGGATTTTTAATGCAAGGATCGGCAAAAATTGTATATGAAACTATTTTTTTTATCAAGAATAATATATTCCATTATTTTCTTAATTATATGCAGCCTTTACTAAACATATTTAAAATAGATAATAACCCTAAGCAAAGCAGCTGATCGCTATTCCCGGGTATTATTTTTTACATGGACCCAGTCTGACCAGTCACCGTCAAGGTTCACGCGCACGTGATTGCGAGAATTTCTTGTTGACATAGAATCGTCAAACAAAAACAAATATGACTTTTAACAAGTCAAAGTATGTCATTTATGATATATGTATCCATTCTCTGTCAACTAAAGTTCGTTTCAAGACGTCAATAGCGGTATTCTGACCGTGGTTGCTGTTAATAACGGTGAGTTGTGCGATCTTCCGATCGCTTCACACACGATTTCGCCGAAATTAATGAAAACAATATTAAAAGGAATACTCAAGAAAATACGGTATTCTCACTTTATACAAATAATAATTGTCTTTGACGACATGAATCTTAAACTCAGATTGTTCATCGCTAAAAATGCGATGTAACGTGCGTATTGTTGAAACACTGAGTCTCCGGAGAAGTGAATTGCCATTTTTCTGTAATGTCATTTTACCAAAATAGAATTCTTTGATATTTATCGATTATTGATCGATATGTGACTACCGATAATCGATCTGAGTAATCCATATCGATAACCAGCCCTACCAGGGATACAGTCAAACTAGTCCCAATCAGACATTTTGTACCTATCTCTTTAACACCTTCAGCAGGTGCCCAGGAAGTAAATTTGGACATCCCTGCCCTATCCTGTTTGTACGTGGGTCCTACTCTTTACCCACCTGGGCCAAGTACCCGAGTCATCTATCCCAGCCCGAGCTAAAAGTTGGTAAGGGTAACAAATGAAAATAAAAACACTAGTCACATCCGGTACTGCAATAGTAGTACCACATCCGGTACTGCAATAGTAGTACCGTTAGTAAAGAGTAAATGCATTTAGAATTTCTTCTCACTTGATCACAAACTGAACTCCGGCAAGATCTACAAATACTTATAATGCTTATAGAACAGCTATAACCCACGTGATAGCGTAATCTTCTCTACCGTCTTATATAAATTCTAGATATTCTTCTATTGGGTATGCCTACTGACATTAGCTTACACTCGAGTCAAAGGAATCGATCGAATTCTATGCAGCAGGTTGCGAACAAACCCTAAGAGTAATTTGCTACACAAGTACAGAGGAAAACTATCCTGGAAAGGTGATGAAGGTCGAATGCCTTCCTGTCATGGCAACTGCGAATCACTAATGGGTTCTTAACACCATTTGATCAGTTTTAAACAAATATAAAGGCTTACTCGAAAGTGTGATCTGACGTCCAAATCTTCATTGCGAAAATCTCAATACACTTCTGTTCCACGAAATTCCAGTCACTCGATTGTCATCCAGTCACGTTTTCTCACCATGCAACCCGGAATCTTACGCAAGGCGGAAGTTGTATGCCGCCAGAAAAGTAGTTCTGAGTATTTGCCTTTTTTATGTTATATTTGAACTTTTCAATACATTTATGTTTCTTATATTGGACCTTACATTTTTATATCACAAAATACATGTAATTATCAATAAATCCACATTTCTTGTAACAAGAATTTACTTCATACGTCTAAAGGTGTACTTACGTATATTTTGATTGGTCAGTTGTACCTTATACGACCAATCATATGCGTTTACTCATAAGTACTTCGGAGTGGTAGCACCTTGGAAACGGCGACAAGATGGCGTTCTAAACATGAAGTTTTGAGTTAGGCTACTGCATATTTTTTTACATAGGATTACAAGAAACAAGTGAGTAACTTCTTCCCAATTCCCATGCATCAAATATTGATTCAAGGTTATAACCATGAATTATGTTGTCACATTTGAAAGTTGTATATTTTCTATTCAATCTACAATCGAGGCAAAGTAAGGCGAAATATTTGGTGTTTCAGATTGTTTTGTTTATGTCAATATTTAGCCCTGTCTACAACGTTTCGTTGAACAGTGAATGATATTTATTGTCATTGGTTATCGGCTCTCTGTTACCGCTAGACTCATAACAAGAATGCATGAAAAAATCAATTGAGTTATAATGTATGTTGTTTTTCTCTCGAATATCACAATAATTTTGCTTTGAGTTTTCAAGCACCTGTCATTTAAGATACATGTGTTGAAATGAATTAATTTTCTCTTAAGTAAGTCATGAATTTCTTTGTATATTCATCAACCAAGTTTATTTGTATTTATTTTGTATCTCTATGATGAATTCCCAATAACACAACATCTTTGAACACTTTGAATGGCAAAAATTCCTCTTGCAAAATGTATTGTTAAAAATATTTATACTGATAGGAATAGAAGTGTGTTATATAGGCCAGTGTTATAGGTAAGTATTCATTTGAAACTGTACAATTAAGCCTATTCAATTAACACAAAGACACATACAAAATATCTGGTCACATAGCCTGAACACCTGAACCGTTTTAATTGACTTTTACAACAATCATTTGATACTGACCATTTTGACCCAAGAATCACCAAAGGACATTTGTTTTTTAATATAACAGTATTTGAAATTAGAGGGTCCTGAGGTCTGTGTTCATTTTAAAGAGTGCAACTAACAGATTTCAAATACATAATTAGAAACACCTTCAAATTTGAAAACACTTTCAAGTTTTGGACTTGCCACATAATCAAATGCATTATTATAGCTGAAATGAGTGAAAAAGTATAAGCAAGTACGTAACTCAACATGAATTTTTGTTTATACTTGCTGGGGTCAAAGGATTGCTCAACTTCAAATATTAGAAATCTCTTCCTGAAAACCTCGAAATCAGCCTTTTGGGCACATTCTATCCTCATCTATGCATTTTGTGTTCTCATAAGTCACAGGGGCGGTCGGGTAGCCTAGTGGTTAAAGCGTTCGCTCGTCACGCCGAAGACCCAGGTTCGATTCCCGAAATGGGTACAATATGTGAAGCCCATTTCTGGTGTCCCCCGCCGTGATATTGCTGGAATATTGCTAAAAGCAGCGTAAAACCATACTCACTCACTCACTCTCATAAGTCCCATTCATGCAAATCTTGAAGTCCAGTTCTCACACATGTGATAACTTTAACACCAATGTCAACATTTTCTGCTAAATTCTTAAATTTTGCAGATCTTGTATGGCAAACAGGGCCATTATCCTTCCTCGTTCTTTACACAAAAATCTCTCTTTTGTCATAGCAAAATGCCGCTTGGACCGTTTGGTGAGGTGGTCGGTACCACTGGTACCCTAGAGTCACTAACTGCGGAAGCATTACAAGAATACAAGACAAAAGTCATCGCACCACGGAATCCCAAACTCATCAGGGATGATGACCCTGAACATAAGGTAATACTATGTCATTCTTATCCTAACCCTATGTTAAGCTAGCAACCAGTCTTTGTAAATATGTACACTTTATGTGATGATAGCAACATAAGGTAATACTATGTTTTATTTCATTCTTATCCTAGCCCCATGTTAAACTAACAACCAGTCCTTGTAAATATGTACACTTTATGTGATGATAGACAGTAAGACTGTCATAGTTAATATATTTGAATGATTTAAGTTTATCTTAATAGGTATATCAGAGTTAGAAATTGGCACTAGTCCTATAGTCCTTGCCAATCTGCCCAATAGTTAAGATATCATAAGGACTAGTAGATATTTGCCATTTTTAAGGGTTTTGCTATATGTTATCAATATATAAGGACTAGTGGACCAAAAATGTTAGTTTCTACCACTGTATATGACTTCATCCGATTCCACTAGCATTATATTTGTACATGGTTTCTCCGTTCAATCTATGAAAACCCCCAAAATTCTGTTTTTGGATAATTTGAAACACTTTTCAACCTTGGAAAAGTGGTCAACTTAATGTAGCTTGATGTCCTAATTTCTGTCAAAGAGTCCAATGTTTGAATCATGACGATTGATCCAAGGCACAGTTTCTGTGCAATACCTCAGATAGATAATACTTATTGTGTACACTAATCATGCTAATGCTGATAAACATAATAAATACTTTGTTTGATTGTTTGACTATTTCAGCTGGACTTGGAAGTTAAGGTAGCAGACCAATTTGTACAATGGGTATTGGTAGATGGTCTTTCAGTATTTAATTACTAATACTAGCGGTCGTTTTAGTGGGTAGTAGTTGTCATGTGATGACTGAATCTTGTTAACACAGTCCATGCGAGAAGGCATACAAGTAGTTTATATTGTTCTCTTACAGTCCTTTTAGTCTGTTCTAGCCAGATCACAGACTCTATTGTTTTAGTGGCTTCATGAACTAATATTACTAGCCAAACAGAAAGACTAGACTACAATTTGGGCTAGTGGTTACAAGCAAGGCTTGGATATTATTTGTAAACATTAATAAGTAAACACTATTAGATGTAAAAGGTAGTGCAACACACTAGTTTTCTATTTAGCTATGTTATGGGTACCTCTCCCAGTTCCAAGGGAATCAGCAGTTTCGGTCCCATGTACTGCCTTCTTATAGAAGAATACTAAGGACACACAAATCATATTTATCATTTTACAGACGGACCTAATCTTTTTTTCTTTTTTTTTTCTTTTATCGTTTTTAGAAAGACGCACCTGTTACATAAATGAGCTTCCGCCCAGGGTAGCAGAAAGCCCATGACATAAAGCACAACTTATCAGTACATCTTACTTTGTTGTTTTTTATACAGAAAATAACATACTTCTCACTCACACATTCACTCTTGTTTATATATCATATTGCAGTTTAGGAAAGTACATGGTCTCAAACATTAAAATCTTAAGTACAAAACTAAAATTAAATTGAAAGCTGCTCCTCATTTTCGAAAAGTTGATGATACAGCATCCAAGCACCATAGAATTTCTGTTGATTACCTGTCTTGAAAGCAATATCTTTTTCAATGTTGTATCGTGAAAAAGCTTCCTTTTTATAAACATGAAAATAAGGTTTTGTATTTTGGAATTTGCATCTATAAATATAGTATTTTGCAATTAGTAAAAGTAAATCAAACACTTTATCTGTTTTTATGTTCTCTTTAACTCCAAAAAGTATCAATTCTGCACAAAATGTCATATTATAAACATGAAAGCACTGGTCGATCCACAATGACACTTCATCCCAAAATTGTTTTGACCTAATCTTATTTATGTGAATATAAATAAAATGATTTAAAAAGTTATATTGGAAATGGACTTTGGCTATTTTGATTTTTTTTTTTTAATTGGGTTAAAATTCTATATCATGAGGTCTTTCTAGAAATTAACCTCACATGAACTCTCACTTCTTTTGATTTTATAAAGTTTGCATCTTGGCATATTGGCTAAGAAGTTCTATAAAAACCTGAAACAAACTGGTCAGGCCGTAGTAGCAAAAGGGATGTTGTTGTTACATTGGCTTCTGTGAACTGACATTACTTGATCACCAATGAAACGGCAGACTCACAAGTCTATAAATACCCTTGGTTTGGGCATAAAATACACACTTCATTCAACAGGTCTGTTTTAGGTAATGAAATGGATATCAAAATCTGTGATATTTCGATTTTCAAAGAAACACCACCATTTGCTGCTGTGAGATGGTCTTCAGTACCTAGTAACACATCGTCAGTACTTTACAGGGATGTGTTTTACTCTGTTCCTCCATCAGCAAGGGGACCCGTGAAGATCCGGGGGAGAATAGGTCTTCAGCAACCCAGGCCTGCCGTAAAAGGCAACTATGCTTGTCGTAAGAGGCGACTAATGGGATCGGGTGCTCAGGCTCGCTGACTTGGTTGATGCATGTCATCGTATCCCATTTGCGTTGATTGATGTTCGTGATATCAATCACTGGATTGTCTGGTCCAGGCTCGATTATTTACAGACTGACGTCATTTAGCTCGAATATTGCTGAGTGCGGCGTTAAACAACAAACAAACCTCATCAATGCAGGCTTTGTAAACACTGCTACATTCCTCCTTTGGGAAGTATTGACGATGGAGTGTAAATTGATAGAACTTTTTGAAGGCACTTAGTTATTGCTTCATAGCCTGACTCTTTTTAGTTTAATAAAACTGCCGAGCTACCTATCTAGCCATGCCTAGCCTAGATACTGTAGGTGAATTTAGACTTCTAGATGTAAAGCCTCAGACTTGAGTCTGAAGCAACTCTCACTGACTCTCTCCTCCAATAGTGGTGAACTGAGTGTTTGGAATACTACATGGAGAAACAACCTGTGTTGGTACTGTGTTATCAACTTGTAGTGCCGGGTGAAGGATTGTTGGTTATGGCTGCTGTCACTCCTCTATTTGTTTATTATAGTGAATTCCTTGGAATCAAAAGTTTGAACTTATAGGAATAAAAAATACATCTTTAATGTGTATGTATTTGTTCACTTTGTAGCTCACTTTTGCAAAGTCTCTCATCCTGTTAACTGTCTTCCATTGTCACCTGGGTTAGAAATTTGTTACTGTTTTCACTGGTCAGCAAAAATGACCAGCTACTGAGCCATGTACCTTATGGTAAAAGTGGCAGTATGCACAGAAATGTCACTAGTCCTTACTGATTGTTAATAGTCGAGGACATGCAGACGTGTGTTAGTTTTGAACTCTGTGTAAGGGTGGATGGATTGTAGGGCTGGGACAGGTAACTCGGGTACTCAGGTCGGTGGGTACTGAGTAGGACACGGGTACCCACAGGATTACCTGAATCATTGGTTGGTCACGTGATTATATTGTTTACTGTATTCGACGTAATAAGCGCCCAGGATGCTCTCAAAATTAGACATAGGGGGCTCTTATTAGACTATTATTTTGGTGGGAAAAAAACGGGGTTTATGCTGACAGCCTGAAATGTTCATGTACGACAGATATATTTTTCCAGAATTTAATTGCCCATAAATAAGGGTGCATATAACACACGTGTGCGTATTATACCGAATAAATAAGTCTTGTTTACATTGATCAATTTGAAGGAATGCTAATTGGGCTTGTTCACATATCAGCAAATATCGCCGTGCGCGCTTATGACGTCGAATACGGTAATGGCAAAAATTATCTAGAACTCTATGGTAACACTATAAGTGACAAATGTTCACATTTCTTTCTCACTGTGCACCCATTCCTTCTGACTTTATATGTTTGCATAAAGATAACATAGGTTGGGTAATAGGAGGGGATGGGGAGTACGCGGGTTGTAAATTTGGATTCATCCCAGCCCTAATGGATTGTTTCTTCTTTAGAAACAGTTGCAAATTAGATGTATATTGATGGTGTATTGTTGTATGAAAATTGAACATGATCATGTTATTTCATTATTGAATCTACGAATATGCTCTTCTTTATTGTGTTATTGAAACATGCTATTACTTTGATTGTGTTGGAATCTGTTAGCATGGTTAGATTGCTACTTTGATTGTGTTGCAACACATAAATTCAGTTAATTTACATTTCAAATCTAGTCTGAGAGACAATGGTCAGTATGGACATCTGCACATTCTTTCATGACTGACAGTGTTCTGTTTTGAAGCTTGATTTTTTTGGAAATGTTCTTGCCACATTAATCACTTAAATGTAGACTTGTAAAACATCCATTCCTTCAATGTTGTCAAGAAAATGATCATGATGATGGCAATTTGTCAAATTGCAGATGACCCCAAGCAAGTTCCTATTTGACATGTCTATGGACACTGACCAGAAGCTGGCCAATACTCGGACAATGCGGATCCCTCGTAAGGTGGAGCTTCTTGACATGGGGGAAACATCACTACAGAAGGTCAGTGCAATTTCATGTCATGCTCTATAACTAAATAATGATCATTTTTATCTAACTATGAAAGGATATTTTACAAATGTATGACATACGATCTGTGTTGACTAATGTCAAGGCACATGGTGTGCATGTGTAAATTACTATGTCACAGACATGCATGAATTCTTCAAGGCATGCTTCGGATGAGTCTAACATTGTCAGCTTGCCTCATGTTCTTCCACTCTTCAGTGAGAGCAACACTGACTTCATTGAGAGTGTAGGGTGGATTTTGATGTTGACGTACACGATGTCCCAGACATGTTCAGTGGGGGAAAAGTCAGGACTGAGTGCTGGTCATGGCATGTTGACGTACACGATGTCCCAGACATGTTCAGTGGGGGAAAAGTCAGGACTGAGTGCTGGTCATGGCATGTTGACGTACACGATGTCCCAGACGTGTTCAGTGGGGGAAAAGTCAGGACTGAGTGCTGGTCATGGCATGTTGACGTACGATGTCCCAGACGTGTTCAGTAGGGGAAAAGTCAGGACTGAGTGCTGGTCATGGCATGTTGATGTACACGATGTCCCAGACGTGTTCAGTGGGGGAAAAGTCAGGACTGAGTGCTGGTCATGGCATGTTGACGTACGATGTCCCAGACGTGTTCAGTAGGGGAAAAGTCAGGACTGAGTGCTGGTCATGGCATGTTGATGTACACGATGTCCCAGACGTGTTCAGTGGGGGGAAAAGTCAGGACTGAGTGCTGGTCATGGCATGTTGACGTACACGATGTCCCAGACGTGTTCAGTGGGGGAAAAGTCAGGACTGAGTGCTGGTCATGGCATGTTGACGTACAGGATGTCCCAGACGTGTTCAGTGGGGGAAAAGTCAGGACTGAGTGCTGGTCATGGCATGTTGACGTACACGATGTCCCAGACATGTTCAGTGGGGGGAAAGTCAGGACTGAGTGTTGGTCATGGCATGTTGACGTACACGATGTCCCAGACATGTTCAGTGGGGGAAAAGTCAGGACTGAGTGCTGGTCATGGCATGTTGACGTACAGGATGTCCCAGACGTGTTCAGTGGGGGAAAAGTCAGGACTGAGTGCTGGTCATGGCATGTTGACGTACACGATGTCCCAGACATGTTCAGTGGGGGGAAAGTCAGGACTGAGTGTTGGTCATGGCATGTTGACGTACACGATGTCCCAGACATGTTCAGTGGGGGAAAAGTCAGGACTGAGTGCTGGTCATGGCATGTTGACGTACACGATGTCCCAGACATGTTCAGTGGGGGAAAAGTCAGGACTGAGTGCTGGTCATGGCATGTTGACGTACACGATGTCCCAGACGTGTTCAGTGGGGGAAAAGTCAGGACTGAGTGCTGGTCATGGCATGTTGACGTACGATGTCCCAGACGTGTTCAGTAGGGGAAAAGTCAGGACTGAGTGCTGGTCATGGCATGTTGATGTACACGATGTCCCAGACGTGTTCAGTGGGGGGAAAAGTCAGGACTGAGTGCTGGTCATGGCATGTTGATGTACACGATGTCCCAGACGTGTTCAGTGGGGGAAAAGTCAGGACTGAGTGCTGGTCATGGCATGTTGACGTACAGGATGTCCCAGACGTGTTCAGTGGGGGAAAAGTCAGGACTGAGTGCTGGTCATGGCATGTTGACGTACACGATGTCCCAGACATGTTCAGTGGGGGGAAAGTCAGGACTGAGTGTTGGTCATGGCATGTTGACGTACACAATGTCCCAGACGTGTTCAGTGGGGGGAAAGTCAGGACTGAGTGTTGGTCATGGCATGTTGACGTACACGCTGTCCCAGACATGTTCAGTGGGGGAAAAGTCAGGACTGAGTGCTGGTCATGGCATGTTGATGTACACGATGTCCCAGACGTGTTCAGTGGGGGAAAAGTCAGGACTGAGTGCTGGTCATGGCATGTTGACGTACAGGATGTCCCAGACGTGTTCAGTGGGGGAAAAGTCAGGACTGAGTGCTGGTCATGGCATGTTGACGTACACGATGTCCCAGACATGTTCAGTGGGGGGAAAGTCAGGACTGAGTGTTGGTCATGGCATGTTGACGTACACAATGTCCCAGACGTGTTCAGTGGGGGGAAAGTCAGGACTGAGTGTTGGTCATGGCATGTTGACGTACACGCTGTCCCAGACATGTTCAGTGGGGGAAAAGTCAGGACTGAGTGCTGGTCATGGCATGTTGACGTGCACGCTGTCCCAGACGTGTTCAGTGGGGGGGAAAAGTCAGGACTGAGTGCTGGCCATGGCATGTTGACGTACACGATGTCCCAGACGTGTTCAGTGGGGGGGAAAAGTCAGGACTGAGTGCTGGTCATGGCATGTTGATGTACACGATGTCCCAGACGTGTTCAGTGGGGGAAAAGTCAGGACTGAGTGCTGGCCATGGCATGACATGGATGTTTTGCTGTTGGAGGAATTGGGTCACAATCCTGGCACGATGAACACATGCATTATCATCTTGAGGGATGAAGTTGTCCAGATAGTATTGACCTGTGACTCTACCATGAACTAATCTGTCCTGGGCTGGAGTTGTTGCCCGTGACGTCCAGAGTGGCGTTGATCATCCAAATGTGTTTGTTGGTATCGGGCCCACAATCTACTGATGACAGATTGAGAAACATGCAGCATTTGGACAACAATATTCTGACGTGTGCCCACATGTGCAATGGCACATAAACATTCAGCACATTGCAAACATCACATGATCAATGCTGTTGCTTCCTTAATGATTAATGTGCTTAATAAAGTGTCTTTGAGCGTTTGGTTCCAAGAAAACAATATGCGTCTGCTCACAACCGAGTCTGAGTGACAATGGTAAATCTGGCATACCACCCCTTGCACCTGCTTTCATGACTGACAAAGTTGTGTTTTGAAGCTTGATTTCTTTGGAAATGTTCTTGCCACATTAATCTCTTACTTTCATTGCCAGATGTAGCGGACCTGTGTTATTTAATTCCCTATCACAATCAATATATATTATGTTAAATATGTTAATAAATAATAATTGTTAATAATAATAAATTATGTTAATTTATTCACATTGGACAGATAATCAGTAATTTCTCATTGTTCATCGGGTATTCTCTAAATAATAATCACATGCATGTGTAATATTTGGTAATAAGGCATAAAACTGTAGACTTCAAATAACCAATGGTTGATATTCACGAACAGTGATGCGTGATGTCAACAAAGTTCATGTCTTTTTACGTGCTCATTTACTGTGTATGTATGTTAATTACAATTTTCTTTATTTTCAGTTTTCACAAGTGAACATTGATGAGCCGATGTTCCAGCCATTTCCATCTGAGATCTACTTCCAGAACTTCGAACCCTATGAAACATATGAGATCCCATTTGTACTCAGAAACAATGATAAGGTCAGCATCCGAATCAACATAATCACACTATCTTGTTTTGGGTTATAAGTTCTATGAGATCAGCTTGGAAAATTGAGATATGTAAAAAATTGATCTGTTCAATTCAACTGAATATGGTTACCCATATATTAAGGTTTGAAATTGATTATCTCAACAAAATCTTACTTCATGGTCTAAAGGTAACAATCTGTCAATTGTAATTAGATTTTATTGTCAATTGTCCTAATATTTTGACCAACCACCATGTTTCCTAAGAATCTGAGCACCACAATCGTAGGTGAGGTGAGGTGAAATTGGGTTTAACGTCGCGTCCAAGATTATTACACTTATATAGCGACGTGCATGCACATGTATCTGTGTGTGTGGCTGCTTGTACTGGTCCTGACTGATGCCGATTTACAGTGCTAGCTCACTGAGATACCATGCCACAGTTTAACGTGAATACCCCACTCAGACACAGTATACTGACTCCGAGCCGACCAGTCCTTGTTTTAGCCCCTTAATGCGGAGCGCCAGACAGGGTAACAACAAGTTCCATCTTTCAATGTCTTTTGGTATGACGCGGCCGGGGATATAACCCCAGACCTTCCACTCTCTGGGCGGACGCTCCACCACTAGACCACGGAGGCGGTCTCCACAATCAGAACATATGGCATGTGTGCCATGTTGGCCTTTAGCAGAGTTTACTTGGGTCTGTCTATTTTGGAGTCCAGGGAACTCTGATTTATATAATTTTGGTGTCAAAGGCAAGTAAATGGATGCTCCGGGCTATCAACATGTGGCATACTGACTTCTTGATGTTAAGTGGACCTCTAACCAGAATAGACATGTCAGAAATATGTAACATGAAATTAACAACTTTGATAAATTTTATGATTCAAACATCCATACGTTTTCGCGTCCCACGGGACTCTCAAAGTAAATTATGTGTGCTCAGTCTCAATTTGTATGCATATAGGACTTAAAATACTAGTAAAGTTCCGCCATTAATCTCAGTGGGAAAATGACTTTGAAACATCAGGTTTTATTTGGGATTTTGATTTCTTTCTTTTTTTCCTAAATTCAGAAATATTTTAAGATTGTATTTTAACAGTGCATTCTCTATTCCTTTATATTGGTGCTTTTACCAGTGGAATACAAGCCACCTCTATTAAGCCATACCATTATTCATATGACTATAAGAGCATCAATTATGGGAAATTTGTAGTTCCAATTTGGACACTTTTGCTGACATTTGCAACAGAATTGGGTAAAAATATTGGCCTCTGAGCAGGTCTAGATAAATCCCTGAGCAAAGATAGATATGGTTGACCTCATTTTCAAATTTGTCACACATGTATGAGAAATTATTTAACTAATTTGTCCAAGTATAACAATGCAAATACTGAGTATGGTCGAGATTGTATCTGGGCTCCTGGCAGCAGCCACTGCTGTGTTTTTCTCTGTGGTGATTGTGGTGCAATTTGAGCTTGTACTATTTTCTTGATTAACACAGGTACCCCGGCTTGTAAAGGTGACACAGGCTAATTCTCCCTACTTCCAAATCATCAGCCCCCATGATGTGGGCCACAAGGTCGGGCCAGGTCTCCCTACCACCTTCAAAATACAGTTCATGCCAGATGAGAAGAAGGTAAATCCTTAGAGAAAATTTAACCCGTCATATTTCATGATGTTCTTTTTTTTAAATGTTAAAGACATGATTGCTCTTTTAATACATAAACAGGGTTATGTATTGTTTTAACAGTATGTTTACCGTATTCTACGTAATAGGCGCCCAGGGCACTCTCAAAATTAGAAATAGGGGGCTCTCATTAGAATATTATTTTGGTGAAAAAATAGAGTTGAAAGTAAATTTTGTGGTTTATGACAGCCAGAAATGTTTATATATATACGACAGATATATTTTTCCAGATTTTAATTGCCCATAATTAAGGGTGCATATAACACACAAGTGCATATTACACACGAATAAATATGTCTTGTGTACATTGATCAATCAGAAGGGGTGCTAATTGGTATTGTTCACTAGCCAATATATTAGCAAATATCACATGGGCGCTGGGCGCTTATTACGTCAAATACGGTATACACATTTTTCATTTTCATGTTGTAACAAGTTTTACAAATATTTTACAGGACTACACCCATGAGCTGGTGTGTATTACGGAGAGGGAGAAGTTTATTGTACCAGTGAAGGCAATCGGGGCCCGTGGAATCCTGGATTTCCCCGATGAGATCAACTTCCCAGTCTGTCCAATCAAGTACCCAAACTCAAAGACGCTCCTCATCAGAAACATTGGCAACAAGGATGCTAAATTCACCCTCACTGTAGACAAGTGAGTACACATGTACACACTATCATTTCAGAGTTTTTTAGTTTTCATTTGGTGCTATAAATCTTTGTTGATTTAATCTAATTGGAATTAACTTATTAGAATTAACGTGGGCCAGTGGCCAGAGGTGCAATAACTTGATGGGATTTAATTAGCCTCACCTTGTACTGGCTCCGACAATACATGAACTTGCCATGATACATGTAATTTGTTTTCATGACTCCTCTCCTATAATAAATGACCAGTCCCTAAAAACGGTGAAGTTTTTTCATGGTGCCCTCCCCACCCCCAGTTGTGATAAATTTTGGTAACCACCCCGGTTTCCCTATGTAATTTTTTCATGACATCTCCCCCCCACCGGCCCCCCGACCCCCTCCTCTATAATAAATGAATCGTCCCTCAACTGAAATTCTTCCAAGTAGTATTAATCCCGAACTAAGTCATGTTCAAATGACATCATGAAATTTGGCATGTTGTGGTACTCTCTAGTTGATTATAGTTACCCTTTTACTAGGGGTTGAATTAGTAGAAAGTGTCTGCCTCCGTGGTCTAGTGGTAGAGTGTCCGTCTGGAGAGCGGAAGGTCTTGGATTCGATCCCCGTCCGTATCATACAAAAAGATATAAAAGATGGTACTTGTTACCCTGTCTGGCACTCCGCATTAAGGGGCTAAAACAAGGACTTGTCAGCTCGGAGTCAGTATACTGTGTCTGAGTGGGGTATTCAAGTTAAACTGCGGCATGGTATCTCAGTGTGCTAGCACTAAAAATCGGCATCAGTCCGGACTAGTACAAGCAGCCACACACATGCATGCACGTCGCTATGTAAGTGCAATAATCTTGGATGCGACGTTAAACCCCATTTCACCTTCACCCTATAGTAAGCACTATCAAGAAATGAACCATGTGGGAGGCAATGATTGACAGCTGATTTCCTTTTCCAGACCCTTCTCAGTTAGTCCTGACATTGGCGTCCTGCCTGTGAAGGAGAGTATGCAGGTGACTGTGGACTTCCAGCCCCAGCAGGGAGGGGACCACAAGGCCGACCTGGTGCTGCACTATGACACAGGTACACACTAACATTGTTACACCTCTATCAAGAATCTAGAAATTCCATTGGTTAATCCGTACCACATGACGGAACAATACATTTCAATGTAGACCACAAGGCCGACCTGGTGCTTCACTATGACACAGGTACACACTAACATTGTTATACCTCTATCAAGAATCTAGAAATTCCATTGGTTAATCCGTACCACGTGACGAAACAATACATTTCAATGTAGACCCCCAAATCACGTGACTGACATTGACCTCGAGTATTAGCATGTGATGGATAATGACCCCATCTGCTAGAAAACAAGATGGTGTCTTGGAGTAACATTTCACAGAGGACAGTTTAAAGGCTTCATGAACTAAAAAGTTAATTCCGGTATAACAAAACGAATGATATTACTCTTCAGGACGTCAATATGCAAAAACAAGGACTCTCAGACCCAATCGCTTCTGGACCTCAGTCTTTCACCACAGAAGGGGTTGGGCCCCCAAATCCTTGTTTTCGCATATTGACGTCATCAAGAGTAATTATTTGTATATAGGCAGGAACAAACTTTACTTAACACTACATACATGCTACATAGGCAGGTACATGCTATACTGGTATTTAATTAAGAAATATATGATGATTGGACGTTGTATATTGTACGAAAACAAAGCCCACAAGTCGTTTATTTGTTATAGAGATATCAACATTATGTACAGCCCCTTTGAGGATGTAAATCGTACTGCACGTTTTAAAATATGTTCCTTTATTTAAATAATGATGACTCCCTGAATACAATCCCACCTCGGCAATGTCGGACAAGTCCATTTTATGAACAGGGGGGCTGAGTTTGTTATTTCACGGATATTCTCACAATTTTCAAGGCAATTATACATGTATGTACATTTTCCCCAAGCACAGATTGCGATATCTCACCCACTTTCAAATGCGATCGTTCGGCCATGGCGTTTTTCTGTTTTGCCCATCCGTGGGGAACAACTCACTAGACACTTCCCTCTAAAACACAACGTTGTCCAATCTACAATGTTATCAAGTTGCGAGCACATGTTCAAATCTCCAGAAATGTCGTCATTATAGAACAATGTTTTATCTTGAAATAAACCATCCTTCGTTCGTCATTGTTCTTTGCGATTTATCTGATATCACTGTAGAAAACATATGGTGGTAAGGTGAATGTGAAATAATGAGCATTGTTCCGTCTTCCTCAAGTAATGCATAACAACAGAAAGTCTATTAAATAACATTATCTATACCAAGTATATGTTAGATGGTAAGATCTTGCATGTTTGTTATTCATCATGTCAATCAGACTGATGTTCACTGATGTTTTTCTCAGGAGAGGATGTGTTTATATCCTTATATGGAGCTGCCCAGGACTCCAATGTCAGACTTGACAAGAACTCCATCCGAATTGAGAGCACATTTATCTCAATGGCCAATGAGAGAACAGTGACGATCCACAACCGATCAGACGTCATAGCACATTTCCACTGGTCAGGGTATGCCACACAGGAAGAAGAAGATCAACACAAGCTCATGTAAGTTCATCCTCGTCACCTACAAATGACATTATTATACGATCCACTGACTGTTTTGATGCTTTATTTCATCTGTATCATTATCCACTTTCTGTTTTTTTCTGGTTTACAGCGATAGAAACTTACTGTTTTAGTCCACTAGTCCTTATGATAACATATTGCAAAAGCCTCAAAAATGGCAAATTTCTACTAGTCCTTATGATACCTTAACTATTGGGCAGTTTGGCAAGGACTGTAGGACTAGTGCCAATTACTAACACTGGTTTATAGATCTGGGCCCCGTTCCACAAAGCGATCGTAGTGATACAACTGTCGTAGATCTATGTTAAAGTATGGGAGTTACCATCGTCTTAGTACTACGATCGCCTTGTGGAACAGGGCCCTGTACACAAAGAGTAAGTAAGTGATGATAGCTTAATGTCACATCAGCAATTTTGCGGTTGTTCACATTGACTGCGCACTTAAAACAATCGGACAAAAGGGAGTAACATTAACAATTCAGACCTCACCAATTTCATTAAACCAGATTGTTGAAGAATGTCATAACCTTACAACATATGTTTTACCTTACCTGACGCTACACCTATAGCACTGTGCAGCATTAGGTAAGTATAAAAACATTGCATTTAATCTGAAATGCTCATGTTTTACCTTACCTGATGCTACACAGTGCTGTAGGTGTAGTGCAGGTAAGTATAAAAACATTGCATTTAATCAGAAATGCTCATAATTCCAGAGTTTAGGAATTGAATGAGCCACCTTGCCATAATTCTAATTGTTTGTTCACATGAATTTCAGGTAAATAACAAATAACTAATGTAGCACTCAACCCTTAAATGTTATATCACTGAATATAGGTGAGCTTCTGTACCTGTGGTATTTTTTGTTTCATCATTTTAACCAAGAATATGCTAAATAAGGCCTGTGACACATGTGTAGGTCTATTATCAAATACCGTATTCGACGTAATAAGCGCCCGGGGTGCTCTCAAAATTAGAAATAGGGGGCTCTTATTAGAATATTATTTTGGTGGGAAAATAACAGAGTTGAAAGATAAATTTCGTGGTTTATGGTGACAGCCTGAAATGTTTATGTACGACAGATATATTTTTCCAGAATTTAATTGCCCATAATTAAGGGTGCATATAACACACGAGTGTGCATATACGCAAATGAATAAGTCTTGTGTACATTGATCAATCAGAAGGGGTGCTAATTGGGATTGTTCACTAGCCAATATATCAGCAAATATCGCCGTGGGCGCTTATTAGAGTGGGGCGCTTATTACATCGAATACGGTAACACAAATTAACTTATCCTGTTTAGAATTATCTTCAGTTAGTTCATTCCCAGCCCAGCTCATGTCATTGTGTTTGTTTGTGTGATGCAGGCGTCAGATTGACCTTGACAGAGAGGAAAGGACGGACACTGACCGTTTCTTGGAGGAGTGTGTGACTGACCCCACCCTCCGGGACAAGCTGTCCATCCTGGGGAGGACCTTCCAGAACAGGAAGAGGGTAAGTCTGTCACTTCCTTCTTGGAAACACCACAACAGGAAGTCATACCTATATGTTTCCTTTACCATTGGGAACATGTCATTATTCAACATACTGCACTTATTACTTGAGTGAGTTAGTGAGTGATTGGGTTTAATGCCACTTTTAACAGTATTCCAGTTATATCGCGACATGTCAGCTGAAAGCCCGAAGTGATGCAGGTCTCAGATGTTTACCACTTCGGTGAAACCCACGAACACGGGAATGGTGCTGACAAACCTAGGAACACAATTGGGGCGAACCGGGATTCGAACCCACAATCATAGGTTTTTGGCGTGCCCATAGGACGCAACTCTGCACAGCGAATCACAGTGCCTTAGAAGACCGGGCAAATGAAAGTACACACCCATGTTTGATGGTGGCTAAAATGAAACAAACAAGGAATTGTTATTCTAGTGTATATTATACAGGTATTATATATAGTTGTGTTTTGTACCTTATGTTTGCAATGTTTCAGCAACTGTTTAGTAACGATTTGAAAATGTTTGTAATTTTGGGGTTAAATCCAATTTTCAAGTGTATACTTTCTTTTGCCCATCAGTTTACATGCTACACTTACATGTAGAGCTGTACTATTTTTTACTTATTTTCACCATTGAATATAAGTTAATGACATATTGATTGTGAGTATTCTTAGAATACTGTAAATCTGGAAATTAATGTCTCCAAATTAATGCGACTGCTGACTGCTGACCCCTAACCAAAATTGTGACTCAATGTCAATGTGACACACACACCACACCCCACCCAAACCCCAGTGGAATGATGCATATCCTTAATCCAACCTTACCTTAATCCAATGAAACAGCAAATCGCACTGCTTATTAGCACTGAGTAGAGTATTTCCGTAAAAAAAAGAAACAGTTTTTTCCTAAAAACAACACACAATTTATATGTTTACTCGGTTGACTGGAAGTTCAAAGGCAATAAAATAATGAACCAACAACAGTTCACTGATTGGTATGTGGAGAAGGTGTCAACAAGCTTGACACGAGTGGGTAAAACTCTTGACCCCAGCAGTGATAACTCACAGGATGCCCATTGGGTAATTCCTATTTTTTGAATGACATTGTAATACACTTGTTACAACTGCTGCTCAATAAAACATGTTTGTGTTTATATTCAAGTTAGTATTTCCGCTATTCAAAGTGTGCAGTGAGGCCGTCTTAGGATAGTCATTTTGGAGACGTAAATGCGAAGTTAATAAATGATCACTCACATTTTTTGCATTTAATTCACGTTCGCCTTAATTTCAAGATTTACAGTATATGTGTATCTGATGACTCGATAGGAGCTGATATAGACCACTCGTAATGATGACATGTTGATTACAGATGGTATCGGATGACAAGCTGTTGTTCAATGATGACGTCATCAAGCTGGAACCTGTGGAAGGGGACATTTGGCCCAACTCATCCTTCAATGTCAACGTCATCTTCAAGCCCCGAGAAGCTAAAACATACACGCATACTGCATTCTGCAACATCACCGGCCGGGAGAGCAGGTTGCCTCTGCGTATCCGAGGTGAGGGCAACGGACCCCAAGTGGAATTCTCGTTTGAAACATTGAACTTGGGGAATATATTTATCGGTTCTACTCACACGTATGAGGTCGTCCTTGCCAACAAGGGTGATATTGATGCTATATTCAGTGTGATGCCAAAGTCCACAGTGTTTGGGCCATGCTTCCAGTTTAACCCCTCAGAGGGAATTGTCATGCCGGGAGGCCATCAAGCCATTCAGATCAAGTTCCGCAGCCCCTATCTGGGAGACTTTCAGGAGGAATTCCAGTTCCAGGTTGATGGTTCCCCGGAACAGCTTCAGATCACCTTCATGTAAGTCATGTGACTGTCTTATTACCCATAGGTTAGAAATATCAGAGTTCATTAAAATGATGCATGCACTCGCGGAAATATCACTTTACGTGCACCAATGTATTGTATACACCATCCAGAGGCATGGTTGCCGTCATTAATCTTATTGTGACGTAAGGTCGGAATGACGTCACACTAGGAACATCGTCATAGCTGAAGATTGTTGACATCATTCGACAATTCTGTTTTTCAAACATGGAGGTCGTGATCAGTGCATTTTTCCAAAGGAGAGATCAAAGGATTAAGAAATAATGGGTAATAAAGAAATTATTACACTGGCTTGTGTTTTATACTGATTTTACAAAATTTGTGTAAGAATTCTTTCTTTCTCGCTCGGGAAATATGAGAATTCTGACTCTCGTTTTCTAAAATCAGTATGACGCACATGCTCGAATAATAATCATAATCACTGTATATGAATTCAACATGAAGTAGTTTCCAGCCCCCCATGCTTGTTTGCCAAATAATCAGAGAATGGCTGTTGAAAATATAGTTCAGGCGGGCAGACGGTGTATGTAACAAATGTTTGTTTACAATCATTTTGACAAAATCATGTTCTCAAGTATTGTAGCATTTAACTGCTGGGGAGTGTGTTTGAGACTCGAAATATTTAAAGACTTTAGAAAAAAAATGGAAATAAAAACGAAATGTGCACTTTATGATGATGTGGGTCAGTTCCTGTGAAACAAGGTTTTTATTTATTTTTTATCCTAAAAAGAGCAGTTTTAACATTCCCAATTTTGAACAAATTAACATGTTTTTCCTAGTTTGCATGCCAAGGGCATTTAGTTCTCATTGCTAGATAAGTCCCTGAATATAGCTGGAATATTGCTGACTTATGTGTACATCAGTATTCACTCACTCACTTATAAATCAATTATTAGATTTTTTAAGTGTTGTGATGAAAATTTTCATAATCTGAATCATAATCATTATGTTTAGTTTATCTGTAAGTAAGATATATATGAAGTATATTATTTAAATACAGAGTGCCACTGTTAGAAATGATAAGGAAAAATACCCATTTTTTTAGATGATTTTGATTTAATTGTTAATGCTTGTTTTTCAGAGGATCTGTGATTGGCCCCACATTCCAGTTCAATGTGCCAAAGTTGAAATTCGGAACAGTGTCATACGGGTTTCTGAACACCCAGTACTGTACACTGATGAACACTTCCCTCGTCCCCATGACCTTTCACCTCCGTGTGCCAGGGGATGGAACGAACGATAGTATATGTAGTACCAGTGACCTTGACCTTAACCGTAGTGAGCTTGGATCAATGGTAGTAAGTTCTCCAAGAGAGTTTGAGATTGTTCCATCAACTGAGACAATTCCTCCTCAGAGTGAGATCAAGGTGACAGTCAACTTTGTGTCCAACACAGTCAAGAAGTATGATGTGTCGCTGGTGGTGGACGTAGACAATGTTGGAGAGGAGATCCTGACTCTACCGTTACAGGCGAAGTGAGTAGCATTGATACACTCACACTCTAACCTTATGCTTATTGGATCGACCCGTGAAGATCCGGGGTAGAATAGGTCTTCAGCAACCCATGCTTGCCGTAAGAGGCAACTATGCTTGTCGTAAGAGGCGACAAACAGGATCGGGGGGTCAGGCTCACTGACTTGGTTGATGCATGTCGTCATATCCCAATTGCATAGATCGATGCTCATGATGTCAATCACTGGATTGTCTGGTCCAGACTCTTATTCACAGACCGCTGTCAAAAAGCTGGAATATTGCTGAGTGTGATGCTAAACAACAAACAAACAACTTAATGGATCAGGTAGTCAGACTCATTGACTTGGTTTATAAGTTAACAGTGTGTCATCGTATCCCTATTGCATTGATCGCTGCTCATAATGTCACCTGCTCAATTATCTGGTCCAGATCGATTATTTACAGGCCATTGTCATATATCAGGAATATTGCTGAGTGATTCTTTAAACTACAAACAAACACTCACAGTAACATCTAAATTCTCTTCAAAGCATCAGATGGTGTTTAGTGGTTTACAACATTCACAAAAGCTCAAAGAAACTCTGTATTTGTAATGAACATTTTATGATATTAATGACATTCAAGTTTGTTGACCATCACAGTCAGATATTTTAGATATAAAAAAATTCACTGACGACAAAGTAATTTATCCATGAACATGTTTGAGGACTAGCTTCTATTTGAAAATCACTTTTTGTTCAACAGATGTGTCGTGCCGTCCATAACAGTACTGAGTCCCATCCTGGACTATGGACGGTGTTTCCTCCGCCACCCCTACGAACATCGCATCAAATTGCACAACGACATGGACCTTCAAGCCAAGTACGAACTGGTACCACAGAAAGACATCATACCACTAGAGGGCGCTCCTATACTATACCACAGCCCCCAGACAAAGGTATTGTGACCAGTTTAGTTGTTTCTTGCCTGATATAGATCAATGTTCTGCTGGATATTTTTGAAATGACTGGATATTTTTATTTTTTTTTAAAAAGGTTTCTTGTTGATTGAGTGGTTTTGAGTTTTTAATCGAAATGATAGCTGAATCTTTTAGGATATCTCAGTGATGTGGGTAGAATTTAAGTGGCAAAGGAACTATGGCCATATACAATGATAAATATTTTTCACTGAAAGAATGTTAATCATCTTGGAAATGTTTGTTTCTCATAGAGCTGGGACGGTTAACTCGATACCTGGGTCGGGTGGGTACTGAGTAGGACCCGGGTATCCACAGAACTACCCAGACCTGTGGTTAGTCACGTGATATATTGTTTAATGACTAAAAAGTATCTAGAACTCTATGGTTACACTACAAGTCACAAATGTTCGCATTCCTTCTGACTTTTCATATCTTTGAATAAAGATATAACTTGAGTCATCTTCAATGTATGCATGACCAGATTGTTTAATACATGTATCTAAATATGTTTTGCCAGTGTTTTGGTAACAAAATGCCCAGTCGGACATTTTGTACCTATCTCTTGAGACCTACAGTGGGTACCCAGGTAGGTTCGGATAATAGGGGGGGGTCACAGACCTAATTTCTCAAATGTAGTGTTTTACAAGCAGTGTCGACCCGTGAAGATTCCGGAGTAGAATAGGTCTTCAGCAACCCATGCTTGCCGTAAAAGGTGACTATGCTTGTTGTAAAAGGCGACTAACGGGATCGGGTGGTCAGGCTCGCTGACTTGGTTGATGCATGTCATCGATCCCAATTGCGTGGATCGATGCTCATGATATTAATCACTGGATTGTCAGGTCCAAACTCGAATTTTTACAGACCGCTGTCATATAGCTGGAACATTTTACAAGCAGTGTCAGTCTACAACTTACAGTGCTACGCTGAAGCTCAGCTTGTTTCAGACATGAAATCTGTATGGTATATGGTATATTTAAGTCTTAAATCTCTAAGTAATGAAACCTTAAAAACAAGTTTGGACAAGTAAACTGAAATATATTTGTTACAAATTGCAGTGTTGGAGATACAAATCCAAATGTGTACATGGTGTAGTGTGTGGTTACACAAGTTCCTCTATCACAGGGCATCATCCCACCCCACTGTGTGATGGAGGTACCGCTGCTGGTGGAGGTGCAGGCCTTGGAGGAGCAGGACATCCCGGTCTACATCCGCATCTTCGGAAGTCAGGAACCTCCACTGGTAATAACAGTCTGCGACTTTAGCCACTGTCTGAAGCCCATGTCTAGTAAAATTTTTATCAGTCTAGTAAGCTCTGCAAATAACAGTAAACATAATAACACTAGATGTTACTGAATATTGATGCTAGGGGCCATAGGGGCTAGTAGTCCCAAAAGTGTTGGTAATACAGTGATCCCCCAATATTGCACTCTTAGATAAAGCGTTACCTCGGTTACTACATGCGGTAACGCATGGCTCCCAAAATTTGTAATGCTCAACTGTCTCTGATAACAAAACAAACATGGGATTATGCATTTTGTATCCATAGAAGAAATATCCTTTATATCTCCATGCTGACTGATGTTTGTACCAGGGGTCCGGAAACCGTCATATGCGCCGGACATGTCCGATTGGGAATCTCAAATGTCCGTTTTAAAATATTGCTTACCGGACATTTTAAAAAGTATTGTCCGGACATTCTTAAATTTTGACCGGACATGATCAACAGTTAGGACTGAGCAGTTTCTGTCTGCAGTTGCAACACAATGAAGATTAACTACATTGACAAGCTTTGTTTGTTTTGATTGCTGTAAATACATCGTACCTACATGATAGTCCAATCGGTCAATCACTGTAATAGGCAATAAACTGAGTTGACACTGATTAATCGAGGATTAATTACTGAGAACATCTTGTTAATTTGAGTGAAAGGTGTTTACAACTGTACATTAATACCTTGCATCATCGATGTACCTCATTATCTTCACAATGCTACGATACGTAACCTCAGACAAGAAGCGAAAGCGTGACGACAGCCAGTCGACCGATGCAGATCAGTCGAGCGGATCTGCCAAACCCTCAAAGTCTGGACGATCATTTTGTAAGTCGTGGCTAACGACTTTCACTTGGTTGACATACAATGAGGATTTGCAGATTTTATTGTTTTCAGTAGCTAGTCGTATATTGAATCTTGATTGACCGCCATTTTGCTTTCTCGGACGATCGATATCCAATTTTTTTATGGTCAATAATTAAGTACAGATGAAAAAAGTATTCAAATAACTATTGCTATCAACGATATTTTAGTATTTGTGATTAAATTATCTGTCTTGTTTTTTAAAAAAAATTTAGTTTAAAAAAAACTTTTCCCGTGAGGTCACGTGATAACCAAATATGGGATAATAGTCTCGATCCAAATGTAACAACGGGTACACTTGAGCAGACTCATGAATATAACTCATGAACATTAATTAGACCGTTCACTACGTTAACAGATCGTTATTATAACAGATACAAACGTATGTTTTCCATATAAATCTAAAATGATATTAGATATTATTTGTTATTAATTGTCCGGTGAATTAAACAATTTAAATTGAAACAATTCATAATTCATCATATTATGAATACGTAAACTTGTAATGTGTGTGAAAAGTCGTACTAAAATAAGCTATTTGAAGGGGGCGTGGCCTAAATGCAAATGTCGGATTGAGATTTTAAATTTTCCGGACCCCTGGTTTGTACCTTGATCATATATATTAATTTTCTGTGACATAACGTTTCCTTTTGTATTGTATCATGGTTCTTGCAAAATATGTTCAGGCCCACAGGATGTATTTTTCAAATTCATAAGTGTACAGTGTTCAGTGTAGGATAATAGCTGAAGTAGTGAGTAGTGAAGATCCGGAGTAGAACAGGTCTTCAGCAACCCATTTTGCCATAAAATTTGACTATGCTTGTTGTAAAAAGCTACAATACCTGTCATAAGAGGCGACTAATAGGATCAGGTGGTCAGGCTTGCTGACTTGGTTGATGCATGTCATTGTATCCCAATTGCGTGGATCTATGCTCATGATGTCAATCACTGGAAAGTCTGGTCCAGACTGGATTATTTACAGACCGCCATCATATATTGCTGAGTGTGGCGTTAAACAACAAATAAACAAACAATAATAGCTGAAGGGTGTTTGGGTAGCCATGTGGTTAAAGTGTTAGTAAATCATGCCATAGTCCCGGGTTCGATTCCCCACATGGGTACAGTGTGTCCCCTGGTGTCCCCTGCCGTGATGTTGCTGGAATGTTGCTAAACGCTGTGTAGAAGTCACTCACTCTCTAATAGCTGAAGGATTGTTCTGGAACTTTGTGTTATCATGTGCATGTATTAGTGTAGCCACTGTGTCACCAGTCTGTGTGTACTTTCAGCCAGTCCATGTGACGTGTATTGGGGAGGGACCAGTGGTCCACACCACCCCTCTAGAGCTGGACTGGAACGTCATCCCTGTACTCACCGATGTACCCAACGTTGTGACACTGGCCAATGAGTCTCTCATCCCAGCCAAGTTCACAGCTCACATGGTAGGTTGCAATTTTGTTGTAAATTTAACATTGATTTCATCCTAACCCATTTCTTCATTTTAGGGGCGGTCGGGTAGCCTAGTGGTTAAAGCGTTCGCTCGTCACGCCAAAGACCCTGGTTCGATTCCTGACATGGGTACAATGTGTGAAGCCCATTTCTGGTGTCCCCCGCCGCGATATTGCTGGAATATTGCTAAAAGCGGCGTAAAACCATACTCACTCACTCATTTCTTAATTTTACCAGACATCTTGACACATTGTTGTGCCATGGGTGGCCCAGAGGACTAAGTTGCTACAACTCTCTGTGCTGAGTTACATCCCTTTTAGCTGCCAGGATCTGCTGGTTGTGGGTTTGAATCACAGATTTGGACATGATTTTTATCAGTGGTCTGTTAACACCATGCTTTTAGGTTTCACCAGAGCGGTCAATGTCTGTGACCAGTGTGCTCTTCTTTCCAGTAAGCTGACACCGTGATGTAACTGCACTATTGTTCATGGACTTCGAAAGTTAATCTTAAACATTAAGCTCTTAAATCTCTTAAACTCACTCTTATCATATAAGCTGAGAAAATGCAAAAATCAACAACACAGCACCTTTCCTTGTGGGGAGCCTGGGATTGAATAGTGCCCCAGTAACCTGTGTATCGGGGCCAGCCTGGTGCCTTGGTTGGTTAGGTGTCATTGTACCCCAATGGCTTGGGTCATTGCTCATGGTATCAATCACTGGATTTTGGTCCAGGTTCTGTTATGTACAGGGTGTGCTTGCCTTAAAGCCCCACCCTGACTATAAATAGCCCGCAAGGTGGCGGTGTTTCAGTTTCGAACAATGACTGACAATGTAAACACAACCGAGTGTCGGGAGACGTTTTTTGAAAACCATAAGGGAACCAGATCACCATTGACCGTCAAACTTCGTATCAACTTGAATGACAAACCATGGATACAACAAATGGCTCCATATCAAGATATAAGTCAATAGATTTTCTGTAGTTTTATCATAAAAAATCTTATCGATCGTGTTTGGCGTCTGCATCAATCACAGTGGGCGGAGCTTGTTTACGGTTGCGCTATAAATAGCAAAGCACATGGTCATGTGTACATGTGACACATTCAATGCATTTGTGGTCAAAGTGAATCGTGTTGCATATTTTTTCGGCAGAACAGCAGCAGAACATCAGTTTCGGTTAATGTAACAGTAACGATATTTAAATACGAAATTGACTACGCGATTCTTTGAGTTCAATCCGAAAATTACAGATATTTGTTTAGTTTTGGTCATTTGCATTCAACAGTTAGATTTGTGCCACACAATAATCAGTTTATATTTATAAAACGTAAATTATTACAGAGATTGTTCAACTAATGTTTAGGAAGGGTCCTAATTTGAAGCACCAGAAGTTGCGCCAATATTTCTCAGCTTGACTACAATAGATGAATATGTCACGTGTATCAACATAACAATGCACATAAGCAACTGGTAAATAAGTAACGAAATATACTTGATGTTTTGACCTAGGCCTACTGAAGGCGTATCCAGATAATATTGTACTTACGATAAACGAAAACTCCAATACACATATTCCAAGACAACTTTAATTATGAATTTCCTTTTCTTTCACAGAATTTTCACACACAAAACTGAGTTTGATCATTAGATCCACACTTGTCCCATGTATTTTTTGTTCGGGGTATTTGGATACACTTCGCGCACAAGTTTTAAAATATAATCTGGGATCCCTTTCCCGTTTTGTCCACACCAATCCTTCATCTGCTGCAACGTTTATTTCCGTTTCTTCAAGTCCAAGTATCTACGATCTCTCCAAACACTCCGTTTATTTAGCTCAGTCCAGAAGCAATGTGTTCGAATCGACGAATTTCTGCAACATGGTGGCCGCACCATTCCCTAACTGCGATTGCCTGTGCCGTGTCACGCATGGTTGACAAAAGAAATGTGAACATACATATTCGGCTTCATCTGGTTCCACAATGAAATCTAGCTGTGACACTGATTCACTAATCCCAAGAATCGGCACTGAATTTATCAAAGTTTCTGTTGCACTTGCAAGGGCGGGAAGAGAGGCGCCATCTTGTCGATTCGAGTTGTGAATCGGAATGATGTCATCTTGAATTGGAACTTTCTCCACGATAAAGTCACCAATGTCATAATCGAAATTACCTAAGGCTCCCTGATTATCTCGAACAATTCTTCGTCAAATTAGGCTTCACATGAAAATGTTTTGTTGCTCATATTGAAAACAAGCGAAATTGCAAAGTTCTTGACAGTTGTAAGCAGCAACTCGATGCGCTCATGGGGCTTAGTTGCTAGGAGATCGCGTGGTCAGAAAGGCGAAAATAAAAAGTTTTAGAAAGTAATAAAAGAAATGCCCAGTGCAATCCAAAAGTACCATGTACAGGATATTTTAAAAAAATAATATTCACGAAAACAAATCTTTTCTAAAAATGCAAAATAATTTATTAATTTATCCCAAGGTCGTAACCCTGATCACGTGGTGGGTATTAGGAAGGAATCTTTGCGATGACGCCGTGAATGAGGCCGTGTGTATTACATTGTTGAAATCAGCTGCCCAGGAATGTTGAGGCACTGACATTATGACAGATGTTCGTCATGGATGGAGAGAAAAATGTATCTGAGAGAAACATTGTTGCTTTGAGCTTCGAGACAAAACATGTGTTAATGCCGAAGTAGCCAGCGACCTGAATGTAAGCTTGATGAAAGTAATGTTGAAACCCATTTTCACGCACATGACAGAATTAATGTGAACAAATATTATGTTTCTTCATTTACACTGCTCATATGCATCACGACAAACGTATTTCGTTCTAGTCCAGAGATCTAGAACTATAATTTGTGTGTTGGATAAATCGTGGACATTCCACGGTATCATTTTATGAAGATGTGAAGACGACATGGCAGGTAGGTTTTGAAACCAAAGACGTACGCGTTTGTTGAAAAGTCTTGGAATCGTTTGGTAGATATTTATATTACAATTAAAACTTACGTCCTTGTTGTCAAATGACCCACGTGGGTGGGTGTTTACATGACGTCACCCGTTTACGCATTAACCAATGAAATGTATGTGTTATCATGACGTCATATTGACCTGTCAAATCACTTGTATAAGCTCCGCCCACTAGAGTGCGGTAGTTACTACCGCAGATGGGGCTTTAAGAGGCAACTAACAGGATCAGGTGGTCAAGCTCGCTGACTTGGTTGATGCATGTCATTGTATTCCAATTGTGTGAATCGATGCTCATGATGTCAATCACTGGATTGTCTGGTCCAGACTCGATTATTTACAGACCGCCATCATATAGGTAGAATATAGGTGTGGCGTTAAAAAACAAACAAACAAACAAACAAACAAAACAATGTGGCATCAAGCAACAAACAAATAAACAAACACCTCTCCTTGTAGGGAGCCTGGGATTGAATAGTGCCCCAGTAACCTATGGATCCGGTCCAGCCTGGTGCCTTGGTTGGTTAGGTGTCATTGTACCCCAATGGCTTGGGTCATTGCTCATGGTATCAATCACTGGATTGTGGTCCAGGTTCTGTTATATACAGGCTGTTGTTGTATAGGTGTCAGTATAGGTCCTCATCAACCAATGCTTGCCGTAAGAGGCGACTATGCTTGTCGTAAGAGGCGACTATGCTTGCCGTAAGAGGCGACTATGCTTGCCGTAAGAGGTGACTATGCTTGTCGTAAGAGGCAACTAACAGGATCAGGTGGTCAGGCTTGCTGACTTGGTTGATGCATGTCATTGCATTCCAATTGTGAATTGATGCTCATGATCTCAATCAGTGGATTGTCTGGTCCAGACTAGATTATTTACAGACCTCCATCATTAAGGTGGAACATTGCAGAGTGTGCTTTAAACAACAAACAAACACCTCTCCATACTCCATACATAGTCATCTTCAAAAGAATATTTCCATATCTGTTGTCAGGAATGATTGTTAATTGATCTGTTTGTTTGTTAGATGCGACCTAACACTGTGTTCCGAGTGTCGCCATCAGAGGGAGAGATTGCCCCCGAGGAGATCATACAGTTGACGGTCACAGCCCATCTAGATGACTGCGTCAGGTGAGTGATCTATGTTACCACTAATATCATGAAAGAAAGAGAGAGAGATTCTCACTGTTCATGCACTATGTTTTGTGATTGCAAATGTGTATGATGGTGAACCGGTATGTGCGAGTTTAAAGTATAAAGGTTGATGAAAATGTGTCATTTTTCCATTTTGACTTTAGAATCAATGTTGAAATAACTCAGGAAGGCTCATTTGTGACAGTGTTTGTTTTATTCAGATTCCAAGACAAATTACAGATCAACTTCTTGGAAAGTCAAGCTAGACTCATCCCACTGACAGCATACGGTCAGGGTACGACCATCGTGTCCGACCCACCACTCACATCTGTCCTCAACCTCGGACCCAACTTCAGGTTGGTGGATTCCATCCAATTCGAATTACTGTAATTTCTTGAGATACTATAACCTATGGTATCTGTGCTCATTAACACCTGACTTGGGAAGTATTATCTCTCACATCTTCATGAGGCAAGGGCGTTAATTGACTTTAAAAGTCAAGTTCCCACCCTTGCCGAACTAGGCTGGAATTCAGGAGTCTATGCATAGTCCAATCAAAAACGCGTTAAGTGTAAAGTGTTGGATTTTATGGTATGTTTTTTTATTTGCCCTTAGTAATCGGCCATTGAACAAGACATTCAAGCTGACCAATTGTGGTCGCCGCCACCAGCAGCTTGTATGGAGCACTGACGGATTTGGACCCATCGGCAAGGCCAAGAAAGAACTAGCTGCCTACAACCCTCTTGATATGAAGAATAGGGTAGGCCCGTGATGACAGTTTGGATTAGGTTTATTATAATTTGCAGATTTAGCCAAAACTAGTCCAAAACCTGAGTGTTGTAATATTCTCTCCAGAGATCACAGCTAAAAATTGTTCATATGTTATCACTAAAATGTACTGAAAATGATGACAAGTTATGGTTAGTCAATTCAAATGTATTTTGCACAGACTGTGTTGTAGAAATGGCTGCTCAGTGGTTAGAGTATTTGTTCAATTCTCGACTTGGACACAATTTGAGCTCCAGTTTTCATGTCCCATATTGAGTTCCCATTAGAACTCAATACATGTATGCTGTGGAACCTGTACATTGAGACTGAAATGTACAAGTGACTTTACCCTGGAAACACTTGCTGGCCAAAGATCATGTTTGTTATTGTTTATTCTCTTATGAACCGCGCCCGTGGTCTTGTGGTAGAGTGTCCGCCCGGAGAGCGGGAGGTCCTGGGTTCGATCCATCATATCAAAAGACGTTAAAAGATGGTACTTGTTGTTACCCTGTCTGGCACTTGGCATTAAGGGCTTAGACAAGGACTGGTTGGCTCGGAGTCAGTATTGTGTGTCTGAGTGGGGTATTCATGTTAAACTGTGGCATGGTATCTCAGTAAGCTAGCACTATTATTCGGCATCAGCCGGACTAGTACAAGCAGCCACACACGTGCATGCATGCACATTGCTATATAAGTACAATAATCTTGGATGCGACATTAAACCCCATTTCACCTCACCTCACCTCACCTTATTCTCTTATGTTTGACTTGGCAGAACAAGCCCCCTCCAACAGTGCCAGCAATGCCCATCTTCAAACTCAACCCCAACAGGATGGATCTACCTGCTGGGGAGACGGTCGAGATGCATATGGAGGGATTTGTCGACAAGTTAGTTGGCTTAGATAGTCTTTAAGTTTGACATATCTCCTTATTTCTAATTCTTGTTTTGGTCTGAAGAAAAGGTCAGTGGAAGTAGCACATACAAAATTGACACTGCAGCAGTTTTGGCTATTATTAAAAAGATGGATGTCATTGATTGGGAAGTCTATAGATTTGTGCTGTTACAAGGTGTTATGAAGACAGAACTCATTATCAATAGAAAATACCTTAGAGTAATACAAGAAAGTTTCAGATTCAGGATAGTTTGGGATAAAAGTTAGAATTTTTAAGCAATGTTGTTTATCGTTTCTCATGAAATTCTTGCAGAATATGACCGTAATTTTTATAATGTTTTCAATCTCCGCAGACCCCAGTTTGTGAGTGAGCGTCTGTTGTGTCACGCAATCATCGGGCGACAGGGAGGCAAAGAGCTGGTGATGAGGGTTGACGTGTCCACTGATTTTATCAGTCCACTTCTAGACTTCTCCACCAAGAGTGTGTTCTTCAGGGTGGACAAGGTAGGTGACTCTACGTACCCCTGACCATGTGCCACTGTCCAGGAAGGAACTTTCACCATTGCACAGTTCACTACACAGAAGTTACCATTGCTCCATAACCCCTGTATGGCGTTGTTAACACATAAGAGGATAAACTGTTTTTGTGCTAATATCACATTCAAGATACTATTCAAAATACTTCTACCCTACGGTATACTTAGCCTTTCCCCGATGGGGGACACAGGTGGCCCAGTCGTCTAAGGTGCAGAGATTCGCTATGCAGGGTTGAATCCCTTGGGCACTCCAGAAACCTATGATTGTGGGTTCGAATCCTGTTTTGCCCCGATTATGTTTCTAGGTTTGTCAGCACCATACCCGTGCTCGTGGGTTTCACTGAAGTGGTTAAAGTTAAAGTCCTAATGGGATGTCCTCAGATCTTTGTTTAGCGGTAGCGAGAACTGAGATCTGATTTTAATGAGATTGGGGATCGGGAGGTCAGGCAGTCAGGCTCTCTGACTTGGTTGGTGCATGTCATTGTATCTCAACTGGGAAGCTCATGATGCCACTTACTTGCTTGTCTGGTCGAGACTTGATTATTTACAGACTGTGTTATATACCTGGAATACTGATGATTCCGGCATTAAATAACAAACACTACTCTGAATGCAATCTTCATCAAGTAAACCTAATGTAGTAAGATATGTTTCTCAATTGTAACCAGAAAGTTGATTTTGCTGGTGTGATTCACTTGGCTCCATCTGCCATTGCAGCAATCTGGTGAGGACATGCACATGGAGACCAAGCAGCTGGCCATGAATAATGTGTCCAGTCTGCCACTGACCACAGAGCTCACGCTGGAGTATCCCTTCAGACTGGTCCAGGAAGATGGCTTGGAGGTCACCGAGATGGTCAGTAGTCATGTCAATGTTAGATGTTTTACACATTAACTCGGTGTCAGTCTTCAGTGATCTTGGACACAGTCAGATGTAAACAGCGCTGCTCAATTCAAGAAACAGAAATTCTTTCTTTCTTTAATTCATACTAATTTCAACATAAATTGCAGGGTCTGATTTAACTGCTGGACTTAGGAATCCAATGAAGAATAAGTCAATGACCCAAGGGCACCAGTCGTTACACTTCATTCCTCCATATTTATAAACAATAAACAGTAACTTTGTTTCCCCTGAAACATTGAATACATGTCTGTGTGATATGCTTATTTATTACCTACAAGGGCAAACGTATCGGGCTTGATAAAAATATATGTTCTCTTGGGTCATTTAAAGTCACAAGACAACAGTGTATTGTTTCCGTCTTCTGGAAGGCATTATTGACGTCATTCGAATCTTATTGTGACATGAGGTTGGAAGGACGTCACACGAGAAACGTCATAGGTGAAGACTGTTGATGTCCTTTGACAAATTGTGGTTCCGCTGCTTTTGCGACTTGCTGTCCTTATAGATAAGCACTAAACTTTTTCTCTGTATGTTGACATCTTTTGTAAATAGAACATTATATTGGTGTTCATGTCATACTATGCTTACGACACTCATGCCTTAATCCCGGTATTTACCTTGCTTCCGCTCGGGAAATACCGGAATTTAGACACTCGTGTCGTAAACTTAGTATGACGTGAACACTCTTAGAAAACATCCTCTATATCATTTTCAGGAGGTACACCTTGGAGTTGGTGAACCTTACAATTTAAAGATTCGTTTTGATCCGGCCTACAAGGATGACCTTCACATTCGCACTATCGATGAGGTTCTCCACATCACCTACAAGGAACATCCACATGTTGTGAGTACACAGGCAATGATTGTAGCATTTCATTTTCAGACAATAGTACTGTTTTCTTCGATAATATTGAGAAAATAATATAAAAAATACTATAATAATACATTTATTTGTATAGGCAGCATACACACTACTGTAAACTCTGTGCGTGTTTGATGTTGATAATGTTGGAGTGAGTAAGTGAGTTAAGATTTAATATCACATGGGCAATATTTCGGCCATATTGTGACGAGATAATATTAGGAAGGACAGAGGAAATCTGTGTGTGGAGTGTGTGAGTATGGTTTTACGCCGCTTTTAGCAGTATTCCACCAATATCACTGCCGGGGACACCAGAAATGGGCTTCACACATTGTACCCATGTCGGGAATGAAAACAGGATCTTTGACGTGACAAAAATCAGTTACGAAATGAGTTGTAGGAAAGAAGTGAAGTTGGTCAGATTTTGTGAAGATTTAATATCGTGAGGCCATCATTCCATCAGATGGCTGCTTCATATTGAGAGGGATTTGTGTCCCTTGGTCAGGCCAGAAACCTCTGATTGTGGGTTCGAATCCCGGTTGGCCCTGGTCATGTTTCTAGGTTTGTCAGCACCATACCCGTGCTCGTGGGTTTCACCGAAGTGGTAAACGTCTGAGACCTGCATCACTTCAGGCTTTCCTCACACATTAAGCTGACAAGACGCGATAAAACTGTAATACTGTTAAAAGCGGCATTAAACCCAACACACTCACTCACTCATATTGAGAGGATCTCATTCCAACTGGAGGATTGTCTTTGTATACATAAGTATAAGCAGATATAATACAGATGATCATATAGAACATTACGTCACAGGATTACATTGCCCTGCGTGGAGAGGTGTACTTCCCCAATTTGGAGTTTGAGAAGACAGTGGTCGACTTCGGCTGCATCCTCAACGACACAGAGGTGACCCGCTATGTGAACATCACCAACAACAGTCCAATGGAGGTGAAGTACCGCTGGTCATTCCTTATTGGCAATGAGCCATGTGCGGTCATCAACCGTCCACCCAAACCCACGAATGACATCATTATGGAGGAGAACATGATGGATGTTGCTGATGGAGAGGAAGAGGTGGAGGGAGAGGAGAGAGTACATGTGGTCATTGATGAAGGAGAAGCAAGGTCAGACGAGGAAGGACAACAAGAGGTGAGATGTTTTTCATCCTTGTATATTGATGTGCATGATCCATTGTTTGTAGGATTGATCGTAGACATACCAGTAGTTGTTTATTACCCCCTTAAACCTTCATAAGCCCTTGTATTTTTTTGGTTGGTTTATGAGACCTACCCCAAAAAATAAATTGTGAACTCTGACTTTTGACTAAACAATTTTACAATTAGGTAAAATGTACAAATCTCACAAGACTTTATCACCACTGTTCGTAAGAAATGGTGAATAATGCATATAAAAAAGCTTTATTCTAATAAAAATTCCAATCAATTATGTTTCAGTATCTTGCCATGTTAAAACTTGTCCTTTTTTCCATTCATTAGTAGCAGTACTAATCTGAAAGTTGATTTAAATAAAAATCACCCACAATGTACATTAAATTTTAGGCCAAAACTTTGTGAACCAATTAATAAAAAAATACAAGGCCTAATTAGTGATGAAGTGTTAAAAATTATGACTGAAATTCAACGGGTCTTTGTCGTAAACACATTTAAGAAATTAGGGGCTCCCTCGATTTGAATACTATAAGGAGCTCAGGACACCCTATAAATTATGGAGCTCAAGGTTCCCAGGACACCCTATAATTTATGAAGTTCAAGGTTCCCAGGACACCCTATAATTTATGGAGCTCAAGGTTCCCAGGACACCCTATAATTTATGAAGTTCAAGGTTCCCAGGACACCCTATAATTTATGGAGCTCAAGGTTCCCAGGACACCCTATAATTTATGGAGTTCAAGGTTCCCAGGACACCCTATAATTTATGGAGTTCAAGGTTCCCAGGACACCCTATAATTTATGGAGCTCAAGGTTCCCAGGACACCCTATAATTTATGGAGCTCAAGGTTCCCAGGACACCCTAAAACTTTGAATACTGGTGATGGCAACAACTTGTTTGTTTGAAGAATAAGCATGTGTAGTATGACATTAGTGAAGAGCTTTTGTTCACCACTGCAACTCCCATCCTTGTGTCAGTATTGCACCTGTAACTTGTGTTGTTAGACTGACCAGGAGCTGATCAAGGACAAACAGGGGGGTGAGCCCCGGGACAACCGGGAGGACGAGGAGGACCGACCCGCCTCTCCCATGTCGGAGGAGGAGCTGGAGAAGGTTGGTGGTGTTCTCACTGTATAGGGGCTGTATGTTGTTGTGTGTCAGGGGAGTACAGAGCTACAGATAAGCTGCGTATGTGCGTAAAATACCCCCCAAAACTATTCTAAACCCAATTACCCGGGGTACTTTCAATTAACTTGCGTACAGAAGTGCATGCATTAAATTAACAACTCAATTGTTTGAAAACAGCATGCGTAAATACCCAATCAAGCTTTTTCAGCATGCGTACACAATTACGAGCTAATTTACTTTCCGAGTCAAGCCTATACTTAGAACCATTATAAACATCGAAAACATTATTTCATTTTGTTTCAAATCTCAAAATGCTTACTGATTTTGGGAAAAACCCAATAGAGTGATGAATAGTTGAGTGAAAAAATATTGGTTACCCAATGAAAAATTAACATAGAAACAATTAAAATAGAAACCTTCCAGTAAAAACTGAATTGCTCAAAAGGTTATCTGGAGCTCTGGGAGTAGCACTCGCACCTGAGGTGACGTCATGGTATTGTATTACTGGTTGGTCAGGTACTATATGTTTAGCTGGCTGCATGCTTTGTGTTGTCTCTCCTGTACCTGTCTTAGTCTGGACATCTGGTCAAGTTACACAGCCCTAGAACATATACACTACAGATAATGTTGCCCAGTAGCGTTAGTGTCATGTTTAAAGAAGTACAGGAATTTGGTGTCTTTTATAGGCATTTAGAAGTTGGAAGAACACGAATCCATTTTCATGGATAACATCTTCTTTAGTCTTTATAACAGCATTTAAGAGGTACTACTTGTCCCTTTATCAGGTGAATACTGAGTACCATATTTTATTGAGTATAGTGCACACCCAAGTATAATGCACACCTCCCTCTACCGGATTCAGTATTTTAAAAAAAAAATCTTACAGAATTGCTGTGTTTACACAAGGTTGGGCCGAGTCAAAATTTACTACCCGGGTACCCAGCCCTCTATTACCCGACCCTATAGCTACAAACTGTCTGATTGGGTAAAATTTGACTGTAGCCCTGGCAAAATGTATTTAGATACACGTGTAAAACGAACTGGTCATGCATATACTGAAGTTGACTGCATGAAGTTTTATCTTTTTTCAAACATATAAAAGTCAGAAGGAATGCATGCATATTTAGAAAGAAATGGGAACTTTAGTGACTTGCAGTATGACTATTGAGTTTCAGATAAGTTTTGTCATTAAACAATGTATCCCATGACTAACCATTGGTCCGGGTAGTCCTGTGGGTACCCGAGTCCTACTCAGTACCCACCCGACCAGAGTACTGCGTTACCCGTCCCAGCCCTAGTATTCCACTGTAGTCCTGTGGGTACCCGAGTCCTGGCAAGTACCCACCCGAGGATAGTACCCGAGTTACCCGTCCCAGCCCTAGTATTCCACTGTAGTCCTGTGGGTACCCGAGTCCTGCCAAGTACCCACCCGACCAGAGTACCTGAGTTACCCGTCCCAGCCCTAGTATTCCACTGTAGTCCTGTGGGTACCCGAGTCCTGCCAAGTACCCACCCGACCAGAGTACCTGAGTTACCCGTCCCAGCCCTAGTATTCCACTGTAGTCCTGAGGGTACCCGAGTCCTGGCAAGTACCCACCCGAGGATAGTACCCGAGTTACCCGTCCCAGCCCTAGTATTCCACTGTAGTCCTGAGGGTACCCGAGTCCTGGCAAGTACCCACCCGACCAGAGTACCTGAGTTACCCGTCCCAGCCCTAGTTAATGTACAGGAATGTGATATGATTCTGTGATAGCAGATAGATATCTATTCCAATTAAGCTGCTGATGCTGGCCAACCTGTATATGATGATGATGTGATTTAACCAGCTGAATGGCTTTGTACACCATGAGACTGAAGGTTAATGGCTGTACACGAACTTTCTCGCTGACTTGGTTGATACATGTCTTCTTTACCCCCATGGCAAAGGTCGATGCTCATGATGTCAATCACTGGATTGTCTGGTCTAGGCTTGATTATTTACAGACTGCAGCCATATAGCTGGAATTTTGCTGACTGCAGTGTTAAACAACAAACAACAAATAATGAAATAATGAGTAATGACGTTGTATTTTCAGGGTCAGCTGGAGCAGGAGGCTGCCCCAGAGGGAGGGGTGAAGAAGGATGACATGGAACGTCTTGACCTCCACAGTCGCCTCTCACTTCGCCCAGAGGAGGAAGATGCCCTCAAGTCTAATCGGGTCCTCACTGCTCTACTGGAGCGGGACCAGGAGGCTGCCACGCCCATCGGAGTGGAGGAGGTGAGGACAGGGATGCTCTCCTTTAAATCAGCACTTTGTTGATAATTGATCACAGTGGATATCTGCTGTATGATGTTCATCTAAAAAGAAAACTATTAATGTTCTTTTTCTGATAATGATGATGACTGTTGCAGGTATTTGATATTTTGCCCTTGTACGGAACTCTTCAACCTGGAGACACAGAACAGATAACCTTGACCTTTTATGGCCATGCTGATATCTGGGGTCAGGTGAAGGCCATCTGTGACATTGAAGGTGGCCCAACATATGAGCTGACATTGAAGGGAGAAGCATCCTTGGTTGAGTACACGTTCAATTGCCGAGACATTGACTATGGCAAACAGATGTATGACCAGGTGGCATCTGCCGAAATAACTCTTATAAACACAGGCAAAGTAGGATTTGAGTTCAGCTCTATCGGCATGGATCCCACACTGGCAAAGAGACCCTACCCAGGAATACCGATCATGGTCCCACATTCAGTAAGTATGCAGAACTTATTGCACAGGGCCCACTTGCACAAAGCAATCTTAGTGCTAAGATGATCCTAACTCCCAAACTTTAACATAGATTTCTGATAGTCTTAGCACTAAGACCGCTTTGTGCAAGTGGGCCCAGGGTCCCTTTCCACAAAATGATCTTAGCGTAAGCCTATGTTAAAGTATGGGTGTTACCATCACCTTAGCGCTAAGATCACTTTGTGGAAAGGGACCCTAGGGGCTCTGGGTTAGATTTAAAATTGGTTTTTACCTGTCCGTGTAAATGATCTGCTATGAGATGCCATCAACCTCCTAGTAAAATGTGAGTCCACAAGAAAATGTCACTTGTGCTTCCTGAATTTTATCATTCTCAGACTAGCAGACTTACGTATTCGACGTAATAAGCACCCCACTCCAATCAGCGTCCACAGCGATATCTGCTGATACATTGGCTAGTGAACGATCCCAATTAGCACACCTTCTGATTGATCAATGCACAAAATACTTATTTATTCGCTTATAATATGCACTCGTATGTTATATGCACCCTTAATTATGGGCAATTAAATTCTGGAAAAATATGTCAGTCGTAAATAAACATTTCAATGTTTGCATAAACCACGAAATTTTTCTTTCAACTCAATTTTGAGAGCACCCTGGGCGCTTATTACGTCGAATATGATATGTTCATTTTGTTGCCAACATGGAAGTAAGAAACCTCGAAAACCTTAACAAATGCTCTTTAGAAAGTTGTCATTTATAAGGACTCAGCCTTCTTGCTGTAATGAGCCATCTGCCTCCCTATCATCTATAGAGCTGCTCTCACAATAACTTCGTCTCTCTTGCAGGGCTACATCGAACCTCTGAGTGAGCAGAAAGTGACTGTCAAGTTCTTGCCCGGAGTACCAGAGAGGTTCCACAAGAACTTCATGATCCAAGTAGCCCACTTCGAGCCTGACATCATCAACTTGTATGGTGAAGGTGTGTTCCCCCGGATATCTCTGGACCTGCCGAGGCTGAAGGACCCGGACCTCCACTACGAGCTGATGCTGAAGGAGGCCAAGGAGGGGCTGACGAAAGGGACCAGGAAACTGGACCATCATGCATCAGAGCGACCCACCAGCGCTCTCGCCTACATGCGCTCACACAGGATGACTGAACATGTCGTGCAGGTAAGCCAGACCTTTTGAAGGGGAAATGGTTTTCCTCAAGGCAATATATAGTCAGTTGTTAATAATGGTCAGATTTGGTATGAAACTGGTTCTAGATCTAATTATTTCTTTAGAGATTATCGTTTTAATAATGTTTACCATTATTCCGAGTTATGTCATACATTAGTGACTTTCTGTAAAATCTTCAGATCATTCTTTTGAATATATTTTTCATCGATGAAAGAAAAATTAAAAATCAAAGAATTAATAACGTGTTTGTGATCAAATTAAGTTTTAACGATTGCCACTATTATGCAATGACATTTATTCTTCCAGCATGAATCAGTACCCTCTGACCTTGAGCTCCAGATGGAGGCTGAACGTATAGCTGTACGGGACTTTGCCCTGGAGCTGCAGCAGGGGTCAGCCCGAACTGACCTGTACGAGCTGACACCACCCACCAGCAATGAGAGTCGGGACACTCATGCTACCGGCGACTCCAAGAGAAACAGAGGGAAGAAGATGAAGATGAAGTAGGTCAACATGGATTCATTGTGTTGCTTAGTTCCAGGCTGACTCAGTAGTAACATTTTGAGGATAACCAACAAGCTAGGAGGAATTTTGGATTGTCTGGGTGAAAGAATGCTGTAAGCCCTGACTTATTGCCGAATAACCTTGAATCATATAGAAGTTCCAAATAGTATCCATCCCGTGTTGGGTCCAAACTTACAAGGTTTAACAATGATTAGGATATAGTCTCTTAGTAATGAGATTGTCAGTACCCTTTGACCTTCAGCTCCATTTTGATTTTTTCGTATGTTTATCGGTAGCCCTTGCAAATTGGCATGCCTTGCATATTTGACATAGTTGGTTGGTTGGTTTGTTGTTTAACGCCACACTCAGCAATATTCCAACTATATGAGGGCAGTCTGTAAATAATCGAGTCTGGACCAGACAATCCAGTGATTAATATCATGAACATCAATCCACGCATTTGGGATCGATGACATGCATCAACCAAGTCAGCGAGCCTGACCACCTGATCCCGTTAGTCGCCTTTTACCACAAGCATAGTATGTTTGACAAAGACATAACAATGTTCGGTGTATTCTGTCTATTTTAACCTGTATTTTGCTAACCAGGCCTCGACTGCCCGAGTATATCCTGGACTTCGGCCATGTTGTGCTGGGGACAGTGCGGACCCATGTTGTCCATGCGACCAACACAGGCTGGTTCCCTGCATCCTTCCAGGTGGAGCGAGACAACATCCACCACCACGGCTTCCACATCGAGCTGGACCGTGTCCGCAACTTGCCAGGTGCCCCAGACCACGAGACTGTCGACTTTGTTGTGTCCTTTGACCCTAGAGGAGCCAATCTGCAACTGGGGCAAGTGGAGACCATCGTTCCTATCAATGTAAGTACAGGCTTTATTTTATTAGTGTTTTATTGTGAGGAGGAACAGTGTTTAGTTTTTTTAGACTTTCTTATAGAATGACCTATGGTATATTTGGGATCATTGTTACTCTTCACAAATAATGTACACACTCTGTTCCTCCGTCATCCCTAAATACATACCGTATTCAATGTAATAAGCTCCCCGCACTAAAAAGCGCCCGGGGCGGTCGGGTAGCCTAGTGGTTAAAGCGTTCGCTCGTCACGCCGAAGACCCGGGTTCGATTCCCGACATGGGTACAATGTGTGAAGCCCATTTCTGGTGTCCCCGCCGTGATATTGCTGGAATATTGCTAAAAGCGGCGTAAAGCCATACTCACTCACTCACTCACTCACTAAAAAGCGCCCACGGCGATATTTGCTAATATATAGGCTAGTGAACAATCTCAATTAGCACCCATTTCAATTGTTCAATGTTCACAAGACTTATTTATTTGTGTATAATATGTGTGTTATATGCATCCTTAATTATGGGAAATTGAATTCTGGAAAAATATATCTGTCTTATATAAACATTTCAGGTTGTCAGCATATACCACGAAATTTACGATTATTCAATTCTGTTGTTTTTCAACAAAATAATATTCTAATGTTTCTAATTTTGAGAGCGCCCTGGGTGCTTATTATGTCGAATACGGTACTCCCAATTTGCAGTTTAGTAATGACATAAAGTCAAATGAGCCATGATGAACCTCAACATTGCCTGATATTGAAGACAAGGTGACTGCAAGGCAATACTGTGTTGCATGAGAAATATTGCCAGTTGTTCAATGTAATCAGTGCACTCATTGGCCAGTGGTCATAGCACTTGGTGGAACCAGGCCATGGCTTAATATGTTGGTTAAAAATAGTGAACACACTCCAAACTGTCTATGTATTCAAGGGTGATGGAGGAACGTAGTGTTGGCGTATTGACGATGATTTTATTCATGTCCACATGGTTCAATGGATTTGACATTACAGGTTATATAAATGGCAGCTACAGATAATCTCCGGTTGCTGCTTCTCAAGCCCTTGTGGGCAGTCGGGTAGCCTAGTGGTTAAAGTGTTCACTCATCACGCCAAAGCACCGGGTTCGATTTCCCACATGGGTACAATATGTGAAGCCAATTTCTGGTGTCCCACGCTGTGATATTGCTAGAATAATGCTAAAAGCGGGGTAAAATCACACTCGCTCACACGCTCAAGCCCTTGTATAAAGTCCACTGTCTTTGTTTAGATTGTTACTGGACCCCAAGTTGCCATCTGCCTGCGGGCTAACGTGACGATGCCTGACATGGAGATATCGGATGATACCCTGGACTTTGGGGATGTTCGGTGTGGGGAGTGCAAGGTGATCACAGTGCAGCTGCACAACCAACAGCAGGTGCCCTGTGAGTGGAACTCACTGCTGTCTGACAAGGACAGAAAACAGGTCAGTTTTCGGAGCTTAGACTCTTAGTGCGGTGTCTATTTTGTCTATGAATTTGTGCATCAAAGAATCTTGTACCCTGAATAAAGTCAGTCACAATGCAGATAGATTGATTAAGCTTGGAGATACAGAACTGACATTAATTATTTTATTGGCGGTATTAGGGCTGGGACGAATCCAAATTTACTTCCTGGGTACCCACTCCCATATTACCTGACGCTCCCCGGGTACCCGCTGTAGATATACATAGAGATAGGTACATTGTCCGATTGGGAAATATTGACCATAGCCCTAGCAAAATGAATTTAGATACACATGTAAAACAATCTGGTCATGCATACACTGAAGTTGACTGCATGAAGTTTTATCTTTATTCAAACATATAAAAATCAGAAGGAATGGGTGCATCGTCAGAAGCAAATTGAAAGATTAGTGACTTTTAGAGTCACCATTGAGTTTTAGATAATTTTTGTCATTAAACATTATATCACATGACAAACCACGTAGTCCTGTGGGTACCCGATTCCTTCTCAGTACCCACCCTACCCGAGTACCCGAGGTACCTGTACCAGCCCTAGGCTGTATCACTATAATGAGATTACATTTGTTTTAGTAAACCAAATTCTGATAATACAGTTATTAAAGTTAAATATATTACAAATTGTGTCCTAAAAGCATCGCCAGTAATTTTAACTGGATATTTTCAACTGGCATTGTCACACATACAAGCAGTTGAATATCACTTGTTGTATCTTGTGGTGAGAAAGCTTACAGATTTTGTGTAGATTGTGTGATTATATACAATGCAAAGACATTTGATTATGATGAATAATATTCAGTCAGTGATGATAAATTATCAATCACTAATTCTTTTTTAAATTACAAATTTTAGATGCCAAATATCTCAAATATTCCTTATTGGCTCAATTTTGGGTTGGCATATCTGTAAATGGAAAGTTTGGTATACATTGTATATTTAGATACTTATCCTATCTCACACTATGCATATCGTCTTTCTTCTTTGAAGAAGATATGCTTAGCGTGAGATAGGATAAGTTTAAAAATTTGAAAATTAGCAGATGACTTTAGTTTTGAATTAAAACTAATTGGACTCCAGTTCGGCAGGGCCTGTTTCATTTTTTTCGTCTTTGCATGGTCAGACTTTTAATTCTGTTATCTTCTGACACAAGTTAATACTGATGAAATATTCTAATAGTGTATACATTCTGTGAATCAAACATGGAAAAGTCCGAATCTATCCCTATTATGCTGTGAGAAGCTGCGGAGCTGGAGGTCTGTCTGTCATCTTTGTGAAATGTTGATCATTGTTTGCAGGCTGACCGCCACATCCCTATGCATCTGAGACGTAAGCTACGGCAGGAGAAGAAGAAGCCGCAGCACTATGAGATCATGCCGCCCACCGGGATGCTGATGCCTGGCCAGAGAACCAATGTCCAGGTCAAGTTCATGCCTACCGAGGAGGTCAGTGATTCACAATTCTTCTCCTTTCTTTTATGTTAATCTGGGCTACTTTGTTCTACTTTGTGTTACATATCGATGATGGGGATTCTTGGGTGAGACCTCTGCTGGTCGTAAGAAACAACCTAATGGGTCAGTTGGTCAGGCTCAGTGATGTTGTTGATAGTGTGTCCTCATACCCCGAATGGGGTGGTCGGGTAGCCTAGTGGTTAAAGCGTTCGCTTGTCACACCGAGGACCCGGGTTCGATTCCTGACATGGCTACAATGTCTGAAGCCCATTTCTGGTGTCCCCCGCTGTGATATTGCAGGAATATTGCTAAAAGTGGCCTAAAACTAAACTCACTCATTCACTCATACCCCGACTGCATGGATTGTTGCTCAATGTCGATCACTTGATTGTCTGGTCCAGACTTGATTATATACAGATTTTTTATATACAACAAACAAACAATATAGATGATGTGCTTAATATCATTGGTAGAGCTGTGTGAATGTGTTAAAACATTCCCATTATTCCCTTTATTTCAGAAATTCTACGAGAATCGTATACCAATCAGGATTTCCCAGAGCAGTCAAAGGATCTTATTGCTGTGTCGAGGTCAGGGTCTGGAGCCTCGTCTGGAGTTTGATCGCAACCTGGTTGAGTTCGGTCCCATCCTCCCGCACAGCAATGGAGATGAGCAGGAGATTGTGGTGAAGAACCCATGCAGCTTCCCAATAGAGTTCTACAACCTGGAGTGTGACGAGGGCTACCTGGAGGAGGAGAAGGTGCTGCGGCTGATGAAGGGGTACGACGAGTACAACACCATCCTGCTCCCTCCTCGCAACCCCGGGGACAAACTGCCATCTGAGCTGCTTGACCACTACGATGGTAATACAGAACACTTCTCATCTCCCCTGTGGGTTTTCTTTATAGGCTTATCGGTTCCCCACCCTATACTTGTGATGGTAAACTAATGACGATTGGGTTCTTACTATGTGCATCTTCCCGAGGCAAGTGTGTCCACTGGCCTATCAAAGTGTAGTTTCTACCCTTGCCACATCAAGGCTACTTTTCTTGGTTCGAACTGGTGCCACCTTGTGTAGATCATGACTTGTGCTCCTTGTAATGAAAACGCGATATCCAATCAGATCTCTGTTCTAGGCAAAGACCTAGACCATCAGATAATGAAAACATTCGCGATTACATCCCTGACACCAAAACATAGGCAATCGTTGGGGGGGGGGGGGGGGAGGAATGAAAAAGACATATTTGTGTCAACAAAGACAGGCAGTGGTAAATCACTTTCATGCAAATGTGTACAGTCGTGGATGTTGATTTTGTGATCTCTGACTGGACTATTGATATGTTCGATAGTCCAAGCATATCTAGCACAGGAAAGTGGGCTTGATGTGACAAGGGTGGATACAAGATTTTGGTAAAAAGGCTAGTGGACTCTCTTGCCTCAGGGAGATGTACTACATGTGACTGGCTGGTTTGTCTGTCATTTTGCTCTAACAGTGGGATTGTTGCTTAGGCTCTCAATCATTTGTTTGCCTTAAATAATAATAATGAGGCTAACAAATTCCTAAAGTATATCGTAACATAGATGATTTAGTTTGTGATTTTACCCCGACATTGGTTTATGTTCCCAGTACTTCTAGGTCTTGTTACAACTCATAAGTTGAAGTATATACTGTGTTGGAAATTAAGGGGGTCCTTGGGTCCTTGAGGCCATCTCCAACTTTAGACATTCGGGTTATGATAAGGACCCCGTGACTTTCATGACTGTTTTCATCACTGATATGATATGGGGCGGTCGGGTGGCCTGGTGTATAAAGCGTTCGCTCGTCACGCCGAAGACCCAGGTTCGATTCCCGACATGGGTTCAATGTGTGAAGCCCATTTCTGGTGTCCCCCGCCGTGATATTGCTGGAATATTGCTAAAAGCGGCTGAAAGCAAAAACTCACTCACTGATAAGATATAGCAAAGATATTGCTGTTTGGAGAAAACCCTCTCCCTCACTTGCAGTTGGGCTGTGATGTCAGAAATAGCAAAATGGCTGGTGACAAATCACACACACCTATTAGGGACATGCTTTGGAATTTTGTAAGTTTTATTTTGAATATTTCCAATCAAAGATAACACAGTGATGATACAACATATGTATTTTTAAATGCATCAAAGAAGTTCATCAGCTGTGATGAATCTACTGATGATTAACGTGAACTAATATTTTGTAGAGCAAATGAAGAAGTTGGAGGAAGAGGAGAGAATCAAGAGAGAAGCAGAGGAGGCAGCTGAAGCAGCTCAGAGAGAACAAGAAGAGAGAGAGAAAGGAGGTCAATACTTGTTTCTCCTTCCTTCAGTGATTCCTGGATGGTTTTGTTGTTGTTGTTGTTGTTGTTGTTTAACGCCGCACTCAGCAATATTCCAGCTATATGACGGTGGTCTGTAAATAATCGAGTCTGGAACAGATGATCCAGTGATTGGCATCATGAGCATTGATCCATGCAATTGGGATACAATGACATGCATCAACCAAGTCAGTGAGCCTGACCACCCGATCCTGTTTGTGTCCTCTTACGACAAGCATAGTCGCCTTTTACGGCAAGCATGGGTTGCTGAAGACCTATTCTACCCCGGATCTTCACGGGTCGATTCCTGGATGGATCACAGTACCCCATTTTTGTCATAAGTGTCAACTACAAGGAGGATTGGGTGGTTAACATGTGTGACCGAGCTGATTATGTGTGACTGTAGATAGTTGATATGTATCACCTCATACTATCAACCACTGGTCTACATGGCTGAGAGCCTGTGAATATCCAGGTTAGAACTGATCTTCAGGAACCCAGGATTGTTGTTAGAGGTGACTAACGGGATCGGGTGGTCAGGCTCGCTGACTTGGTTGAAGCATGTCGTCATATCCCAATTGGGTAGATCGATGCTCATGACGTCATCACTGGCATGTCTGGTCCAGATTATTTACCTACTGCCGTCATATAGCTGGAATGCGGCATTTAACAACAAACATGGCCTTGTCACTTGTTTGAACTGTAGCCCTCACGGAAACATGAATTGGAGTTTGCAATATATTTGTTTAAATATAAATTTTTGTTCAGCATAACAGACCAGTGTTAGTGAAGACAATTGATAGTTATCAGGTTTATATGTGATCAATTCATAACAAATTTGATTATTCATTACAAACAACTTATGTGTTGAAATCATATTGGCGTGCATGAATGATGAAAACAGTGTGATGTTGTATAATGAGAACTGTTTTTTATCTGGCTCTTGTCACAACAGAGCATGGTGATGAGGAGGGCAAGGAGCATGACGACACAGAGCATGCACCAGTCATTGTCATGACAGTACCATCTCGGGAGCTCACGCCACGGGAACAACCACCAAAGACTCACTCAGATGAAGAGGAAAAGATTAAAAAAGATGAATCTTCGGAAGGTAAGGAATCTCTTTGCTTCTTCTCTTGCCAGTGCCTCATGTATCAAGGATAGGAGAAGGTAGGACTGGGATGAGTCCAAATTTACTACCTGGGTGCCCCACCCCCTATTACCCGACCCTACCTGGGTACCAGTGTTGGGAACAAAATGTCCAATTGTGATTCGCAGCCCTAAAACTATTTAGATAAATATCTATGTATCTAACCATCAGATCATGGGTACACTGAAGTTGACTGAAGCTTTATCTTTACTCAAACATATACAAGTCAAAAGGAATGTGTGCATCGTCAAAGCAATGCGAACATTAACGACTTTTGGTGTTACCACTGAGCTATAGTGAGTTTTTGTCATTAAACAATATATCATGTAACTAACCATGGGTTCGGGTAGTACTGTGGGTACCCGGGTCGTAATCAGTACCCACCCGACCCGAGTACCCTAGTTACCCGTCCCAGCCTTAGGAGAAGAGAGTAAATAGTCAACCATATTCTCATCATTATTGGAGACTACATCTTGTGTATTGCAGAGAGAGACAAGGAGAACACTGTGGGTGTTGGGGAGCTGGAGATCACGCCAGTGTCGGCTGCCATTGCCCGACACCTTGGCATTGACCTTACTCCTGAAGGCAAGGCTGCCCGGAACCGACGAGGCATCAGCCTCATTGTACATGGACCACCGATGTCAGGTAACACTGAGGATATATGTGAATAGTTTAATATAGTTACATTTGTACAGTACGTTAGATCTCAGTAGTCCTCATTCTAAACTAGCTCTTGATCCATTCCCATGATTCTCGCGATCACAAATTACCCACCTTTGATTTTCATTGACATTTTACCGACCAATCAAAATTTGAGATATGGAAAAAGGAGATGGAGATATGGGTAAGGGAGGTAACTCGTATTGTCTAGAAACCAAAAACACCACCAATTTTAACGAAGACATCCTTTCCATCAAAAAGATTTCTTTTGCATGTCTGTCAGTTTTTTACAGTCTGTTGAATTTCTCACAAACCCTATCATAATCAATGGCACTGTCTGCCATGTTGTTAATATCGCCAACCCTAACATTGAGGCTGGTTTGTAATTCACATTCGGATTGGTCCATTAGACTGAGTAGCGTTGCAAATCAAATTGGCAAATGAGAATCAAGGACAGGTCATATGAGATCGGGAGAACCACAGGAATGGATCCGGGAGTTGGTGTTGGTATGCCGAAATGCTAGCCCTAATGATAGAGAGGATGGTTAGTCCTGAAGTCACACTTTTCAGATGGGCATGTCGGATGTCTTCATACAAAGTGTATATGCAAAGGAAATGACTCTATATTTATCAGTGATTTGTTTTTTTCATGTTTATTCTTAATAATTTTTCCTTTGGAACTGTAAAGTCTGGATAAGCAGTTTAATGCAGAGCTCCAGATAAGCTTTTGGTGTTGTGGGTATTTTACCCATGCATTTTAAAATCATTGGGTATCAGTAATTCTATCTGGGTGTTCAAATTTCTGTTACCCACTAGTTTTTACACATGTAGGTATTTGAGTTAAATATTTAAAAACACTATTCATCTAGTCCCTGCAAACTGGTGTCGTTTGGGTTCGGGAGCTTTATAGGACTCAAAAATACCACGATACTTCCACAAGAAAGTGTGATGGCAAATGATCATGATGTAACTGTCATCGTGGAGTTTGGCAAGGTTGATAGAGTGCCCGTTTATAAAAATTTCAAAATAAGTTGCTGATTTGCAAATCGAATACGCAGGGATACTTCACAATATTTTGATGATACGCACAAGTTTTATTTTTGTAGCGTATCTGTAATGTTCGTTGCGTATTTGATACGCTTGGATTTTATTTGACCGCGTATTTCTGCATTTCTGATGCGTATTTTACACAGATACGCAGCTTATCGGGAGCTCTGTTAATGGAATTTTCATCAAAATGTGTAACTTCTCAGCAATCATTTAAAATACAATGAGTGACTGCCTAGTAATGACCAATCAGAGATGGTATTGCAGCTGCACAGACTGCTCATGCAGGGTCTTGACATCAGCAACAGACTGATGACGAGCCTTCGTTCGCACCTTTAACTCTGCAGTCTCACCGTGGAAATCTCATCAGCTGGTGTTTCTTTTTCAGGCAAATCCAGCACAGTGGTCATGCTGGCTAAACGCTACAAGGCAGCCATACTGTCTGTAGATGGGGTAGTTCTGGAGGCCATATCCAACGGCAACACTCCATCAGGTCTCAAGGCCAGAGAACTGTGTGCTGATGCTGCAAGAAGGAAAGCCGAGGAGATCAAGGGCTTGGAGCCAGACGACCCCGAGAAGACAAAGGCTGGAGGTCTGAGCGTGGAGGCTCTCACGGCCCACACACAGGGAACCAGTAAGTGCCAGTCAAGCAAGGAACACTAGTCCTCCAACATACAATGTATTGACATGATGGGAATTTTAACACCATTTGGAAATGTCTCATTTAGAAAATAAAAATGCCTTCAAATCAGGGTACCGGTCACTGACCAGTTATCGCCATCTTTTTCATGTTATTTCTTGACTTCTGTTATCATGCTACGATAGGGAATCAAAACAGTGGAAATAGAACTTTCCCATTGACTTACTGTACCAGTTAGCACCATCGTCTTAACAGCATGTACCATGTAATCATGCACACCACTTCAGTTATACAAATTATTTTTTTTAATATCTTGGGTATCACACTCAATTTTTTATTCATCAAAATTAATAAGAAATGGTATGATCAATTTGTTGTCTGCAAATTTGGTCTTAGGCGATAACTGGTCGCTAGACAGTAGTGAAATTAGAGAAAAGAGGTCATCATTTGTTTCTTTATCCCATGGCAAGCAAACCGTCTGTTATTAAAAGTCAGTGTTGGGATGTGTCACTCAATAGGCCTGTCTTGTAGGCCTGTAGAATTCTTTTTCTTAAATTTGTTTTGGGAAATATAGACACCCAGAACTTCTGTGAAGAAACATACCAAAGGAAGGTAGTGTGAGCTTAACCTTGGACTATCATGTGTAGTTCCAGGCACTGGAGTTGTGGGTGGAGCAGCCTCTATGATTTCCAACAGGAAGACAAGCACCATCTCGGAACAGAAAGGCAAGGAGAAGCATCATGGTGGCAGCGTCCTGGGAGCCAAGACTGCAGTCAACACATCCTCCGTAGATGGAGCCACAGGCAGTCAGGTAGAGAGTGATTTAATGCTTTGTAACTTATTGTGGACAAGTCAACTGTTCAACTGTTCACAAATCAGTTGCGACTCAGTTAATTTGGAGAATCACCCTTCATGCTTTTGATATGTTTATTGTAGTTAAGAATAAGGAATAGGGTTATTAGTTTCAGATTAAAGATAAGGGTAAAAGAAAGTACTCTTTGTCAGAGCCAGATCCAGGGCCCGTTCCACAGAATGATCGACTGTCGTATGTCCATTTTAAAGAATGAGATATTATCATCTTAGCGCTATGATCGCTTTGGGGAACAGGGGCCTATTTTTTCCCAGTGTCAGAGTAACAAAGTGAACAAACACATGCAATAGAGAGACTGACACATGTAGACACATAAGGTGTTTGGATCTCCCAGTGTCCTTTGGTAGTCAGTGTACTAAAGGTTCTGAATTAACTGTGGTACTGAGGTTGATGTGTTGTATTGTGTAGGTGCCAAGCAGTCCCCCACCCCTGGCCGCACCCATCGCCCGCCGTCTGAGTGTCAGTGCCTCGGTGGCTGGAGAAGAGGGGCTGATGAGCTGTATCCTGCCTGAGGAGCTGCTGGTGGACCTGCTGGCTGAGAGGATGCAGGTAGGACAGCACAAGAGTTATCTTTTGTATCAATCAATAGACTAAGGTCATACATTTAACATACTAATAGGAAAGTGTTCTGTCATTGTGCAGGGGAACAGGCACCCAGTTGTCTAAGGCGCTGCAGTTGGGATTGATTGTGTTTCTAGGCTTGTCAGTCCCATACGTGTGCTCATGGGTTTGACCAATATGATAAATGTCTGAGACCTGCATCACTTTGGACTTTCCTTCCACATTAGCCAACATACAGTGATATAACTGGATTACTGTCCAAAGCAGCATTAAACCCAACACACTCACTCACCCTGTCATGCTGTTGTTGTCACTGAAGCAGCTGAATAATCTTCTATACAGAGGACACTTGTAGTAATAGAGGACTAAAATAGATCCGATGTACAGTAAACTATGTTTATAACAAACACACTTATAATGAAATGACGGTTATAACAAACTGTTATTTTTGGTCCTGGACATTCCTGTACCCTTTAGTTGAAACACTTATAACGAACTGCCGTTATAACAAACAAAGTTGTTGTTCCCTTTGAGTTCGTTAGGCTTAAAAAAATAAAGAATTGGTTCTCAGGCAATGACTTTTGCAAATATAGTGCGGGCGGGCGGAGTCTTTCTTTTTTTGCTTGTTCAAACTAGTATTTCACCACATAAACAGTTGTGTACCATCAACCTGGCAAAGGGTCTCTCTACACAAACAAGCATACAAACTCCTATTGTGGCAATGATCACAACACGTGATGGGAGTAAAGCAGCGCTCATATAAAGGGAAGTAACTGCGTGCTATATTCAATCACATTTTTTAAGTGTTAGGATTTTGTTGTTTTTAATATTTAAAATGGAAATAAAAACGAAACGTGAGACAGACTTTATTATGATGCCGGCGCAGCCTGAGAACCAAGACTCTTTTTCTTTTAAGCCTTATAACCATATTTTACTGTACCTCTACTTGTCATGAGAAGCTGCTAAAATGAGAATCAGGTGGTCACAATGTGGACCTGGGCATTGTACCACAAAGGTATTGATAGTAGCTCCATACACTATTATCACTTGACAATTGCCAATGTTAGCATTAAGGCTGCATTCTCTCACTCTCTGATGCTGAGGTGTCTTCTGTCCCCACAGCTGGATGACTGCCACCGGGGTGTGGTGTTTGATGGGCTGGAGACACTGTTCTCCCAGAACTACCTCACCACAACCAACGCCATTCTGAAGGCTCTCAACAACCGCCGCTTCATCTTCTTTGTCACGCTGAAGCTGGACTACAACATCCTCAAGGAACAGGAGAAGAAAGACATGGAAGAGAGAGGTGAGCACATTATCCACAGGCCCTTACACACACTGTAAACAGGCCTTCTTTAACCATGTTAACCTCTCTCTGTGTGGTCTTTGAATTTGATACTATTATACTTAAAGGAGACTAGACTTTAGTGGCACATGGTCCTGTGTGCAGCACACAGTTCACAAATCAGGTGAAGCGAAGCCACGTTGGTCGCGGAGAGTAGTTGGATGCGTTTGGCAGCTTGACTCGTGAGAATTTCTAGGGCTTCGGTCCTGCCCCCACTGTAGCACATGTAGTCCATGTGGTGTCTCCTCAGTCAAATGACTTTGAAATATGGTAGTGAAGATGGTAATTTGAGTGTTAACCTTCTAGGCCTCACAGGCAGCGTGGTTTGTATACCCCCCCAGGGAGAGTGTCATGTTGTATCTTGTTATGCATCCCATCTTCATGAAGCTGTCTGTGCAGAGTTGCATTCCTTAGACATTCCCGAACCTATGATCATGAGTTTGAATCCCAGAATTTCCCTGATTATGTTTTAAGTTTGTCTCCACTATACCCATACTCATTACTTTCACCAAAGTGGTAAACGTGGTAAGTGGTAAGACCTGCATTACTTTTGGCTGACAAACTGCCATATAACTGAAATACTGTTTCGTGGTTGATGCATGTCATCATATCCCAATTGCGTGGATCGATGCTCATGATATCAATCCTTGGATTGTTTGGTCCAGACTCGATCATTTACAGACCCCCCTCATATAGCTAGAATATTGCCGAGTGTGGTGTTAAACAACAAATAAACAAACAAAACTCCAACACTTGGTGTGCTTGTAGAGAATCAGGCGCGTCAGGCGGAGGAGCAGGAGCGGCAGAGGCTGGAGGACATGTCGGAGGATGAATATGATGCCCTCACTGATGCTGAGAAGGCCGTTGTGGACAAGAAGAGGCTTGAGATAAAGAAAGAGAGAATAAAGAAGTATGTTTTGATAGGCATTTAAAATTTGAAGAAAATTTAGAAATGAAATGTTTACCAGTACCCCTAAAATGTTGTTACAAGTGGGAAAGAAGAAGTAGGTGGCAGTATTGTCATTCATCAACAATCAGCAAAGATTAGATTTGAAATATCAATAATTGTATAAATGTTATACAATGGCCATTTTTCATATCACAGAGAAGAAGAAATGGAGAAGATTAGGAGAGAGAATGAAGCTCTGGAAGAAGAGAGAAGGAAACAGGAAGAAGAAATGTAAGTAATTATTTCTTGTCCCCTATATTTGAGATGATATTGGAAGTTTATATTGTTCATCTAAGTTAATAGCTGTTGTAAGTCAATCAGTGATTTACAGATAAGATTATTTTACCGAATATATTTGCTCATTTTGACACAGTCCTATAACACAAGAAGTTAGAAGTACCGTATTCGACGTAATAAGCGCCCAGGGCGCTCTCGAAATTAGAAATAGGGGGCTCTTAGAATATAGAATATAATTTTGGTGAGAACAAAAACAGAGTTGAAAGATTGTAAATTTCGTAGTTTATGCTGACAGCCTGAAATGATACAAAAGAAAAGTATGTGCATATATCATACACGACAGATATATTTTTCAGAACTTAATTGCCCATAATTAAGGGTGCATATAACACACCAGTGCGTATTATACATGAATAATTAAGTCTTGTGTACATTGATCAATCGGAAGGGGTGCTAATTGGGATTGTTCACTCGCCAGTATATTAGCAAATTTCGCCCCGGGTGCTTATTACAGCGGCTCGCTTATTACGTCAAATACGGTAAATGGATTAAAACTTTGACTCCATATGCTGCGCCCCTCATGGTTTATTCTACCTGCAGTATTTTATTGTACAATAAACAACTCCCACTCGTTATTATTTTTTTAAATATAGCAGGCATATAAAGTGTATAGTACAGCTACTTCATTAGCCAACATGAAGTGGGCACTCCTACAGAAGAGTAAGCAAGCCTTGCAAGATTTAATTTTTCTCATTCACATCACTATTATGATGTCATAGCTGACAATAGAAAAGTGCCACATTTCAAGCTTTCTAATGTCCCCCAATACTTTTGCTGAGTTTATTTCAATCATGTTTTCTGCACAAAATGGATTGCCACACATACGTTGAATACTGTTGTTACTGCAAATCTGCATTTTACAATCTGTAATTGTACATTTGACTATTTAATGCCTACCAACAGTAAAGAAAAGAAGTACTTTTCAATTAATGTTATCTTCCGCAGTGATGTGGTTGTCAAATTGGCTGTTTCAATCAGAGGTGGTTAATGGGATTTGATACCTCTGATTGAGCATCCTGAATCAGAATTAACTATTTCCCAAATTCATGGTTGTAAACATATTATTTCTCATTAACATTTGGTTAATCTGGAGAAAGTGATGATCAGTATTATAACCTCCAAGAAATACTGCTCGGTATTTGAACTGTAGATTACTTCATGTTTATTTTCTCTCAATGCTCATAGGTCCATTGTTGCATCTATGTCTGAATTACCGTGGTGAGGAAATTTAAGATATTAGAGTAAAAGCTGCATGCACATGTTCACAGTGTCCTGTATGTTCTACAAGCTCGAAGCATGAGTTGTTGGTGATTTATCCATGTTGTAGACACCTCATGGTCTTGTCATGAAACACCAGGGCATATATTGCACAGGGTACATCCTTCTTTTCTTCATCACTTGTAAATGCAAATGGCCGCGTGGATCAAAACATGACCTTGTTCCAGCAAGGGGAAGACAATTGTTGAGACGAATAAGTGGTTAAATTATATGACAAAAATGACAATACTTCTCATGAAACACGGTACATTGCCGTGCGGCTATCTGTTTGACATGTTTCTTCATCAACAGACAATGTTAGTGTTTACACTGAATTCATGTTTGGAGTAGGGCCCAATTTACTTCCATGAGTAGTAAATGGCTACTGTAATAATAATAATAATAATGATAATAATAATAATGATGATAATGATAATAATAATAATAGTAGTAGAAGTAGTCCATTTATATGGCGCTGTACTCCATGCAAAAGCATGCTCTAAGCGCTTAGACATTATGACCCCAGTCAATGGATCAGTGTGCACTCAACAATCATTTTCAGCTCCCTCGGGAGTATACAACCCAAGCTGCCTGTTCTGGACATAGTGTACCTGGTGTACACAACCCTGTCAAGTATTGACGATGTTATGCTTAATGTTGATGATGATAGTAAAGGCAAGTAACACCAACCTTCTGTGGTTGTCACATATAACTTGCACTTACATTTGAGCATCATTTGACACAGATCTCCTTTTTTTAAAACAAAATATCATTTTCGAAAAGATCTTTTTCCCCTAAATTGTTCACATTTAGATGTAGAACAAGTACTGACTGACTGAATAGTAGCCTGCTCAATGATGACTGCATGACATAGTGATAATCGGAGTGTATGTACAGTGACAATCAGCAATCGTGGAGTCATCCACAACGTCTAGTGGCCTAGAGGTAGTGTGTCTGCCCGGAGAGTGGAAGGTCCAGGGTTCGATCCCCCGCCGTGTCATAACAAAGGATGTTAAAAGATGGTACTTGTTGTTACCCTGTCTGGTGCTCGGCATTAACGGGCTAAAACAAGGACTGGTCGGCTCGGAGTCAGTATACTGTGTCTGAGTGGGGTATTCATGTTAAACTGGCATGGTATCTCAGTGTGCTAGCACTATAAATCGGCATCAGTCCGGACTGGTACAAGTAGCCACTCACACACATGTGCATGTACGCCGCTATATGAGTGCAATAATCATGGATGCAACGTTACACCCCATTTCACCTCACCTCATACACAAGGAAAGCACATTATTCGATTCACTGGATATGTGTACGTGACACTGAGCCGGATGTCTCAGATGTATGTGTGATTGGGTTGGGTGGATCTAGCTAGCACACCATAAGGTACAGCCGCCCCTTCATGTCTTAATCCTGACTAGTGTTTTAATTAATGAAGCTGCAGTATTCATGTTTCTACAATTAGATATATTAGAAACTTAACCTGGTGTGAAATAAACAAGGACCTCATGTTAAGGTAATTACTTTTTTTGTGCCATCAATGGTCGAGTTTAATTCATCATATGGAATTTAGATTTAAACATTGTAAAATTGTGTACCTCAATTTGCAAAAGGCATATTGAGTCCGCAATTTGTAATCTTGTACAATGGTGATTGTATAGTTGTTGAGACAAGTACAATTTTCTTAGCAAGTTATGTCTTCATGACCTTGACCTTTCTTCCAGTAATAAACCAAAGAGACCAAGGAAAGGGAAGGATGCTAATAAGGATAAGGATAAGGATAAGGATAAGAAGGGTGTGGCAAGCAAGGCCGGCACCCAGCCCAGCCAGGATCGTGTGGGGCAGAAGTCCCAGGGTGGTCAGCGGCCACATGACAGTGAACACGCCGCCAAGACTGGCTCCAACACAGAGAGACCAGAGTCCCACCAGACTGAGAAGTCAGATACACAGATTGATGACAAGTAAGTTTTGTGTCAGGTCACATAAAACAAAAGTATCTTCAGTGAAGCGTTTTGTTGGTTTAGGTATATGATGTCCTTGAGGAGAAGTAATTTTGGTAAGAAAATTCAAGAATGTTTCTTATTTCATAGGAATGGATTTCTTGACAGAAATATTTGTTTACCATACTACCTCAGCTATAGCTAACATATTCCAACAATACTATTTGCCATACACCTGCCGTACCCATGCCACACAACGACCCTTATCTTCACAAACTGTCTATTGACACAACTTTCCAAACCCACCTCATACCCCATTCTCCAAAACTATTCCTTCCTAAGACACACCTCATACCGAAACTATCTCATCCACACAACTTGCCAAACCCACCTCATACCCCATTCTCCCAAACTATTCCTTCCCAAGACACACCTCATACCGAAACTATCTCATCCACACAACTTGCCAAACCCACCTCATACCCCATTCTCCCAAACTATTCCTTCCCAAGACACACCTCATACCGAAACTATCTCATCCACACAACTTGCCAAACCCACCTCATACCCCATTCTCCCAAACTATTCCTTCCCAAGACACACCTCATACCGAAACTATCTCATCCACACAACTTGCCAAACCCACCTCATACCCCATTCTCCCAAACTATTCCTTCCCAAGACACACCTCATACCGAAACTATCTCATCCACACAACTTGCCAAACCCACCTCATACCCCATTCTCCCAAACTATTCCTTCCCAAGACACACCTCATACCGAAACTATCTCATCCACACAACTTGCCAAACCCACCTCATACCCCATTCTCCCAAACTATTCCTTCCCAAGACACACCTCATACCGAAACTATCTCATCCACACAACTTGCCAAACCCACCTCATACCCCATTCTCCCAAACCATTCCTTCTTAAGACACACCTCATACCGAAACTATCTCATCCACACAACTTGCCAAACCCACCTCATACCCCATGCTCCCAAACCATTCCTTCTTAAGACACACCTCATACCGAAACTATCTCATCCACACAACTTGCCAAACCCACCTCATACCCCATTCTCCCAAACTATTCCTTCCCAAGACACACCTCATACCGAAACTATCTCATCCACACAACTTGCCAAACCCACCTCATACCCCATGCTCCCAAACTATTCCTTCCCAAGACACACCTCATACCGAAACTATCTCATCCACACAACTTGCCAAACCCACCTCATACCCCATGCTCCCAAACCATTCCTTCTTAAGACACACCTCATACCGAAACTATCTCATCCACACAACTTGCCAAACCCACCTCATACCCCATTCTCCCAAACTATTCCTTCTTAAGACACACCTCATACCGAAACTATCTCATCCACACAACTTGCCAAACCCACCTCATACCCCATTCTCCCAAACTATTCCTTCCCAAGACACACCTCATACCGAAACTATCTCATCCACACAACTTGCCAAACCCACCTCATACCCCATGCTCCCAAACCATTCCTTCTTAAGACACACCTCATACCGAAACTATCTCATCCACACAACTTGCCAAACCCACCTCATACCCCATTCTCCCAAACTATTCCTTCCCAAGACACACCTCATACCGAAACTATCTCATCCACACAACTTGCCAAACCCACCTCATACCCCATGCTCCCAAACCATTCCTTCTTAAGACACACCTCATACCGAAACTATCTCATCCACACAACTTGCCAAACCCACCTCATACCCCATTCTCCCAAACTATTCCTTCTTAAGACACACCTCATACCGAAACTATCTCATCCACACAACTTGCCAAACCCACCTCATACCCCATGCTCCCAAACTATTCCTTCTTAAGACACACCTCATACCGAAACTATCTCATCCACACAACTTGCCAAACCCACCTCATACCCCATGCTCCCAAACCATTCCTTCTTAAGACACACCTCATACCGAAACTATCTCATCCACACAACTTGCCAAACCCACCTCATACCCCATGCTCCCAAACCATTCCTTCTTAAGACACACCTCATACCGAAACTATCTCATCCACACAACTTGCCAAACCCACCTCATACCCCATGCTCCCAAACCATTCCTTCTTAAGACACACCTCATACCGAAACTATCTCATCCACACAACTTGCCAAACCCACCTCATACCCCATGCTCCCAAACCATTCCTTCTTAAGACACACCTCATACCGAAACTATCTCATCCACACAACTTGCCAAACCCACCTCATACCCCATTCTCCCAAACTATTCCTTCCCAAGACACACCTCATACCGAAACTATCTCATCCACACAACTTGCCAAACCCACCTCATACCCCATTCTCCCAAACTATTCCTTCCCAAGACACACCTCATACCGAAACTATCTCATCCACACAACTTGCCAAACCCACCTCATACCCCATGCTCCCAAACCATTCCTTCTTAAGACACACCAAACCACCTGTCTCCCCAAACTATCTCATCCACACTAGGGCTGGGACGGGTAACTCGGGTGCTCGGGTCGGGTGGGTCCTGAGTAGGACCCGGGTACCCACAGGACTACCCGGACCCGTGGTTAGTCACGTGATATATTGTTTAATGACAAAAGTCACTATAGCTCAGTGGTTACACTACAAGTCGCTAATGTTCGCATTTCATTCTGACGATGCACACATTCCTTTTGACTTGTATATGTTTGAGTAAAGATAAAGCTTCAGTAAACTTCAGTGAACGCATAATCTGATTGTTTGATACATGTATCTAAATAGTTTTAGCCAGGGCTGCGGTAAAACAATTCCCAATCAGACATTTTGTTCCCAACTCTTTAGACCTTTAGCTGGTACCCGGGTAGGGTCGGGTAATAGAGGGTCGGGTACCCGGGTAGTAACTTTGGACTCATCCCTGCCCTAATCCACACAACTTGCCACACACCCATCCTACCCCATGCTCCCAAACTATTCCTTCCCAAGACACACCTCATACCCAAACCACCTGTCTCCCCAAACTATCTCATCCACAAGACCGCCTCCGTGGTCTAATGGTAAAGCATCCGCCCGGAGAGCGGAAGGTCCGGGGTTCGATCCCCAGCCGCGTCATACCAAAAGACGTTAAAAGATGGTACTTGTTGTTACCCTGTCTGGCGCTCGACATTTGGGGCTAAAACAAGGACTGGTCGGCTCGGAGTCAGTATACTGTGTCTGAGTGGGGTATTCATGTTAAACTGCGGCATGGTATCTCAGTGTGCTAGCACTATAAATCGGCATCATTCCAGACTAGTACAAGCAGCCACACACACATACACGTGCATGCACGGCGCTATATAAGTGCAATAATCTTGGACGCGACGTTAAACCCCATTTCACCTCACCTCACCTCACCTCACCTCACCTCACCTCACCTCACCTATCTCATCCACACAACTTGCCACACACCCATCCTACCCCATGCTCCCAAACTATTCCTTCCCAAGGCATCCGTCATACTATTCCTATATACTACTTTAGGAAGAAGAAGGCCGTCAAGGATGGAAAGAAGGTTGATGGTAAGGGCAAAGAGGAAATTCCCGCTACTGATGGGGAGAATAAAGATGCACTCAAGGAAGCAGAGATACTTCTCATGCAGAGGTAAGTACATGGAAATAGTTTGTGCTTCATTAGTTCAGCCTTGTTGCCCTTTAAGAATCAACTTCCCTATCTGTACCAGAATCCAGTGATCATGGGTTCGAATTTAGGTCCACTCTGATTTAATCCTTGCTTTTGGTCTGTGACCTGTGTAACTTTCAGATTTGACACATGCTGTGATATACCTGACATACTGCTTAAAAGTGGCATTTAAATCAAATTTACTCATTTACTTTGAGTGGGCAGACAGGTAGCCAAGTGGTTTAAGCGTTCGCTCATCACGCCGAAGACCCGGGTTCGATTCCCGACATGGGTACAATGTGTGAAGCCCATTTCTGGTGTCCCCCGCTGTGATATTGCTGGAATATTGCTAAAACGCCGTAAAACCATACTCACTCACTCATTTACTTTGAGAATTCTATGTAATGAATACTGTAGTAATTTGGATATGTTCATGTAAATGGGATCACTTTGTTTCCAGGTTCCGAACCTTTGAGCATGCCCAGAATGAACTGACCCATCTCCTGGAGTTCTGGGACCGTACCACCCTGCAAATCAAACGTCCCCCCACTCCTTCCGAGAAGTCTGAAGAGGATGGGGCACAGCATCCTCCATCAGGGAAGAAGGGCAAGGGGAAAGGTAGGCCAGAAATATCTATTGGTTTAGTCAGCATGGAAGCTTTGTTTCCAGCATCTTCCCGAGGCAAGAGCGTTAACTGACTTTACAAGTCCAGTTTCCACCCTTGCCAAACTAGGGTGGAATTCCTGGGCTCGATCGTAGCGCCACCAGTGGCTGTTACGAGTTATGTCCATTCTATGCCTCTCCCATATGGACCAATCAGATTTCACCTCTCGTATCACATGCATTTGCTTCAAACAAAATGGTGGCGCCCAGTCAAAATGATCTCATCGACCATCAAGATCTATTTTGTGATAAAACGGTTCTTACTTCGCGAAGTACATCAAATCACGTGAGCATCTTGATTAGAAAGATAAAAAGATTTGGAAAATATATGTTGACAACGAGTTGGCGATGCACATGCTTTGCAAATCCTGCAATCGACCGAACTCTGCAAGACAGTTTACGAACCGGATTTCGATTTCGGTGCGCGATTTTGATTGGACTATGCATAGACTCGTTAGTCCAGCCAAAATGTAATTCCATAATCCCAGCCTAGTTCGGCAAGGTTGGAAACTGGACTTTTATAGTCAGTTAACTCTCTTGCCTCGGGAAGATGTGTTTCCAGTGAATTGAGTGAACCCTGGAGCATATTCCTGAATTACATTTTTACTGACAAACTGCATGCACATCAGAACTCAACTTTGAATATTCTCCTGACTTAATGCCTTGTTTATTGTGGGAATGTGGTGTTTCTTTTCTCCAGACAAGCATGACAAGGAAAAAGAGAAAGAGAAGGAAAGACAAAGACTTGAGAAAGAGATGGCGGAGAAGGCAGCTAAGGAGGTGAGTCTTGACGATGTGTTGGGAGTCTTATCGAGGGATTTCAGAAATGCACTGTCCCTTATAGACTGAAATCAATAATAAGTAAGACTTTAGGGACCGGTCATGTATTACAGGAGTTTTTAATGCGCAGAATGTACAGAAAATAATTACCCTCCCCCAACGTTTGTCATATTTTTTGATGACCCTTCTCATGTCCTTTTACATTTATTTCATGATTCTCCCTGCAAAGACAAAATTCAAAAGCGCTTGTATTTATTATAAAATGTCAATTTATTTATAACCCTCTCCAGATCTGTGAAGATCCGGGGTAGAATAGGTCTTCAGCAACCCATGCTTGCTGTAAAAGGCGACTTTGCTTGTCGTAAGAGGCTACTAATGGGATCGGGTGGTCAGGCGCACTGACTTGGTTGATGTATGTCATCGTATCCAAATTGCGTGGATCGATACTCATTATGTCAATCACTGGATCGTCTGGTCCAAACTTGATTATTTACAGACTGCCGTCTTATAGCTGGAATATTTGGGTGCGGCGTTAAACAACAAACAAACAAATCATTATCCTCCCCAAATGTGTGTATTATTTTTTTATGACCCTCCCATATAGACTGTCATTTTATGGTGACCCTCCTCTGATTCCCTCAGACCCACCAATCCCTATAATAAATTATAGACACCAGTCAATACTGATTTCAGAAAAAGAACCTGGTCACTGTTGGATATGTATGTTTGGTGTGTATAGGAGTGTTTGTTTTTGATTGGTTTATGTGAAATTCTCTTTTTAATTTTCAATCTAGCTTTGGATATTTTGTCATCTATTGTGATACAGTCCTACATCAGTCATCCTGAAAACTGAATATTATTATACAATATTGCCACAGTCTTGCACCTTCCATTATGGTAACTCATCTACACATGCTCCCTCTGCTGTAGGCTGCTCTGGCTGCAGCCCAGGCCGATGGTGATAGCCAGGATGGAGATCACACTGATGACCCCAACAAGAAAGTGGAGGACGGAGTTGGCGTGCCCAACATTCTCATCAACTGCGCAGACAGGACCGTCCACCCTGGGGAGAAGATCATGCGGGGAGAGAAGCTGCCCACAGTGGAAGAGGTCAGTGTGGCAGTGACTTGAACACAAAAAGCTGTATATCGATCAATGACGTGGACCCAAGAAATTAGGGCTTGGACAAGTCCAAATGTACGACCCGGGTACTCGACCCCCATTACCCGACCTTACCTGGGTACACACTGTAGGTCTCAAGAGTTAGGTACATCATGTCTGATGCGGAATTGCTTTACTGGAGCCCTACCAAATGTTATGTACATACGGGGGCACCAGTGGCCCAGTCGTCTAAGGCGCCGCGATTCGCTGTGCAGAGTTGCGTCCCTTGGGCACGCCAGAAACCTATGATTGTGGGTTCGAATGCCGGTTCGCCCAGATTATGTTTCAAGGTTTGTCAGCACCATACCCTTGCTCATCTGTTTCACCGAAGTGGTAAACATCTGAGACCTGCATCACTTCGGGCTTTCCTCCCACATTAAGCTGCCACGCCGTGATATAACTGGAATACTGTTAAAAGCAGCGTTAAACCCAACTCACTCACTCATTCCATACACTGAAGCCGGCTGAAGTTATACCTTCAAACATAAGTGACTTGTTTTGTTATTGTATTCAAACAACACACAAACTAACCATGGCTCCGGGTAGTCCTGTGGGTAACCAGGTCCTACTCAGGACCCACCCGACCCAAGTACCAGATTTTCATGTCCCAGCCCTACAAGAAATGTAATAAGTCAAATACATAAAACACAAAATTGCTTTCGCCATGTTCTCACAAATCAACAAACATGGCAGAATAACCATAACAACAAATCAATGCAATACCCTTCATGATAGGATCAATGTATATGATCTGGCCAGTGAATATATGATGTATATGATCTGACAGCATTTTCCTATGATGCAGAAAGTATGATGCAAAGACATGCGCTGCTCAGACTTTCAATTACGATTTTTTATTGGCTTGTTTTGTTGAATCGATAATGTAAGTAATATTAAACCTTAATACCCTTTTTATTATTAAATTATGAAACAAGTGACACCTTGCTTAAGTCAAAAGTCTGACTACTTAAACAAACCATCTGTCAAATTGAAACTTTAGTGGTCTATGACCGGTGACCGGTGACCGATGGCCATCTTAAACTCTGTATTGAAGCTAATTTGTACCTAAGAGATTAAGCGTGTCATGTCATCACTCTTCTGTGATGACGTGGGTGCGAGGGCAGCCTAGGGCTTACTACTTTTGCTGTTCTTCATGTTGAAGACTTCTTTCAGTTCTACACATGGGTACTGTACTACATTGTGTGAATCTCATTTCTGGCGTTCTTTTTGTATGCCACTAATATTGCTTAAAGTCATGTTAAACCATGACCTCTCCTCGCTCACTCACTCACTCATGTCTATCCCTGGATTTTGAAAAGTGGCTTCTTATAATTACTTGGGATATTTACATCATATACAGTCTGTGCCAAAAAACGTTTGAGTCCACTTGCCCCAACTTGGCTCTTAGCTTTTTATGTACATTTTGGTATTACCGGTATATGGACTATTAGGGCAGTCGGGTAGCCTAGTGGTTAAAGCATTCGCTTGTCACGCCGAAGACTCGGGTTCCATTCCGGACATGGGTACAATGTGTGAAGTCCATTTCTGGTGTCCCCCGCCGTGATGTTGCTGGAATATTGCCAAAAGCGGGGTAACACCTCACTCACTTCTATGGACTATTATCAACTAATTTTACTTGACCGAACAGAATTTTACTAGACTCTGGCTTTGGACAAATGGCTGAAGTCGCATACTGCATACATGTTATATTTTGAGTGTTTTTGTTGTGATGAGTTACTGAACTCCATTGATGCTTAGTTATACTGTATATGGTCTGTTTGATGCACTTGGTAAGGTGGAACCATTTGTCTCTTCAGGTTATGGATGGCCTTGGCCTGGGGCCCAGGGGACCTCCTATCCCACCCCCAGCAGAGTTTGCTGTCGTGCCCTACCCAGTGAAGAGGAGGCCACCACCACTGTCAGAGTTTGGAGGACGCTACGCCTTCATTGCAGCATCTTCTGATGACCCGTAAGATTTGACATTTTGTCCTTTTAATACCAGCTGATTATCTTGACAGTTGTTTTTCAATAGCATTTGTCAACTCTATATTTGCTGGAGGCACAGGTGGTCCAGTCTTCCAAGGTGCTGCTTGCTGTGCAGAGTTGCATCCCTTACTTGTGACAGTAACCTATGATAATGAATCACGGATTCCCCCTGATTTTGTAGTATTTTTGCCAGTTCCATACCTATGCTCAAGGGTTTCTAAAAGTGGGATGTGTCTAAGACCTACATCATCTCAGGTCCAACTTGAAGACCGCCTCTGTGGTCAAGCGTCCACCAGGAGAGCAGAAAGTCCGGGGTTCGATTCCTGGCCATGTCATACCAAAAGACGTTTAAAGATCGTATTTGTTGTTACCCTGTTTTGCTCTCAGCATTAAGGGGCTAAAACAAGGACTGGCCGGCTCGTAGTCAGTATACTGTGTCTGAGTGATGTATTCATGTTAAACTGCAGCATGGTATCTCAGTGGGCTAGCACTATAAATCGGCATCAGTCCGGCCTAGTACAGGCAGCCACACACACACATATATACACGTGCATGCACGTCGCTATATAAGTGCAATAATCTTGGACGCGACGTTCAACTCCATTTCACCACCTCACATAAGTTGACATGTCATGATATGAGTGGAATATGGTTCAAAGCAGTGTTGATCCCAACTCACTCACTCACTCATATCCTGCTGCCATGTGTTCCTGTGATTGCCTTGAGTTGCCTTTGAGACATAGCTGGAGAGCTGTACCCAAAGAACCCACAATCAAATTTCAAATTGATTCAGAGGCAAATTACCCAGTCCTGCAATCTCAAATCCCTGTAAACATTTCAGGAATATTGGCATTGATGAGAAGCCCAAGGATCTGGAACTGGAGGAGGAGAAGTCGGTGACCCCTGATAAGTTCAAAGAGGATCATTCTACACCCACCAAAGGCAAGGGCAAGGGTGGGGACAAGCCCAAGACTGGAACGTCGGAGAAAGGACGCAAGGGTAGCGCTGATAGAAAGAAACCAGGGAGACGCAACTCCATGCAGGTGCCATCCCCACCCCCGGGGGCAACCACGCCCACATCAGAGGCTGATGTACAAAGGTAGGGCCACAGTTGATATTAATTGTGTATTTTACAGTGTGAAATACCCAGTGAAAGTATCCACTTTCCCCTCTAAACGTTTCTATACACCAGCACTAAACTATTGCAATGCATGCTATGGGATGATGCTAGTAGTATATTCACACACTTGATGGATTTTCGATTTTCGAAGTCACCACTATGACTATCTTTGATGAATGCGCGTAACTCAGTTAGATATAATATCTAGCAAGACCATTTTGAAATTGAAACAGAATATAGTGATTCCCATGATCCTCAATCAGAAACTATATTTCCTTATTTCCATTACCTCTACATGCATGACATGTGGATGACAGCCTGTGCTGTGATGACATTGCCTGTGCTGTGGAAGACATTGCTTGTGCTGTGGTTTACCAGCCTGTGCTGTGATGACATTGCCTGTGCTGTGATGACATTGCCTGTGCTGTGATGACATAGCCTGTGCTGTGATGACATTGCCTGTGCTGTGGAATACATTGCTTGTGCTGTGGTTTACCAGCCTGTGCTGTGATGACATTGCCTGTGCTGTGATGACATTGCCTGTGCTGTGATGACAGAACCTGTGCTGTAGAGGACATTGCCTGTGCTGTGGAAGACATTGCTTGTGCTGTGGTTTACCAGCCTGTGATGTGATGACATTGCCTGTGCTGTGATTACATTGCCTGTGCTGTGATGACATAGCCTGTGCTGTGATGACAGAACCTGTGCTGTGGAGGACATAAGTACCTCCGCACCCAAATTCTGTCAATAACTTTATTGTGTATATAAACTTTTTGAAATATGAATCCTAAGTCTTATCCCTTACTTACAACTGCTAGGTATGCCATCCCTAGCCACAGGCTTTTGTTGCCTTGATTTACACACTGAATACACTGTTGATGCAATACTTACATGAGGCTGGGCACTTCAAACTGTTTCCCCTGATGTATACCCTTGTTATATTTACTCCTATAAACGTGCTACATCAAATGATTTAGCCAAGTAAAAGGCAGGGTAGCAAAGAAAGCGATTTACTGGAAATATTTTCTTCATCTTCATTAAGTTGTGTTTCCCGCCTTATCTAATATTGTATCTATGTTGTATATATGGTGCTAACCAATCTCATTAAAATCAGATCTTAGTTCTCGCTATCACTAATCAAAGATCTGAGGACATCCCATTACGGGTCACGTCAGAACGACCTTTCATCCGACCAATCAAAGCGTCACTTACCAGATCATGAAAGTGACAGTCGGAATGTGTTTTCTAATGATGCAAGCTCGAAAACATTAACACGGGGTATTCCGAACGACAGTTACGGCCCGTTCGACTGATTCCGTCAAAATTATCGTCTATCTCTCGTTTGCGTGGGATAAACATTTGAACGGAGGAGGCGTTACACAGTACTTTGGAAGCATTGCCATACAATCGCAATGATATATAAGACCTTCCTTTATGTCCGTTTCTTCAGTTTTCAAAATTTTAATCGAGGACTGCGTCTTCATATTTTTCAAGCATGGTCTGAAATGGAAGTCGCCAGGTTGAAATGAATGCCGGAAAGCTTGAGAAAGCTGCTTTCTAATCGGCTGATGTTGACTTCTTGTTAGTTGTTTCAGTGGGAGGTCAAGGTTTGCAAAAGATCGTTCTGACGTGACCCTTATATGGGATGTCCTCAGATCTTTGTTTAACAATAGCAAGAACTTAGATCTGATTTTAGTGAGATAGGGTGCTAACGAACACACCTGCGCCCCACCTGCAGTAGGCTGCACTATATATGCACCTTATACTCACTGCATGTCTAACACGTGTACCTTACAGCACAACCGGGGAACCACCGGCTCTCACTGAGCCAAAAACACCAAAGTGAGTATCGATGTAGAGTTTTCCACATCAAGTCTTTCCCAACTTGTTAGTTAGCCAGCTGGCTAGTTTTTCAAGGCCACCCCAAACAGAGTGATCTCTGTGCTATGCCTGTCTATGTTCAACATAGGATTTAGTCAGTCATAGTGCTAGGATCAATGTTCAGCATCGAGTGTAGGCTTCATGTAGTTGTCCATGACGTAGCTTGTCCAAGGGCCAGTATTTGATGCAGTTGTTGTTGTGTAGGCCACAGCAAATAATTATTTGTTTTTTGTGTGTGTCTTTTTTCACTAAGAGACAATTCAAAAGTGTGTTTTTGTTCCTTTTCACAATGTTTTAAATGACAACAATTTGTTTCTTTCAATTATTAGTGAGTGAGTATGGTTTTCCGCATCTTTTAGATATGTTTAAGCAATATCACTGAGGGGGATGCCAGAAATGGGCTTCACACATTGTACCCATGTGGGAAATTGAACCCAGGTCTTCAGCCTAATGATAGCCGCAAATAGCTGGAATATTGCTGATGCGGCTTAAAGCACCACTTACTCACTCACTCACTCAGCCTAATGAGAGAACGCTTTAACCACTAGGCTACCCCACTGACCCTTCAAATACATAAGTTTGGATCTTTTTGCAGACATGTAAAATGGAATGTGCATAAATGAATATTTACAGGTTAAGTGGTTTTCCTTCTTTTATAAGTCATACACATTTCTTTGTCACCTATTCCTTAACATGGCGTGGCAGTCGGGTAGCCTAGTGGTTAAATCGTTCGCTCATCACGCTGAAGACCCGGGTTCGATTCACGACATGGGTACAATGTGTGAAGCCCATTTCTGGTGTCCCCCGCCGTGATATTGCTGGAATATTGCTAAAAGCGGCTGAAACCATTCTCACTCACGCTCACCCTTAACATGGCAGCTGAATACTTTATCAGAAAGTCACATACCCCATAGAAAAAAAGTCAACTTGGTGGGAGGTGAAAGGGTGAGAAGATTCTATAGAACAAATAATGACTTTGTTGTGGCCATAGTACTGCACTCTGCCCACGAACACGGCATGGCGTATGTTAGCTGCTGTAAGCTATCTGCTTGTGGCATAGGCTTCAGAGATCCTCTTCTGCATAGTGATCTTACTGCTACAACTGCCATAACTCCATACATTAACATAGACTTGCAACAGTTGTAGCAATAGTTTCACTTGATAGAACAATGTCCTGTATATTTTGTAGAAAGCTTTGTATACAGTGAGTAATGTCTGTGTGTTAGATAGCAGGTTGTTGTCAACAAAGTCTAGATGTGAATGTGGAAAACTCTGATCTGTTAAAGGTTGTTACTTATAGCATTTTAAAGAATTTTAAGGCTGTTGTTAACTTTCTTTGAATATCCAGACTTGATTTCTGTTCATGACAAATATCTCATTATTCTCAATATTGAATAAAATGATAAAGTTCTATATAAAGCCCTACAGGGGACAATTCTGTTTCAAATACATCATATAAATACATTTTGAAACTTGTTTGAAATCATGTTTGCATATTCATTCTAAACTTTTATCAGAGTAATTCAATGGGAATCTTGTTTCTCTGGTAACAGTTCACCTGCTTTATATGTTTTGTGTACATGGTGTCAGATATTTGTACATCTGTTATTGATTTTAACCTGTAAAGATCCGGGGTAGAATAGGTCTTCAGCAACCCATGCTTGCCGTAAAAGGCGACTATGCTTGTCAGAAGAGGCGACTAACGGGATCGGGTGGTCAGGCTTGCTGACTTGGTTGATGCATGTCATCATATCCCAATTGCGTGGATTGATGCTCATGATGTCAGTCCTTGGATTGTCTGGTCCAGACTCGATTATTTACAGACGGACGTCATATAGCTGGAATATGGCTGAGTGCAGCGTTAAACAATGAATAAACACAAACTGTTATTAATTTGTGTATATACTGATATTCCTGACATAGATGAAAACTAATGGATAGACGTGGAACAGGAAAGATAGTGATGATGTATAGATTTCAGCTTGTTTATTCTGTCAGTGAGATGTTCCAGTACATGTGCTAGTTCCTTTATCAAGCAAGTGATCACTTGTACCTGTAATGAAACATCATATTGAAAGAAAACAGACGTTGAATTCACTTTGAAAACATTCCGAGTTACAAATGATGGACAGATTCCTATGGCAGAGTCAAAACAAAGTGTGTAGGGCCATGTTGTCGGAGGTTTGTCTACATTAGTTAATCATGTTACTTCCACAGTATTTAGGGACATAGGTGTCTTTTTTGTTGTCCAAATGTACTGCCTGGGTACCCAACCCCTATTACCCGACCCTACCCAGGTACCCACTGTAGGTCTCAAGAGATTGGTTCAAAATGTCCGACTGGGAAAAGCTGTAGCCCTGGCAAAATGTATTTTGAGACACATATAAAACGATCTGGTCATGCATACACTGAAGTTTTATCTTTAATCAAGCATACAAAAGTTAGAAGGAATGGGTGCATAGTCAGAAAGAAATGTGAACATAAGTGACATGTAGTGTAACCACAGGGTTCTAGATAATTTTTGTCATTAAACAATATATCGTGTGACTAACCACGGGTCCGGGTAGTCATGTGGGTACCTGGGTCCTACTCAGTACCCACCTGACCCGAGTTACCCGTCACAGCCCTAATTTGTTGATATGTATGTCCACCAGTGGACTTCTAGTGTTAAGTCACCTTGTAAATGTTGCTGTTATACAAACCACTGTATGTAAACCTGAGAAAGATCAGAACATCATTATCAAAATTTAGATGGAGTCCACAATGATTAATGATTGATCTTGGGAGGTACAATAATATACCAAGAAGTCAGAGATGGTGTGTGGAATGTATTTTGAATTCAGTGGAGGATAAATAGACTAACACTTAGTCAATGAAAACATGTCTTTAAAATAATAGAAATATCTTTTTTGAAAGAACCTTTCCTCTTCTGCTGTGTGTAAGCAAGCAAACTAGACCTGGTTAGTTTGATTTTTAGTAACAAAAATACCTAAAAAATATAAATTTCACAGTCATAGTGCAGGACTAGAGGATAAATATCACTTTTTGTAAGTACAGGTATGTCCTAAACAAAATAACTTGAGATAACATCTCTAAAACCATAGTAGTTTGTCCATCCAAATATTAATTAAAATATAAAGATAAATTTGTTTCTTTGATGAAATGAGTCAATACAAATACTGTTTGTAACATCAATGTATATTTATCATGCCATGCAATCTCATTAAAATCAGATCTTAGTTCTCGCTACCGCTAAACAAAGATCTCAGGACATCCCATTATGGGTCATGTCAGACTGACCTTGCGTGAACTTTGACCAACCAATGGAATGACCAATCAGAAGGCAGCTTTCTCGTGCTTTACGGCACAAATTTCAAATTGGCGACTACGCTTCGAGGCATATTTTGACAAATTCTTGATTACAAATTTGAAACCTGAACAAAAAAACATTCTGGAATGACTACTAGATGGTCTAGATTGTAAGGATTCAGTCGTTAAACCCGTAACTATCGTTCGAAATACCCCGTGTTAACGTTTTCGAGCTTGCATGATTAGAAAACACATTCCGACTGTCACTTTCATAATCTGGTTGGTCGGATGAAAGGTCGTTCTGACGTGACCCGTAATGGGATGTCTTCAGATCTTTGTTTAGCGGTAGCGAGGACTAAGATCTGATTTTAATGAGATTGTCATGCCATGTCAATAAGGAAGTAATCTGTGGGTACAGCCTTTCCACATATACATTGTACTACATGTACTATTGGCATGTGACCTCTCATTATTGAAAAAAAAAAGACTATAATAATCAAAAACAACAAATTAATAAAACAGTTCTGATGCTGGAGCACTAACATTGGGTTATAACCAGTCACCAGCCAGTAGTGTTTGTATTAAGTCCAGAAATATATGCTAACTTTACTAGCAAGATCATTGGCAGTCTGGTTTATTTTTGTATGGTTTGGGGTATTCTGTGTCACTGTATGTCATGTTCGAGTTAAAGTTTTTACTAGTCCTATTATTTCTGAGTGTTTTCACTGTTCGTACACTTTATGTCAAAATCCTCTGTTTTTACTGTCTTTAATTTCACTTCATGTTATTACTGGCGTTTTGTTAAGTGATTACCTTTACTTTAATTCCATATTTTCTTGATGATAGTGCACACCCATGCTTATGGCGTACCTCCCTCAAGGGGAGGCAGTGTTTTTTAAATAAAAGATTTTATGTGCAGTAAAAAATACATTGTTTCGCTTCAGGTGAACGAACAGGTGATAACTGACATAACTTCTTTGATAGGCATTTAGAAGTTGGAGTACTAAGTAAGGTTAGGAATTTATGGATGAACAACTTCTTTATTACAATTAGGAGCGCCGTTTCGGTGTAGGTTCTACACCATTATCAAGCAAGTGATATACAGAGTGTGGTTGGCAAGTATATATACAAGTAGGAGGCAGTGTTTACACAGTAGAGTAGATATTGTTATACTGGAGTAGAGAAGCCTGTTATGTACACACAAGGGTAGTGATGACAATCATCGGTGACATAAACAAAGGATGAAGCCAGTAATATAAACAACAGGATTATGGCTGATTTGGGTCTTTGATGAGTTGATGGTACGCCTTGGTTACTTGTATACCGGGTATATACTTGCCAACCATACTCTGTATATCACTTGCTTGATAACAGTGTTAGAACCTACACCGAAACGTTGCTCTTAATTGTAATAAAGAAGTTTTTCATCCATAGATTCTTATCCTTACTTGATAACTGACATAGTAAAAAAAATGTGAATTGGTGATAAAACATCACTTGACAAGATGGTTTATCATTTAAATTGTATTTTCTTTTCTGCTAGGCATTGTTTCATATGCAGAGATAATAAAAAACATTTCACTGTCCCCACATCGCAGTGTCTGATGATGTGAAAACTGAAAACATGTAGTCTTTCACCTTTTTGAATTAATAAAGTGTTGCACAGCTGTAAATAACCCTTGATGTTTCAGAAGTATTTCTTCAAGCCCATAGCAAGATCTTTCAAAGATACAGCTTCAGTAATGGCTATATTAAAAGCTGACAAGAATCCTCGCATTCCCTCCCATACATTTGCTTCACATCTTGTGTTTGTTCTTCAGGATCACCATATTCCGCTGGGTGGTTCCAGCCAATAGCGAGGTGGTCCTGAAACTCCGCTTCCAGTCTGAGGAACTGGGCCAATTTGACCAGACACTCAACTGTGAGATTGTGGGCACTCGGAGACGCTACCAGCTGTACTGTCGGGGCGTGTGTGCCTTCCCTACCATCAGTAGAGAACCAAGGTAAGGAGGTTCTCAGTAATACTTGTATGGTTCCTGTTGGGATTCCAGGTTGGATTAGGAGGCGACTTATAGGTCTTCTGCAACCCATGCTTGCCTTAAAAGGCGACTATGCTTGTCTGAAGATCCAACTAACATGATCGGATGGTCAGGCTGGCTGACTTGGTTGATGCATGTCATCGTATCCCATTGCGTGGATCGATGCTCATTATATCAATCACTGGACTGTCTGGTCCAGACTGGATTATTTACAGACCACCGTCTTAAAGCTGGGATATTGCTGAGTGCGGCATTAAACAACAAACAAATAAACAAACAGGTTTGATTAGGTACCAGGCTATCTGTGGTTGTTGTAAGAGGTGACTTAATCAGGTGGTCATGCTCTGTGACTTGCTTGATTGCCTGTCATTGTACCCTGACGACATGGATTATTGGGCTGGGCTCTGACCAAAACTCAGTTATTTACATGCTTACATCATGTAGCTGTGCAGTGTTAAACAATGAAGAACAACATGATGCCATCTTCGAAACCTCTTTGTTCCTCATTTCAATGTATACTACTCAAAAGACATGACAGAACTATAGTTTTATGAAAGAATTGGGTGTTCTTTAACTTCCTTTGAGTACTATATATGGTATTGATTGTTCCTTTTCAGATTGCAGTATTTCTGTAATATTCTAACTGAAGCATAAAACAACATTCACTCATTCACACTCATTCCTTCCAGAATCGTCTTCCAACATCGTAAGAAGAACAAGAAGAACGATGAGATTGTCATCAAGAAATACGTCCTCATGACTGAGATCTTTGAGTTTGGGCCACTGCTGGTTGGCAAATCTAGAGACAGGTAAGACCATCTCACTTTGTTCCACTTAGCATGGTACACTATATTATCACAGTTAATTTATAATGGATCGTAATGGCGAATGCTTACTAACTTATTAACTATGTCATACACAAAAAAATTATTTTTCTTTGTTCAACTTTTATGACACATCAATTAGGATTGATCGATGCTGATACCAAGTTTGGTAAACAAAGTACCTGTCATTAGCAACTCAAGGGCGGGCAACTCTATATTATCGCGGTATCACTATTTTGTGGGTGATAAGTGTGTTTTTTGTTGTTTACATAACTTCCTGTTTCGGATTATACATAATCATTATGAAAATGACCTAGGTTGGATCAAAGGACATCGTCCAAACAAGTGGATTCTTTTCTAACCAATTTCACATGGAGGTTGGGGTAATTCAACTTCAAAAACGTTCCAGAAACTATCATAAAAAAGTTCATATGTACAAGTAGCCGTGACATGCAAAGAGTCCTGTATTCAATCTTGCAATGAAATATTGTGCTTAGTTTTGCATAAGTAAACAGTTGACAGGGGATGTAGATTATGAGATTTACTAATACTGCGATAATATAGAGACGAGGATAATGATCAGAGCAAGTTGTTAATGGAAGTTTTGGACAATACTTTTCTTAGGTAAGCGCAAGAAAGGGGTGCCTGTGAATAGTAGCTCGGATACATTCATTCCAGATTTACTGAAACCAAACTATAACATTTGATAATGGCCTCTGTTCAACCAACAGGGAGGGGTGGTGGCATAGCCTAGTGATTAAAGCATTCGCTCGTCACGCCGAAGGGGGTTCGATCCCCGACCGCATCATACCAAAAGACGTTAAAAGATGGTACTTGTTGTTTACCTGTCTGGCGCTCGGCATTAAGGGGCTAAAACAAGGACTGGTCAGCTTGGAGTCAGTATACTGTGTCTGAGTGGGATATTCATGTTATACTGCGGCATGGTATCTCAGTGAGCTAGCACTATAAATCGGCATCAGTCCGAACTAGTACAAGCAGCCACACAAACACACACACGTACATGCACGTCGCTATATTAGTGCAATAATCTTGGATGCGACGTTAAACCCCATTTCACCTCACCGTCACACCGAAGACCCGGGTCCATTCGCCACATGGGCACAATGTGTGAATATTGCTGATATATTGCTAAAAGCGGCGTAAAACCATACTCACTCACTCACCCAACAGGGAATGGGTACCCGGTGGAATGAGATGTAATGAGTAACGGACAGTTTGGTTGTATACTCACCGTGTTGACCAGGGTAATAAGTGTGTAGTGCCACGAGCACCTTTGGGGCATGGATAGGGTTCTGTATAAATATGTATTATTCACATAACACTATACTGTCATCTTTACCATCATATTCACATAGCGATGTTATGTGTATATTTATAATGCACCAAATCTACACCCTAAATCATTCTATAAGCACTACATTGTTACCCCTGTAAATGGAACAGTGTGCACCTTTACCATCTCATCCTACCGGGTACCCATTCACTGCTGGGTGAACAGAGGCACATTTCGAACACAGTCACTTGCCTAAGGAGACACCAAATGTTGTGGTAGAAACTAACAGTTTTAGTCCACTAGTCCTTATGATGACATAAAACAAAACCTTTAAAAATGGCAAATGTCTACTGGTCCTTATGATACCTTAACTACTGGGCACTTGGCAAGGACTACAGGACTTGTGCCAATTTCTAACGCTGCATGTGCTACATGTGCTTCAGTGTGGGGCAGGACCGAAGCCTTTGAATCTCTCATCTGTCAAGTAGCAGAACGTGGTGACCAAACTACTCCCCGCGACCTTAACTTCGACCCGTGAGGATCCGGGTTAGAATAGCTGTTCAGCAACCCATGCTTGCCCTAAAAGGCAATTGTGCTTGTCGTAAAAGGCGACTAACGGGATCGGGTGGTCAGGCTTGCTGACTTGGTTGATGCATGTCATCGATCCCAATTGCGTGTGGATCAATGCTCATGATATTAATCACTGGATCATCTGGTCCTGTCTCGATTATTTGGAGAACGCCATCATATAGCTGGAATATTGCTGAGTGCGGCGTTAAACAACAAACCAACCAACTAACCTTAACTTCACCTAATTTGACCTGTGACCTGTAACCTGTGCATAGGACCATGTGCCACCACATCCCCAAATAGCATCCACATGTTCTTGTATTTATTTCAGATACAAGGAAGGTAAATACCCCGAGAACATGGAGCAGCTGACAGTCCTGAACACGTCGCCACTGGAGGCCGACATCAGCTTCTGTTTCCTCAATGACAGCAAGGCTGAGACATACCTCCTGGAACCCCCCAACATGGTCCTCAAGTCAGGAGAGTCCCAGCACCTCACAGTGTGGGCCTACCCCAAGGCTCCGGGGCAGTACAAGGATGCCATTGTCTGCTGTGTGAGAGAGAATCCAGAGCCGATCATCTTCAACATCTCCTGTGATGGGTTCAAGCCTGAGCTGGAGTTGGATAAGAAACAACTACACTTTGATAAAGTGCTCCTGCACAGGTAAATAATCCCTTTATCACCTCTACTTTCCTTCCTCTTCAATTGGGGGGCACGGGTGGCCCAGTCGTCTAAGGCGCCATGATTTGCTGTGCAGAGTTGCATCCCTTGGGCACGCCAGAAACCTATGATTGTGGGTTCGAATCCCAGTTCACCCAGATTATGTTTCTAGGTTTGTCAAATGGGGAGGTCTTCAAATTCTTCCATTTTCTTATTTTGTAATTCTAGATTGAACAGGAATTTGGATTGGTTCTGCTGATGTATTTTGATAATTTGTTTGTTGTTTAATGCCGTCGGGTTGGGGTCTAAATCATGTCAGTTGAAACACTAGAAACACACATATTGATTTTATTCACCAAATGGAAACTATTAATATTACAGAGACAATGTCCAAGTATGTTTGTTGTTTAACGCCGCACAAAGCAATATTCTAGATATATGATGGCGGTCTGTAAATAATTGAGTCTGGACTAAACAATCCAGTGATTGACATCATGAGCATCGATCCACGCAATTGGGATACGATTACAAGCATCAACCATGTCAGCGAGCCTGACCCCCCGATCCCGTTAGTCGCCTTTTACGGCAAGCATGGGTTGCTGAAGACCTTTTCTACCCCGGATCTACATGGATCTTATAATTAATGAAGACGTAGTGGAGATTAATGTTACGTACTATGTTAGTAATAATGCGTTGCACCGCTGTATTCTGTAGAGAAGAGTTTTTGCATGAATTGAAATGGATATTATAGCATCTATAAATATGTCAGTGAATTCCAGTTTGATGATATGTTATGAGCATTACAAATTGATGACTTTCAGGAAGGACACCAAGACCATCTTCCTCCGCAACCCGACCCAGCTGCCGGTAGCGTGGCGACTGAGTGGCCTGGAGAACCTGGGTGAGGACTTCACCGTGGCGGCAGAAAGCGGCGTAGTTGACCCCCTGTCCGAGTACAGTCTCAACGCCTTCTTCCGAGCCATGAAGCCAGTACAGACCAGCAAGAAGATGATCAGGATGGAGGTGGGATGCTGGCATAGTTTGGGCCTTTTTTCATTTGGCATTTATTCTATGTTTTTAAATAGATGTTAGTTGTGAACTAGTACAGATTTCAGTATACAGCTGATCTCCAAGGCCCCGTTCCACAGAACGATCTTAGCAGTAAGATGATAATAACTCCCATAGATAACACAGGCTTACAATCATTGTAGCACTAAGATCACTTTGTGGAACAGAAGCAGACACTGTAACTTTGGAATGTTTGCCTTCCCATGTAATTGCATTTATGGCAAAAAGGCTTTGCATTCATGTTTCTCAGAAACAAATTGGTTGTTTTTTTTGTTTGTCTGTTGTTCAATTCCGCACTAACACTAAGCAACAGTGTTCATGGAAATTTAACTAAAGTCATAATTTGCCAATATTTGTTACCTCCCTTGATGTTCTCTGAATCTCATGTTACAGATCATGGATGTTGACAACATCATGGGCGTGGTCCACACGGAGCCGATCCAGGTCCTGGCTGAGGCCTACGACGTGGCCTTGGACATGAGCTTCCCTAAAGGCAAGTGCTGGAACATTCATCATCATAATTATAGCTGCTTCATGCACTTAACGTGAGAGAGGTGGCACGGGTGGCCCAGTCGTCCAAGGGGCTGCAATACCTGTGCTTGTGGGTTTCAACAAAGTGGTAAACGTCACAGACAAGCATCACCTCAGGCTTTCCTCCCACGTGAAGCTGTAACTGGAATACTCTTCAAAACTGCATTAAACCCAACTCACTAACTAACAGGAGAGAATTCTAGCATGTTATTTATTATAATTTTCTTTGTTTCATTTAATATGACTAAAATAATATTTATAATAAAAAGTTTGAACTTTTTGTAATTCCACTGTTGTCCTGTGCAGGGACGGATGGAGGCCTGGACTTTGGCACAATCCGAGTCTCGGAAGAAACCAAACAGACTTGTAACCTGAAGAACAAGGGCAAATATGAGATAGCTTTCAAGTAAGTAGATGTTAGGTAGTTTGATAAATATACTTAAACTCTGGGTGCCATTCTAAGGATCTTAATTCCATCAGAAGTATAAATATTTGTTTAAAAACAAGCAAGAGGTGTCATATCAAACTATTGTATAATTGTTAAAAAAATAATTTTAATCCTATATAATTAATGTCTCTCTTTGTCATTCCATTCTTTATGTAATTATCTTCCATTCTTTTGAATTAAACATTTTACCATGTACAAGATATCTGTTTTATGTTCTGTAAGGCTTTTTGGCTAAGTTGTGACCTAATTTTTCTTCAGCTTCGTGTTTGAGAATGTGGACAAGTCGAACCCTGACGTGACAAGCCTGTTCTCAGTGATCCCTCAGAAGGGCACCCTCAGCTCGCTTGACCGCCCCACCCAGGTACAGGTCATCTTCAAGTCCTCCAAGGAGGTAACGGTCAAGGACCAGCCAATACTCAAGTGTCAGGTCATCGAGCCGTCACTGGGGGAAGGAGGCGAGATCATTGCCAGCATTCCCGTCAAAGTCTCCGTCAAGTCTGTCTTCAGCAAGTGAGTGTGGAAACTTTTCAGTCATAGTGTATATCTGTTGTGAGCACTATGTTAGTTATATCAAGGTCAGATTAATCTGTGAGGATAGGCCAAAGTGTCACTGGTCATAGATATTTTCTACTTTTGTGTTTGTTCATTTGTTGTTTAACGTCACACTCAGCAATATTCTAACTTTTTGCGAGCGTTCTGTAAATACTCGAGTCTGGACCGGACAATCCAGTGATTGAGCATTAATCCACACAATTGGGATACGATGATATGCATCAACAAAGACAGCAAGCCTGACCACCCGATTTCTGTCAGTCACGTCTTACGACAAGCATGGGTTGTGGAATGGGTTGTTCCAACCCACATCTTCACGGAGGTTCTACTTTTGTGAAACCCATGAGCCTGAGTATGGTACTGACATGATGGAGACAAAAACTGGGATGTGACCCCATGATCTGCAGCTCCTTGTGTGACTAAGAGGAAACTGCAGCATCTCGGCCACCCCATTCCCCTTACAATATCCTTTCATGGATTGATGAACAGATAATTCTTAGTTTCGACACAGACTTATCACCTGAGATAAGCAAGTGAACTGAATTTATTTTGGGGAGCAAGAAGATCTCTTTTCAGGAGCTAAATTGTTATTCGAAACTCAGAATTATTTATATTCTAAAATCAGAAAGTAATTCAGTACGGATTTATTGATATTCTATTTCTGATGCCGTATCATGACGAGACTTAGTGCTAGGTTGGAGGTCTGGCTTATGTACCGCACATAACAGTTTGATACAGATTCCAAGGTCCAGGGCCCTGTTCCACAAAGCGAACGTAGCGCTAAGGCGACCTTAACTCCCATACTTTAACATAGACTTACGACAGTCGTAGCACTACGATCGCTTTGTGGAATGGGCCCAGGTTAATACTTTGGCGTGTCTATGAGATCGGCTCATCTATGAGATCGACATATCTACAGTCATATACAGTCCTATTTCCAGTGATCAATCTCAAGTTCCACACATGTTCTGCATGCTTATTTACATGGTTTTCTTCAGGCAGCCATGTCTGCCATGTACTTACATCAGACAACACAGATAAACTGGAAATCAGGGGTGATCTAGTTCATCTGTCCCTCAACACAAGCTATTAAATAATGCTGGAGTTATCTCCCATTGATAGACAAATCTGTTTCATACGTCTGGGGACGGAGTTGTTTCCCTTTAACAAACTTAACTACATCTGAAACATACTCTCTAAATCCAAACTTACAGAAAAAATGTTTGAACTATAATAACTACAAATAATGATTTTTTGAAACATAAAGATGCCAACTTAATGTCCATCTCCTCTCCCAGATACCACATCCTACCAATGAACGACATCAACTTCGGGTCCCTGCTGATACAGAGCAAGAAGACCCGTCAGTTCACCATTGAGAACAAGGGGGAGTTTGACTTCAAGTACACCATCACCAAGCTGGTGAAGGAATCTCCACACCAGGCCGGCAATGCCAAGAACAGACCGTGAGTATTCTGGCTGCGTCTGACCTAAGATGGAGTGCGCACACACATCTGCAGTTGATCTTACACTACATCACAGTCAGGTCAAACATCCAGTGAAAGAATCTTGTATTTTCTATGTTATATTATGTCCATTTTCTGCCTTGTTCTGGACAATGTATTTAATCCCCCCCATATGGGAAACTGAGACATGGTGTTTTTGTGGTAGTTTGGGGAATTGTCAACTGCTAGATTGATTATACATAAGCAAGAGAGCTGAATTTATTTTGGATTTTGTAAGTCTATGCTAAAGTATGGGAGTTACGATCATCTTAGCGCTAAGATGGCTTTGTGCAAGTGGGCCCTGGAGAGAGCTGTTGGTTTTGTTACTTGAGTATGATCTTACAACCAGGAGACGATGGCAGTAAGAGTAGAAATGTTCTGTATCCTGACAGTTTTGACAATTTTATATTTTTGTATGATTGTCAGAAATAAGTAAAGTTGCCAAACAATTCTCCATTGAGCTATGTAGAGCAAGTGTAGCAATAATTATCTGTTTGTATGTAAGTGGATGCTCTATTGGGCCATTTTCTGTTTGTCTTTCATAACATTCAAATTTCAATTTCTCAATACTGTAAAAGGGCACCATTGGAATTGTGAGAAAAGTTTTTGGGCACAGACTGTAAAAAATGTATCCATTTCATACCCACATTCAGTGGCCAAGTTTGAATCAAATTAAAATTATGTTTTGCACCTCTGACACCATAGTGAGTGAGTGAGTGGGTTGGGTTTAAAGCTGCTTTGAACAGTATTCAATACAGTCATATCACAGCTATCAGCTTAAATTGGGAGGAAAGCCTGAAGTGATGCAGGTCCTAGACGTTTAACACCTTAGTGAAACCCTCGAGCCGGGTATGGTGATGACAAACCTTGAAACATATTCCACTCTAACTGGGATTCTAACTGGGATTCTAACTCACTTATCCTAGATTCCTGGGGAGTTACATATTGAGCATATTAGTGGCCTATAACATAAGACTGTAGACAGTGTCCAGGTGTATAACTGGTGTGTTTGTTCAATGGCAGCAGCTGGGTAGAGCCGGTTAGGAAAGTGAGACTGTGTCTCCGTCTGACCAGGTGAGATGCTGGGCATGTTGTAGGCAGTGCTGTTATTATGATGTCACTGAGAAACCACTACAAGTCCAGTATCGCTGTTTGTATAGCTAGGTCGTCACATGACCTCAGATTTGTCGAATGGAACCAGTTTGCATGGTGTCTTTTAATCACTCACGTTTGATGCACCTAATCCTTTCTTTTAACAGTTGTGTGTTTCATGACTTGCATCATGGTATGGATGTTGTTCATGTCATCAAGTGTGACCCATTCAACCTTCTCATCTGTAAATAATCTGCCTCCCATAGCTTATCCTGCTGTATAATAAGCATCATACATTTGTCTAATCATTCAAATCTGATTGCAGTGTTTTCTGATGTGATGCATATTTAATGCACAGGTTTGTTATCACTGCGTGCCTCCATCACCCATGAATACATACAGACAGTTTGCAGTGTAGTTTTAACCAACAAATCAAGCTAGGCCTGGTTTAGCTTGAGGGAAACCAGCGAATCCTCTGACCAATCAGCGCTCAGATAACATCACACATACAGCAATATTTCTTGTGCAGCATGTACCCCAGCCTTGCTGCCATCTAGACCGCCTCCGTGGAGAGCAGAAGGTCCGGGGTTCGATCCCCGGCCGTGTCATGCCAAACGATGTTAAAAGACGTCTGGCGCTCAGCATTAAGGGGCTAAAACAAGGACTGGTCTGCTCGGAGTCAGTATACTTTGTCTGAGTGGGGTATTCATGTTAAACTGCGGCATGGTATCTCAGTGAGCTAGCACTATAAATCAGCATCAGTCCGGACTAGTACAAGCAGCCACACAAACACACACATTCATGCATGTCGCTATATAAGTGCAATAATCTTGGACGCGACCTTAAACCCTATTTCACCTCACCTCACCTTGCTGCCATCTGCTCAACACATTGCTTCAATATCAGCAATGGTAGGATTCAGGCAAAGTCCTAGTCTGTCTCACAGTCCCTGAACCGCATTATCTTCCCTTGTGCCCTGCCCTTACTGAAATGCTATAGCGGTAAATGAAGGCTAGATTTGCCTCAGGTTCTATAATGATCTGAATCTCCCATCTCTCTGAGGCTTCTTATCAATTTAAAGGGAGTTGTTTATTTCTATCAAAATTATATATTTTCAGAGACTTATGCTTATTCCCATTGGTTTAATAAAGTGGACGTGAAGATCCGGGCTAGAATAGGTCTTCAGCAACACATTCTTGTTGTAAAAGGCGACTATGGTTGTCGTAAGAGGTGACTAATGGGATCAGGTGGTCAGACTTGCTGACTTGGTTGATGCATGTCATCGTATTCCAATTGCATGGATTGATGCTCTTGATATCAATCACTGGATTGTCTCGTCCAGACTCAATTATTTACAGACCGCCTCATATAGCTGGAATATTTGAGTGCGGCGTTAAACAACTAACAAACAAACAATCTAATAAAGTTCATACTTGGAAAATAGGGCTCATTTGAACTGCGTTATACATGGCTTCATTTAATTAATTTACTAAAAAATATCAATTACACTACAAAAGGCTGTATGTAACCACAGGTGATGGAGGAAAATAGTGTATACACACCGTGAAGTAATTTGTGTAATGGTATCAAAGAAAATAATGTCATTGAACATAATGAAAATAAAAGGTTTCTGATACCGCGGTACATACATTTGCAAACATCATTTTCAAGATGTGTCATGCGTAGAACTATAGAAAAACTTGTGTGAGTACAATTCTGAATGTAGGGCTCTTGTAAGCATATATCCTGACATACTCACGCTTGTGTTATACTCCGCACAACTAACCTGCACAAGTTTCTGTCACTGTTGCCTGTGATGGAATGTTCACCAGTTTTGCCAGCATGTACATTTTCTATACTTCAGACCAGTAAAGGGAGATAAGCGAACCAAGTCTCGAGATGGGTCCAGCTCGGGACGCTCCGTGGCCAAACCGCGGAGAGCTGAGTCGATCAGGTAACTGGGGCTGACAAGACGACAGCTGTGCCCTGTGTGGATGTGTAGTGCTGACATAACATCTTAATCTAGCCAGAAGAGATTACTGTGATTTACATTTGAAATATCTTTGACCGTAATTTACCCATTATACCTTATCATCACTCATACTAATTGCTTAGCTCTCTCTTTTCTGAAAGGTAGTCGAAACATTCTGAACTGTGTTCCCAGAGAACAGAAAATACACCTCACCTGAACACACCCTTAAGTCGCAATCAAACCGGGACCACGGGACCAAACGGGTAACTCTCCACTATCAAATTTTCGTGCCGAGAAGTTGGGAAATCTTTCCTGAACTCTGTTGTGATCTGATCCATCCTATCAAAATTAGCCTTTTGTCATAAGATTTCTGGCTCAGATTACATTCTTCCACCAGAATCAGAATCCACATGAATTTCCTACTATGAATCTGTGGAATCGTTCAGCCAACTTTGAACCTACACTGATTAGTCAGGGAGAATTGGCTGGAATGTTCACCAAACACTCACCGTGAGGTTCGACACATATGTGACATTTATGAACGGGATTGTCACCAGTCTCGAGTTCAATACCCTTGTCTTAACAGGGGTGATCATGACAACATCAACGATTGATTGGGCATTCAACGGAGTCATCATGTACTATCAGGTACCCAGGTTCCTGGATCATCGTTCACAACCTACAGATCCAAACCCTGATTTTGTGATCCAGTCACATCATTGCCTCGGTGTATCTGTACCAAAAGGAGCGATCATTCACTGAATATCAAGCCAGGAGTGACATGAACTGGCATTTTCATTAATATTTCTCCAGTATGATCGACTGGATTGAATGTCGACAATTTCCAGTGATCTACATGAATCAAATATCATGAAGATCAACTTGCTACTGCACTGTCATGTAGGGCTGGGACGGGTTACGCGGGTACTTGGGTCGGGTGGGTACTGAGTAGGACCCGGGTACCCACAGGACTACCCGGACCCGTGGTTAGTCACGTGATATATTGATTAATGACAAAAAGTATCTAATACTCTATGTTTAAACTACAAGTCACTAATGTTCGCAGTTCTTCCTGACTACTACGCCCATTAATTCCTTCTGACTTTAATATGTTTGAATAAAAACAAAACTTCAGTCAACTTCAGTGCATACACCAGATCGTTTCATACATGTATCTAAACACATTTTTACCAGAGCTATGGTCAAACTTTTCCCAATCAGACACTTTGTACCTACCTTTTGAGACCTACAGCGGGTACCCAGGTAGGATCGGGTAATAGGCGGGTGGGTACCTGGGTAGTAAATTTGGACTCGTCCCCGCCCTACTGTCATGTCACACATTCTCAGAGAACTGACTGCAAATACACCGCTACACTTCAGAACTCGGGAGACCACTTGTCAATTTACCATACAGTTCACACTGGATTGTCAGTGTGTGGAGCTTGGACCTCGTCACTAGCAAGAATGCAGTATTCCAGTTTCCTGCGCAGGATAATTTACATGTCACATGTCAAGATTTCACTGAATGTAAACAACTCGACTTTAGAATTAGGTCAGGCTGACCTAATGCAATCCGAGCAGTGCATATTAACAGATTGGTTTGCATAACGACTTGCACGTAATGCGGCAAACGCATGATCAAACACCTGATGATACACATCGATGTGACTGGGTCATTAACATCAGTAGACCTCAGACGTCCACACGCGGCACCCTTCATCGTCGCCTCAATTTAGGAATGGGAGCGCTTATACGACACCCAGGGGATGGAATCCAATGTCTCTTCACCAGAACTACATGTCACATAGCAATGATCATCCTGGAAGGTCAAGTCATTCCTCACTTTTGATGATCTTGAATTGGTGAAAATAGACATCTGTACATCCCTTCAAGGCACAGTCTTCATCTCATCATACTTTGTACGATCATTGAGACTGAAGAATTATCTATTCAGCCTTGATCCCCAGATGCACCTTTGGGTTTATAATACTTCCTTGACGATCGACTGGGGAGCGCACTTTTGAGATATACAGTGCACTGAAAGTTGGTCAGCAGACAAAGGCAGTCTACATGTCAACAACTCGGTAGATATATTTGAAACCAAATGCAACAGATAGATAGCTTCCAATCCCATCACCAGCTCTGATACATCTGATAGCACAGAAGATCATGCGCACTAAGTACCCACCCGGTACCATTGCTTTTGGTGGCACCTTGTTGTCCAGCAACAACCTGGTTTCCAGGTGTTGTTGCATTGGCAGGGAAACCAAGCCTGACACTGAATTGTTTTATAGGCATTACTTAGAGGTTGACGGATCCCTATACCGTTGTCAAACTGGCCAAACCTTCTACTACATCCTCACACCATGGGTACCAGAACAAGCTCACCAAGGTTCCAGAATTAACCATGTTACCAGTGATGCTTATGAACCTCTACATGGAGCTGATTTGGAACATCAGACCCACAAGACGTTTTTTCTGCAGGCTCCAGAAAAACAGCCAGCATGTCAGAAATAGCTGCCATCGATTTCTCTCATACAAGATGCCTGAGATGGGATTTCATCACTGAGAAGCAGCTACCCGGTCAACCAGACAGACAGTTTCATTTCCCTCCACTCTCATCCATTTGTGATCTGACCATCAGATTTGATGTTATGCCCAGTTTGTACATTACATATCTACCTGCAGAGTTCCAGAAGACAATGGCTGAAAAGACTCTTCATTCCGTTGTCCAGGAATAGTTCAGCAGAAGTCTCCAGAACAACCATTTCCTTCATTGAGAGCAGTCATCGTCAGCAGGACTGGATTCACCATCAGCATCCAACAACACGAAGTGAGAGCCATAGCGTCTATTCTAGTGCTTCCTGGCAACTGCTCCATCCCGACAATTATGGAAGGTTGTATTTCGAGATGAGACACTCTTCGCTAATCATTATCTCAGAGATTTCTCCACACAAGATGTTGCTGGAATTAGTTGTTGCCCAACAACTGACATAGCCTACCAGAAGATGACCTCCCTACAAGTACTCACCCACTTACGGGCAGACTTACAGACGTCAGGTTACTGTCCCATAGCCAATGACCAAGAGTGAAATGATTGTGTTAAGTATAGGACCTTCTCTTAACACCATAATCATTTAAAGTAAGAGGGAAAAAGTATTTTCCTTAGCGAACTTTACTAAATCCACGAAATCTTTATGATCTACTCCTCTCTTTCACAAGGAAGTGGTACCCTGCATGGAAATAAAGAAGATACTATTCCCAAGGGGTGAATTGAACTGATCTCGATCCGAATCACACACACAGGTGGAGCCCACCACCTACCATGGGATTCAAGCAATATGTATGAGTCAGGATAAGGTCAAATATGTATTTTTTAGAGTAAAAATATCATTTATACTTATCCTGACTCATACACTAAAGTTCCCACCCAGCCGTCCCCTCTTACCCTGTGTTTGGGACAAAGGGCAAGAGTGATGAGGGCCTGGTCAGTGGTCACAAGGTTCCAGTGTGCATGTGTGGCTCAAGGGGTGTGTTCAGGTGAGTGTTTTTTTCTGTTCTCTGGGAACATAGTTCAGGAAGTTTACACTACCTTTCGGAAAAGAGAGAGTAAGTATGAGTCAGGATAAGTATGAATGATATTTTTACTCTAAAATATACTTTTTTGAATGAGTTCTTAAACCTGTTCCAAATTTAGCCTGGAAAAACAACTTTGGTTTTAATTTACCTTTTGATTGAGTTTTTAAATCAGTACCGGAGACATTTGACAGTAATTATTTTCAAAATTCCTATATATTCGAAGTAAAAATTAACAATGATATGGACTATTTTCGGAGCAATGATTAAACTCTGCATGGTACACGCTTTGTACACATAGCTTCCTTCGCCTTGTTGGGCATGTCAGATAACCTGGGCCCACTTGCACAAAACGATCTTAGCGCTAAGACTACCGTAAGCCTATGTTAAAGTATGGGAGTTAAGATCATCTTAGCGCTAAGATATCTTTGTGCAAGCGGGACCTGGTTGTCTGTCTCCCAGACACTGGAGAATATATTAAGAAATGAATGAATTGGCAGGTATAGATCACCTCAGATGCAGGAAAATCCTGAATTTAAGCATTGATCTGGGCTCCATTTGGATTTGATTTTTTGATTTTGTAGATATATATATTAAATAAAGATAACTTTATATTCTAAAACTAAATGTTAGTCTAATAACCTGTTAACAAAAATGTATAGTGGTTTGAAAGTCAAATTGTGCTTTATAGCAAGTGAAATGTTAGATAACTATTAAACCTGATATGTTTTCGACCTTCTATTATAATGCTTCGAGCATTCAATCAGTTCGAAACTGCTATACAGTAAATGCATGAATATATATTTTATCTTATCCTGACATATACTTATGCATGTGTATGAGTCAGGATAAGTATAAATGATAAAAAATACTTGTTTGTATAATTTGTAACATCTCTGACTAAAGATGTGTATTTGCTTATACCCCGCACCTTACCCTAACCATCACTTCTCTCACATTCTCGCCTTTCTCTCTCTCTCTCTCTCTCTCCTGTGTCACTCCCTCTCTCATGTGACCACAGTGATCAAAATAGCAGGGCCCAGCTTCCTGGCACCCCCGTCCAGAGATTAGGGGGCTACCTGCCCTACTTCGGCAATCGGAGACACACCATCTTCAGGTTCCTCGATCCCTTGGGGAAAAAAACTGTTGAGCTTTGTCATTTTTCTTGTGGTTGGACTTTGTGTCATTGTGTTGTGTGGTCAAAGCCATACTGTTTGTGGTGATGTTGAAATTCTTTGAAATGTTTTGTGCTCCTTTGACAGTTTCAGGTTGGTTTGAATTGTTGTCACATTTCATGAGCTTTTTTACGTTTTTTTCAGCTTGTTACACCATTCATTGTTCAAGTTGTGAACATCTATTGTAAATATATTTTAGTTGGTTTGGATTTGAGATATTATGTCTCATTCCTACTTAATATAATTTGGCTTGTACTGACATTTTGAGACTTTTTGACTATTTACAGATAACATAATGCTGGGATGCTATTTCTCATGTTCTCATAAGTCTCATTATAATGTTAATATTTATAGAGAAATGATAATATATTCCCGGATATGTATTTATGAATTTATATGCATCACTATGATAAGCTTCATTACAGGTGACCCCTGAAAAATCTGGGGTAGAATAGGTCTTCAGCAACCCATGCTTGCCGTAAATGGTGACTATGCTTGTCGTAAGAGGCAACTAACAGGATCGGGTGGTCAGGCTTGCTGACTTGGTTGATGCATGTCATTGTATCCCAATTGCATGGATCGATGCTCATGATGTCAATCACTGGATTGTCTGGTCCTGACTCGATTATTTACACTCCGGCATCATATAGCTGGAATATTGCTGAGTGCGGCGTTATACCACAAACAAACAAATCATAACAGGTACTGACAGTATTTATCCATGTACAGTATGTAGTGATGTTGAATATGTATCTATGGTCAGTATGTACCTCTGTTGAGTACCGGTATCTGTATGTTAACAGGCAAGATGCTGGCACTGGACAGTCGCGTCTACAGCTGGGCATGTTCACCATCTTCCCTGCGTTTGGCATCATTCTTCCTAACGGTCATCAGAGCATCACTGTGGACTGTGTTGCTGAAAACCAGGGCCGGTCAGATGAGGTCAGTTACTGCCATAACTCTCTTTTCTTTATAATTATCTTCATTTTTCAGATATCCCTTTTACAAATAGAAGCTCCTTCCCTGGGTAGTGGGTGCCCCATGTAAAAATATATAACGTGTAAGAAAGGATTTCTTTTCTTTTTTCAAAGAGAAAGGAACATGGACAACCAAGATTAGAGTAGTCTTAGAAACGTTGCATTTTGAAATGTATAATTTGGCCATTAACTGCCATAACTCTTGGCATGTGTACTCCATTTATACAGGGTGGTTCACTTGTCTGAGGCGCCACAATTTGCTGTGCAGAGTTACGTCCCTTAGGTTTGTCAGAAACATGTGACCATGTGGTTTGTCAGCACCATACACATGTTCGTGGGCTTTACCAAAGTGTAAACATCCAAGACCTCATGGCTTTCCTCCCACATCAAGCTGATCCAACTGATTATTATGTCAAAGCATCAAGTAATGATGAATTATTAAAATCGTTTGGCAAAATTTAGCAACTGTTATAAGAATATGGAACATGCACCTTGTTAGATAGTGATCAGTATGAAAAAGTAGTGTAGAAAAAGGTCAAAATCAATTTGAAAGTAATATGTAGCCTTTTATTTATTATTGGACCTGCCACCTTTTGATGTTGGAATATAAGGCAAAAAAAACTTTGGTTCTCACACACCGTCCGCATCATCATAAAGTTCGCCGCATGTTTCGTTTGTATTTCCATTTTTAAAAAAAAAAATCCTTAAATATTCCAGTATTTTATTCATCAAGGAATACATTTATGTAGGGAGACCCTCTCCCAGGTTGATTATACACAATTGTTTATTGATTACACAACTGTTTATTGGTTGCATTTGTTTGAACAACCAACAACAAAAAAGACACCGCTCGCCCGAAATATATTTTAAAAAAACATTGCCTGAGAACCAGTTCTTTTATTTTTTTAAGCCTAATAATCAGTCTAATTATTATTTCATGGCTGACGCAATATCAGATCTACATTTACTGATTGGGTGGAAATTGTCTGTCGATAAAATTCATTTGTATGCTATTCATTTGGCACTGGTTTGTTGGATGAAGGACTGATTGTCATTGTGTTGATGCCACAATAAACATTCACTCACTAAACAACACATATGAAATCAGAATATTTTTGTTATCAGGACATCAGTATTGACATCACTGAGCGCAACCCCTCAGATCACCTAGGTGGCATCCCATACAAGCTGTTGGCAGAGGCTTGTATTCCTGCCATCAATGTTGATGATGTTGGCTCCATCTTTGAGGAGCACCGCATCTGCAGGAACCTCAGCGTGTGGCAACATCTGAACCAGGTGAGTAGGGCAGCTCTGTGCTGGGTGCTGTTGTACAAAGCGATCTTAGCGCTAAGGTGATCGTAACTCCCATACCTTAACATAGACTTACGACAGTCGTAGCGCTAAGGTTGTTTTGTACAGTGGCACCCAGGTGGGGTGAAAACATTTTGGGATGAAGAAAACATCTGGTGCATTGAAGTTAAGATGATCTCTGACACCTGTCTGCGAGATTTACACCCTGTAGGGGTTCTGGTTTAGGAAAAGGACTCAGTAGATCATGTTTGTCTTACAACCTGACTGACATAGGGATCAAGTGGTCAGGCTCTGTGACTTGGCTGATCACATGACTGTGCACCCTGATGGCATGGATTGTTACTCATGCTTTCAGTCACTGGTTTGCCTTGTTAAGACCTCCTTTACAACCTACCTTGACATAGCTGGAATAATGCTGCCTGAGGTCCCTCCCTCCCTCCCTCCCTCCCTCCCTCCCTTCCTCCCTCCCTTGACATAGCTGGAATAATGCTGCCTGAGGTCCCTCCCTCCCTCCCTCCCTCCCTCTCTCCCTCCCTCCCTTCACATAGCTGGAATAGTGCTGCCTGAGGTCCCTCCCTCCGTCCCTCCCTCCCTCCCTTGACATAGCTGGAATAATGCTGCCTGAGGTCCCTCCCTCCGTCCCTCCCTCCCTTGACATAGCTGGAATAATGCTGCCTGAGGTCCCTCCCTCCCTCCCTCCCTTGACATAGCTGGAATAATGCTGCCTGAGGTCCCTCCCTCCCTCCCTCCCTTGACATACCGGTAGCTGGAATAATGCTGCCTGAGGTCCCTCCCTCCCTCCCTCCCTTGACATACCGGTAGCTGGAATAATGCTGCCTGAGGTCCCTCCCTCCCTCACTCCCTCCCTCCCTCACTCGCTCGCTCATTAAGATTAATAATTGTTTGTTTTCTTGTTGAACACTGCACACAGCAATATTCCAGCTATATGATGGCGGTCTGAAAAGTAATTGAGTCTGGACCACACAAAATCCAGTTATTTGCATCATGAGCATTGATCCACACAATTGGGATACGATGACATGCACCAACCAAGTCTATCCCGGATCTTCATGGGTCAACTGAAGGTCACGTTATCTTCTTTTTAAGAATCATGTTGCAGATAAAGGCAAAATCCATGAACTTACACACTGACATTTTCAGGTGGAGAGTGGTGGCGTCTATGGAGAAGAGGAGAAGAAGTTTGTTTTCAACAATGTCATTGTTGGCCGCCGTGCTAAGGCCAGGTTCAAGATCTCCAACACCAACAAGGTATGTCATCACTGTTGACTGCTTAATACACTCAGCTGTTTAAAATATGTCGAAGTGTTCCATTCTTCAGTATGTAAGCAGCACTGTCTAAGACCATGCTCTTCCAGTTGCAGGAATGTGTAGATTTGCCGTAATTTAATTCTGTGTTAGCATTATGTCTTGCTTCAAGATTGGCCTCATTCGTTCTGTGCCAATCATGAGTGCCCTGTCATGTTAGTTGTCCTGGTGTGTCCTTTTGGTATGTAAGCATTATATTCCTAAGAATTGACTTGGGTACAAGTTGTAAGAACTTAGAATGCCAGCTCTCAAGATATATACAATAATTCATTTACAAAACATGTATCACAGGAAGAGATGGACTGGAAACTTGAGATTAGAACAATATCTCTTCACTTCAACAAATCACTGACTTTTACTGGTGAATTTTTGAACAGAAAGAAAAATGGGCTCAATATGAGCATGACAATGATCAGAACCGCTGTTTAGAAGTAGTTGTATATCGATTGGAAACATGTCAACAAACATTTAGAAACGGTTAGGAAGATAACCTGCTTCTGTTCTGTAAACAGAACACATGAAAGAAAATAATGAACTGGGTGAATCACATTGACAGGTTTCTTTCATTTTAATCCAAAATATGATCATAATTTAAGTGGCTGAGTAGGAGTAGTGTACTTTTTATTAATAATATTCTGTCTTTGACTTCTGTTGAAAAAGCGTGTAGGGACTGCAGAATAGGGCTTGGATGAGTCCAAATTTACTACCCGGGTATCTGACCCCCTATTACCCGACTCTACCCACTGAAGGTCTCAAGAGTTGGGAACAAGATGTCTGATTGGGAATTGTTTTACCGCAGCCCTGGGAAAAACTATTTAGATACGTGTATCAAACGATCAGATCATGCGTACACTGATGTTGAATGAAGCTTTATCTTTACTCAAACATACACAAGTCAAAAGGAATGTGTGCATCGTCAGGATGCACTGCGAACACTAGCGACTTGTAGTGTAACCACTGAGCTATAGTGAGTTTTTGTCATTAAACAATATATCGCGTGACTAACAGCGGGTTTGGGTAGTACTGTCGGTACCCGGGTCCTACTCAGTACCCACCCGACCTGAGTACCACAGTTACCTGTCCCCGCCCTACTGCAGAATGTTCCTTTTTTTATTTGATTCAAAATTACATGTAGCAATAATTTTGTGATATTGTAGGTTCCCTGTGATGTTGTGTTCACACTCAAGCCGATTCTCACCAAGGGAGCTCCCAAGGTCCTAGACATATTTGAGGTGGAGCCAAGTCGGACCCAGATAGCCAATCACAGCCACTCTTACATCACCATCACATTCACGCCACCATCCATGCAGGTTTGTAGTATGAAAGTAGTGTGGTTTGTTTGCATGTTTGAAATCCCACATTGGCCTACTTATTGGGAATTTGGATTAATTCCTTCAGAAGAATTACTGATTACAAAAACACAAATCAAGACTCGACAGATGTTATTGATATAATACATACAACCAAACATTCAAACTTCGGTTCAGGTTTGTTTGTGGACATACATTAACACTGTATACAATGTATGACCACTAAGCTTGACTAGCCTCTAAAGTACATAGTTCACGTTTGCCTCCCTTTAGCATGTCAGGATCCTATGATCACGGTTTGAAATATCAGATTCACCCTGATAATGATTTTAAATTTTATCAGCATGATACCAGTGCTTTGGGTTTACTAGCACTAGGCACAAGGGCAAGTTGTCTTAGACACTGCATGTAGCAGTGGACCGTGTCATCCTTTATGTTTGCCAGAAACCTATGGTTGTGGGTTCAAATCCCAGTTTGCCTTGATCTTTCTAGGTTTGTCATAACCATACCACAGCGTGAGAAACAATCAGTTTTAGTCCCCTAGTCGTTATAATGATAACATATAGCAGACACCTAAAAAAATGGCAAAGTCCTTATGATACCTTAACAATTGGGCAGTTTGACAAGGACTATGGGACTAGTGCTAATTTCTAACGCTTATACCAGTGTAGAAACATGACTTATAGCTTTCTTGCTTGTCATAAGGGGTGACTAGCAGGATCGGGTTGTCAGGCTCGCTGACATGGTTGATGCATGTCATCTTATCCCACTTGCATGGATCGATGCTCATGATATCAATCACTGGATTGCCTGATCCAGACTCTATTATTTATATATCGCCGTCATATAGCTGGAATATTGCTGAGTGTGGCATTAAACAACAAAAAACAACAACTTTGGGTTTTACTCCAATTACGCCAATAGACATGCTGTGATATAACTGAAATACTGTTCAAATCAGCATTTAACCCAACTCACTCATGACTAGTTGTTCCTGCAATCAATCTGTGTTGTTTTCAGTCCTACAGTGCCACATTTGAAGCCTCCATCGAAGGCTCAAACCAGAACAAAGGGAGATCACTGGTGTTTGAGGTGTCAGGCGAGGGCAACCTTCCAAGAATCAGCATTTCTAAGCCATCCATCAGAAACAAGAGAGGACAACCCTTGTTGTTATTCAAGAGGATACTGCTAGGGAGAACAGAGGCCCTCCCATTTGTACTGCGCAATGATGGCACTCTACCCAGCAAGGTCAGTTTAAACAATAGGTTTAATCTAGGTTTGCGATTTCAAAAGTTACCTTCTAACAATAGTGTCAAATCAAAAATAGACATTTATATATGCTTAAATTATGTACTTAGATAAAGTATCAATAGATAATACTGAAGATATTAGGCTATATTGAAGAAAAGACTGTTATTTCTTATCCATCTTCCCGAGGCAAGGGTGTTAACTGACTATAAAAGTCCAGTTTCCACCCTTGCTGAACTACGCTGGAATTCCTGCGCTCAATCGTAGTGCCACCAGTGGCTATTACGAGTTATGTCCATTTAATGTCCCTCCTATTGAGAAATCAGATTCCACCTCTCACATCACTTACATTTGCTTCAAACAAAATGGCGGCGCCCAGATGATCTGATCAATAATCAAGCTCTATATTATGGTTGCGAAGTGCATTAAATCACGTGAGCACACTGATTAAAAACATATCTGTTGATGCCGAGTTGGATGTACACATGCTTTGCAAATCCTGCAATCGACCGAAATCTGCACTGCAGTTTACAAAATGGATGTCTAGTTTGTAACGCAATTTTGATTGGACTATGCATAGACTCGATAGTCCAGCCAAAATGTAACTCAATAATTCCATCCTAGTTCGGCAAGGGTGGAAACTGGACATTTATAGTCAGTTCTCTCTTGCCTCAGGAAGATGTTTCTTATCCTGACACAACACATTAGAAGTGAAGGGATCAGGGACAGATAACTCCTGTTGGTAACCAAGTCCAGGGGGCGCAAAAATAGAGGTAGAGGCCATTTGGGTTCTGTGATGTAGGCTCAAAGTCCAGAAGCAAACTACAATGGTGTTGTGTCAGGATAAGTATACTAATATTATGAATATCCAAATTCATGTAGTATTTAGAACTACCGGTATATGGAATTAATAAAGTTAGTAAAAAGACTTTATGACTTTGAATTAATACATGTATCTACGTAAACATGTTCTCCTTTATCACTTTCAACGTTACTCTTCAGGTTGACATTGATCTGAGTGACCCAGAGGAACTCTTCACCCTCAAGCCTACTGGTGAGACTCGGGCCATCATAGGAGACTTCAGCAGTGGTGATGATGGTAAGAGCTTCTTGGCCATTCAGTACCATCAAACAATATATTCTGGTTGATCCAGAGATCTGGATTCCGGAGATCCAGCTCCTAGCATATTGGTTATGCTGAAATAAATAATAGTCTTGGTTCTCAGGCACCTCCCGCATGGTTTCGTTTTTATTTTCCATTCTAACCCTAAAAAACATAATGCGATCCAATATAGCATGCAGTTACTTCCCTTTACATGTGCATTGTTTTACTGCTAATCTCGTGTTATGGTCATGGCGGCAATAGGAATTTGTACCGGTATGCTTGTTTATGTATGGAGGCCCTTTCCCAGGTTGATGGTACACAACTGTTTTTTATGTACATACTAGTTTGAACAAGCCCCCCAATCCCCACCCCTACCCCCACACACACACACAAAAAAAGAAAAAACAATCAAAGAAAAACACCACCCACCCACCGCCCACACTATATTTTCAAAAGTCATTGCCTGGGAACCAATTTTTCAATCTCATTAAAATCCGATCTTAGTTTTCGCTATCGCTAAACAAAGATCTGAGGACATCCCATTACGGGTCACGTCAGAACGACCTTTCATCCAACCAATCAGAGCGTCGCTTACCAGATCATGAAAGTCACGGACGGAAAGTGTTTTCTAATCATGAAACCTCGAAAAATTTAACAGAGGGTATTCCGAACGACAGTTACGGGTTTGACGATTATATCCATACAATCTCAGCCATCTATAAGCAATTCCAGAATGTTCTTTTTATCAGTTTTAAACATTTTAATCGAGAATACGTCATAATATGTTTCGAAGCGTAGTCGCCAGTTTGAAACTTGTGGCGTAAATCTCGAGAAAGTTGCCTTCTGATTGACTAATGTCGATTTTTTGTCAGTCATTTCATTGGTCGGTAAATGTTCGCGAAAGGTCGTTCTGACGTGACCTGTAATGGGATGTCCTCAGATCATTGTTTAGCGGTAGCGAAAACTAAGATCTGATTTTAATGAGATTGCCAATTCTTTTATTTTTCTTTAAGCCTTACACCTTGTGATTGTTGTCTGTTACATAGATGGTTTTATTGATTGTTTTCTAAGGCTTGAAAAATAGATTGGTTCTCAGGGAAATAGTGTTTGGAGTACATCAGGGAGAAAATGTGTGTACAGCTGATTGGTATTACTCGTGTAAGCGGAGACAATTACACACGTTAATCTTAATCTCTGAGCATAAAACAATATCTAGCATACAGTGACAACAGCTGAAATAGTAAATCATCATATCATGTGATGTTTCATCACAAATTTCATGTTTTCATTGACCAAGTTTGCAAACAGCAAAACAAGCTCCAAACCATGCTTCCAACTCCACAGATTCCTGTTACCGTTCGTTACCGTTTGTTACCGTTCATAACATGGGCAGCGCAGTAAGCAGAACACATAGAAAGGGAACTAACTGCGTTTTATTTTGGACCAGGTTATTTTTTGGTATTGCAGCATTTCACTGACAAGGTGTTTTATTTGGGATTTTTTAATGAAAATATCAATGAAAAGTGGGGCAGACATTATGAGGATGTGTGGTGATTGAGAACTGAGACTATTTTCTTATTTAGCCAAAGTCTCATGTACCAGTTCAATCTGTTGTTCCATAAGTCCCAGTGAGTGTTGAGTGTTGCTACCTGTATTTGTGTTACGATTGTGAGGCCATTCAGAAGTACTTGTTTGATGACATACGTTGTTCTCTTGTTACAGGGGCCAGGAAGCGGCCACACACAGCCTCCGTTGTCGTAGGTATAGGAGAGGAGGCAACATTCGATGCTATCTTCAAACCCAAGGCAGCATATCGGTCACAGGCTCAGATCCGCCTCTCTGTCATAGACAACCAGTATGAGGACTCAGTCATTCTGCTGGTCGGGGAGGGTTACGAGGATGACATCACCCTGGATAACATCCATAGTGTCAGTGGTGCTATTGACCCTGAGCATGATGAGGGCAACATGGCAGAAGATGATGTTGCAGGTAGGAGGAGAGAAGACTTGAAAGTTACCAAGACTCTGTGAAATAGACTATTGTCTTATGTTTTCTTCTTGATCATTACTACTACATTGGTTCCAGCTGGAGTGAAATCACTGACTGCTCAGACCAATGAGTGTTCCGATAACGGCCAATTTTCTCAATCAGCATGCACAGAGTAGAGGTCATTTGACTTCTGTGAGTTACCAATCTCCTCATTTCAATAGCGCTGGCATGGGTGGCCCAGTCGTCTTAGGCGCTGCGATTTGCTGTGCAGAGTTGTGTCCCTTGGGCACGCCAGAAACCTATGGTCGTGGGTTCAAATCCTAGTTCGCCCTGATTATGTTTCTAAGTTTGTCAGCACCAAACCCGTGCTCATGGGTTTAACCAAAGTGGTAAACGTCCGAGACCTGCATCACTTCAGGCCTTCCTCCCACATTAAGCTGACACACCGCGATATACCTGAAATTCTGTTAAAAGCGGCGTTAAACCCAACTCACTCACTCATTTCAATAGCTGACTGCAAACAGACACACGTCATGTCTATGCTGCATAGAGGCTGTATGTAATCTTGAGGATTGAGGAATGTAGTGAAACAGAACCCAAGAAGTTTTATTGATGATTCATTAAATAAAATTCTGCTTTTATTCAGAATATTATCAAACTGATGTCGTCTACCTTCACCTTAGATAATTAAAGGAAATGAATACCTTCATGATTTTTGGGTCTTTTTTTTCAGCTGCCAAGCCAAACCTTATCAAGTTTGGTTTATGCTTCATCAATGAACCACGAACTCTGACGTTCTCGATGATGAACCACTCCAAGACGGACTGCGTCCGCTTCCAGTGGCCAGATCAAGTCCCCCTCACATTCTCCCCCAAGACTGGCCACCTCCATGCTGGCTGTTCCAAGGACATCGCCGTCACCTTCAAGGCAGAGACACCCAAAACACTCACAGAACAGCAGGTCATGTGTAAAGTCTCCAAGATCACCTTTGAGAAACCGATGGACCAAGTAAGAATGTTTTCTTTCTAAATATCACCGTTCTTGTATAGCTGTGAAGAACATTTGGTCAAATATCACCAGAAATAACAAGGAAGCTTTTTCACAATACGACATTGAAAAAGATAATGCTTTCACGATAGGTAATCAACAAAAATTCTGTGGTGCTTTGATGCTGTATCATCAACTCTTCGAAAATGAGGAGCAGCTTTCAATTTAATTTAGTTTTGTACTTAAGACTTCAATGTTTGAGACCATGTACTTTCCTACACTGCAATAGAGTGAGAAGTATGTTATTTTCTGTAAAAAAACACTAAGATGTACTGATAAGATGTGCTATATGTCATGGGCTTTCTACCACCCTTGGCGGAAGCACATTTTATGTCACAGGTACTTTTTAAAAACAATAAAAGAAGAAAAAAAAGTGTGAGTGAGTTGAGGCTTGAATATTGCAGTAATATCACAGCATGTGAGCTGAATATGGGAAGAAAGCTCAAACTGATGCGGGTCGTTATTTTTAACGGACCCATAGGTATTCCGCATTAGAATTAAGCCCTAGCACCCTAGGCAGGTCGGAAGAGGCAACTTGATGGATCGGGTGGTCAGACTCAGTGACTTGTTTTATGTCATATCAACGTACCCAATGATGTTGATCGATGCTCATGATATCAATCACTGGACTGTCTGGTCCAGATTTTATTCTCTGCAGGCTGCCAGTATACAACTGAAATATGGCTGAGTGTGGCATTAGACACACATATGATTGTTTACCACTTCGGCGAAACCCTTCAGTGCGGTGTTGAAACACCAAGGGTAAAAATCACCAAATCTGGGTTTCAGTCTGAAATTGGCCTTGTACAGGCGCTGCCAATTAGGGTGGTTTTTTTTACTTCTGAGATACTCAAGCCTCTGAAAAGGCGGTCGGGTAGCCTAGTGGTTAAAGCGTTCGCTTGTTATGCCAAAGACCCGGGTTCGATTCTCGACATGGGTACAATGTGTGAATCCTATTTCAGGTGTCCCCCCGCTGTGATATTGCTGGAATATTGCTAAAAGCGGCGTAAAACCATACTCACTCACTCACTCATACTCATACTCACTTGATTGTCTAGTGCAGACTTGATTATTTACAGATTATTATATACAACAAACAAACAATATAGATAATGTGCTTTATATCATTGGTAGAGCTATGTGAATGTGTTAAAACATTCCCATTATCCACTTTATCATTGTATAAATGTTTGCTGGACGGGATCTAGTGAAGTCAGTATGTTCTGTCTCCAAGAAATTGTAATGAACACAACTGCTGAGGTGAATACAAAACTGATTTGGAAGATCTTACAGTGTGTTTGTGTCAAGAGTTGATAATTCCTGTGTGTTGCAGGTCCCTGACTGGGATGACAGGATTCGGACCGTGAAGTGGGTGGAGAACCCCACGACCCCGAGCCCTGCTGACAGGTGAGTGACCTCAGAATTACCGTAATCGACGTAATAAGCTCTCCGCTCTAATGAGCACCCACGGCGATATTTGCTAATATATTGGCTAGTGAACAATCCCAATTAGCACCCCTTCCGATTGATCAATGTACACAAGACTTATTTATTCGTGTATAATACGCACTTGTGTGTTATATGCACCCTTAAATATTGGCAATTAAATTCTGGAAAAATATATCTGTCGTGTATAATACGCGCAGACTTTTCTTTTGTATCATTTCAGGCTGTTAGCATAAACCACGAAATTTACGATCTTTCAACTCTGGTTTTATTTCACCAGAATTTTATTCTAATAAGAGCCCCCTATTTCTTATTTTGAGAGCGCCCTGGACGCTTATTACGTCGAATACGGTAATCTCTTACTTACTCTGTAACCCTCAACGTGTTCATTTAAATCTCACAGTCCATTTGCCATCTTCACCCAACCCATTCTCAGCCTACTAGTATTGACATCACATTGACAACGAAAAGAATTTTGCCATGTTTCAAAGTAGAGTTATATGGCATCTCTTTGTCTGTTTCCTTCAAAAAGACATTATATAGGTCATCTTCAATACTTCACTGGTTTGTATAAACCTTGTTCTTCTATCACCATGAATACCGACGGGCAAAATGTCGTGTAGCTATGTCACATGTCTGTGTGAAGACAAGCGGTGAAATGAGGTTGGGAATGAAGGAAGTCATACTCTGCTCATGAATTTTGTGTGAAACTTTCCTGATAGATTGTATGGCCACAGGGTTGTAGCATATGTTGCAGGACAAATATTGCCATGTATATGATGTAATTTGAGAATGGAGAACTAGTACCAGGCCGTGGCTTGATTCGTTGGTTAAACTCCCGAGCAGCTGTATGTGTTTATGGGTGATGAAGCAGCAGTGTATACATGCTGAGGAAGTATATATGTTGTATGATCTCTACCTCTGATCTCTGATGACTGCCTCCGTGGTCTTGTGGTAGAGCGTCTGCCCGGAGAGCAGAAGGTCTGGGGTTCGATCCCCGTTAAAGACGTTAAAAGATGGTACTTGTTGTTACCCTGTCTGACGCTCAGCATTAAGGGGCTGAAACAAGGACTGGTCGGCTTGGAGTCAGTATACTGGTATCTGAGTGGGGTATTCATGTTTAACTGTGGCATGGTATCTCAGTGAGCTACCACTATAAATCGGCATCAGTCCGGACTAGTACAAGCAGTTACGCACGCACGTCGCTATATAAGTGTAATAATCTTGGACGTGACGTTAAACCCAATTTCACCTCACCTCTGATCTCTGATTCCCATGCAGCAATGCAAAGTCCCAGCCTCCGACACCCCACCAACCTCGTCCTGCCAAGAAGAAGATCGTGGAGACCGAGCCCGAGCCAGCCTTCACCGAGGTGGCCGATACTGTACGATCACTGGAGCTGTTGGTGTCTGGTGTGTCGGACAACTGCAAGTACAAGTGCAAGGCCGAGTCTGTCCACTTCAAGGACACCCTGATGTTCCAGACAAGAGTTTATAAGTGAGTACTACTTGGAAGCTTTTGAACACCATGAGCATTATTCAACTGCTTTGTAACTCAATCTGGACCAGTGATTATGTAACTAAAGTAGCTTTGGGAGACAACAAATAGTCATTCTAGATTTTCACTAGTCTCGGCCCTCGTGAAGATCCCTGTTAGATATCTTTTGAAGAATTCAAAGACATGTACAAGATAAAATCTACTTTCTTGGCTTTTTATGGTATTGTTTGTGGTATTAAGAGATATTTGACCAGTTTGAATTTGACTAAACTCCCTACTGACTCTGTAGAAGAACATCGCTGTGCTATTAAAAAGATCTCCTCTCAAAGGACAGGCTCTAAATATATTTATAATATTCTTGTATTTGTTGATATGAAAACAAGAGGCCAGGAAAAGTGGGAGTTACAGTTTGGAAAATTGAATTGGAATATTATTTGTATTAAGCCTTCTAAAGCAACACAAGAGGTGAAATTGCGTTGGTTTCAGTATCGAATCATACATAGAATACTTGCAACTAATTCTTTGTTGTTGAAAATGAATATTTCTGATACCACGCTTTGTTCTTTTTGCAAATGTTATGATGAAACTATTGTACACATTTTTTTGGGAATGTGAACTTGTACAAGTATTTTGGAAAACCTTCTTGGATTGGATAAATAAATGTAGCCATATACATCATATGAAATTAAGTGCTGAACTTGTTTTATTTGGTGTTAAAGAAAATATTGTTACTGACAAAGTTTTTGATCTTCTTATTTTAATAGCTAAATCTTTTATATATTTTTGCAGATTCAAAAAAACAAATCTTTGCTTCGCAATATTTCAAAAAGATGTTAGTCTGAGATACAAAATTGAGAAGAATATAGCCTTTACAAATGGTAGTGTAGCTACATTTGATAAATCATGGATCTTTTATCCCATATTGTTTGAAGAAGCAGAACAGCAATAACATATGTATCTCTTTCTCACATTTGTTTCTTGCCAGGATCAGTGTTTGAATAATATTTTGAATGCTTGACTGTGTGTATGTTTTGTTATATTTCTTAAAAATCACCTTGGCACCATTTCCAATACCTGTATTTAATTTTCCCCAAATGTATACATACATTGTCTTCAGAATGTGAGGGTGACCATCCTCCTCATGTAACGGGGAAAAGTGAAACAAAATGCTAAAAAAAAAAAGATAAAAAAATAGAGCCCTGTTAGAATTGGTCTTCAGCAACCCATGCTTGTCATAAGAGGCAACTGATGGGATCAGATCAAGGATCTGTGTCTGTGATTGTTATTCCCATAGGGATTCTCTGGATTAGAATTGGTCTTCAGCAACCCATGCTTGTCATAAGAGGCAACTGATGAGATCAGATCAAGCATCTGTGTCTGTGATTGTTATATTCCCTTGGGGATTATCTGGATTCGAATTGGTTCCCAGCAACCTGTGCTGTCAAAGAGATCACTCCTTGAATTGGGTGGTCAGACTCATAACTTGGTTGCTTGCTTGTCATTGTACCCCAGCAATGTGGATTCTTTGTCATATCAATCACTAGTTTGTTATCTGGTCCAGACTGAATTATCGGAATAGTACTGACTTCAGTGTTAAACAACAAACAAAAAGACCATGACCGTCATATATTTATGTGTCCACTCCCAGCATCACGCTGAGCAACAAGGGTCAAGTTCAGATGGACTACAGCTGGCAGGTTGTGATGGACAGCTTCACGCCATCCCTACAGCGGGCGGTCACTTTCATGTCCGAGGGAGAAAGACCAGAGTCTAGAGTGGACGTCATCGACTCAACATATGTTCCCTTCTCCATCGAGCCCCAGTTCGGCACCATCCAGCCAGGGAAGAAGGCGACCTGTACCATCAAGTTCTCTCCCCTGGATGTCAGTGACTACGAGGGCAGATTGGTCTGCAGGTAATACACTTGTTACATCAGTGTAGTGTAGCTGTAACTTTGGACCTGGGGCCATTCTGGAGCCAACTACCATATTCGACGTAATAAGCGCCCCGCTCTAATAAGCGCCAACGGCGATATTTGCTAATATATTGGCTAGTGAACAATCCCAATTAGCACCCCTCCCGATTGATCAATGTACACAAGACTTATTTATTCGCGTATACAACGCACTCGTGTGTTATATGCACCCTTAATTATGGGCAATTAAATTCTGGAAAAATATATCTGTCATATATAAACATTTCAGGCTGTCACCATAAACCACGAAATTTATCTTTCAACTTATTACGTCGAATACGGTAATGGATATTGGATGGTTGTGATTTGTGAACCCAGTGGGGACTCAGGGTTAGACTTGCTTCCCAGAAACCTTGCTGCTCGTAAGAGGCGACTTAATGTATCACGTGATCAGGCTTTGTGATGTGGTGGATTGCGTGTCATCGGACCCTGATGGCATGGATCTTTGCTTATAATATCGATCACTGAATTGTCGGGGCAGACTCAATTATTTAAAGAGTGAGTCATATAGCTGGAATATTGCTAAGTGTGGTGTTAAACAATAAACAAGATGATGTGTCATCTGGCTGTATTTTTACCATCAGTGTGAATTGTTCATGCTGTCAACATTGGCTTGGATGGGCAAGCTGTATTACTTACAGAGCAAGGTGTATTGGTTCTGACTGCACATTTAACAACATTCACCTCGCTTCTCTTTGAACTGTTTGAACTACATATTTGACATAGGCATACTGCTTCGTGTTGGATTTGAACAGTTACTAAAATCATGGCTAAAGCTATTGCAGGAAGATAACAAGATGAATACAAATGGAAAACTTGTAAATTCTAATGACCACTTGTATCTCTGTGTATGGTTGATGAAACATGTCCCACCTTGTGTGCAGCATCCCCAACTTGGAGAAGTCGGAGCAGGGGCCAGTGGTCGGCATCAAGGGGCGCAGTATCATGCCTTACTGTCACTTCGAGCTGGCCGACTCTGACTACATCACAGGGGCCAAGCGGAACCCCGAGCTGCGAGGACCAGGAGGAGCACCCCCAGGATCTACCCTGGACCCCAGCACCAGGGTCATGGAGTTCAGCTGTGTGGGGGTTGGAGTCAGGAGTATTAGGTAGGTGTGCAAGATGACAGTCAAGCAAGCCGGTGCACAGGGCCATTGTTTTCAGCCTTGGTCAACAGTATGTCTGCTGTCTTATATTTGTGTTTGGCCTTGAGTGGAATCTTTACATTGAGACTTCTGAGGAGGAGCAGCGTCATGGGGAGTTGTATACCAGATGTTGTTCAATGAAATAGTCAGTGACATGTTCAAGAAGACTGGTTAATGGGAAATATGTATCATATTCGCGAGGGAAGGGCGTTAACTGACTATAAAAGTCCAGTTTCCTCCCTTGCCAATTAACTGGGCTGGAATTTCCAGGCTCGATCGTAGCACCACCAGTGGCTATTAGGAGTTATGTCCCTTTGGTACCACAAACTCACAATAGATGGCGATACAATGTATGTGGTATATGTGTTTCTAATTAGCAGCTTTATAACCATTGCAGAGAGTTCGGGATTGTCAACCCAACAAGTCACACGTATCACTTTGAGTGGGTGTGCGAGGATGAGCAGGACCCCAAGACGCCATCATGTTTCCGATGTTTGGCCCAGAAAGGAGAGATTAGGAGTGGTCGCAAGTTCAGGGTATGTTTTGAGGCATTTATCAGCAGTAGAAACGAAAATTTTATCTCATCATGACTCACATGAGTGTGATGAGTTACTGGTCTTGGTCACGTGGTTCTGGTGCGCTTGTGCGGACCCAGGGTTTCATTGGGGTGAGATGTTTTGTCTGTTCTCTGGGAACACAGAACAGGACGTTTCCACTACTACTCTGAAGAGAGAGGGATAAGCAATAAGTACGAGTCAGGATCAGCATAAATAATATTTTTACCAAAATACATTTTTTAGTCACTAGTCCTCATAATGACAAATAGCGAAACCCTTAAAAATGACAAATTTCTACTAGTCCTTATGATTCCTTAACTATTGGTCATTTGGGCAAGGACTACAGGACTAGTGCTAATTTCTAGAGCTGTTTATTCCTCAGAATTACAGGCTGCTTTCATGGAGTCAATAAGTAAATATATCAGTAAAATATAAATAGCTGTGTTTTAGACATGAAGCCAATGGAGAAAATATAGAAATCTACTTAAAATTATAATGACATGCTTTTTAGTCCAATGCATTGTTTGTTGCAGGCTGGGTTTGAGTTTGTGTCTAGTCAGACAGACATTGTTGAATCGTTCTGGAGGTTTGTGATCCCTGATCAGAACATCTCCGTACCCTTCCTCCTAGTGGGCAACACTCAAGAACCTGACATCGTGATGGACAGATCCCACCTCAGCTTCAAGTCACTGCTGATTGGTCAGTGCATATGGGCTCCCTTATTCACACTAGGACTGTACAGTCAGACCATTAGGCCAAGTTGTGACTACCCACTGTATTAAATCTCCATTCTATTATGAAAATTCCCTGGACCCATTTGCCACCACTGTTTCGTTTATAGTCTTTATTTTATGCTAAAATTAGGCGTCCAATCGAATTCCATTGTTCTGTTGTGATTGAAACAAAGTGATATCCCCAGTTCGTGACTTGACACGACTCCAGAGTGTGGGTCAAAATAGAATGGAGATATTATAATAAGAAGAAGAATCAAGGACGTGACAGGCTCCACACTGGAGATATCGCTTGGTTGAGATCAAAGGATATCTACATTGTAGATATCGCTGCAATTAAATTGCATGACAATACTTTGCAGACCGTTGTGATGTAATTGGTTACCATGACGTCACAATCAAATGACATCACTAATGGCTCTGCTACTGAAGCTGTTAGCAGTACTTATTAGACTTACGACACTGCTTATTACTGTCTGTAAACTGAAAAAGTTGGAAGAATGATGTTGAATGATAATAAAATCTCACCCGAGTGTCTTTGATATATATTTGATATCAAAAGACACTCAGGTGAGAATCTCTATATATCACTCAACATTTGCTAAGGACCTAAATGTTTGGTGGCCAAGATACTGTTGCAAGTTGTGGTGGTATCATAATTATGAGTTGGTAATGTTGTTATTAACTGTTTATCTATGAAATTATACCATTAAATGATCGATGTCAAATCTAGTATCAATGTATTCCATTGACTTATTGCTGTCTCATAGGGGTGGTCGGATAGCCTAGTGGTTAAAGCGTTCGCTCGTCACGCCGAAGACCTGGGTTCAATTCCCGACGTGGGTACAATGTGTGAAGCCCATTTCTGGTGTCCCCCGCCGTGATATTGCTGGAATATTGCTAAAAGCGGCATAAAACCATACTCACTCACTCATTCACTCACTACTGTCTCGTAGTCAGCTTTAGTCAAACGTGTGGTCCTTGGCAAATGTGTAGTTCCACCATTGGTCAGACGTGTTGGTTGGTGTGTTGTTTTACGCCGCACTCAGCAATATTCCAGCTATATGCGACAGTCTGTAAATAATCAAGTCTGGACCAGACAATCCAGTGATTGATATGAGCATCGATCCACACAATTTGGATTGATGACATGCATCAACCAAGTCAGCGAGCCTGACCACCCAATCCCGTTAGTCGCCTCTTACGACAAGCATAGTCACCTTTTACGGCAAGAATGGGTTACTGAAGACCTTTTCTACCCATGATCTTCACAGGTCGGTCAGACGTGTATCAAGTAGGGAGATGAAGATCCTCTTTATGCATGTACATGTGTATATTTACATCAGTGATATTTAGTGAAGCTACATAGTATTTTTGTAGCAGTTTTAACAGCTTTGAAAGTAATGATCTTTTAACCAATGTAGATGTTTATTCTGATCAAGCTGACATGTTTGTTGCAGGCCGGGAAGCAGAGGAGCAGGTGTATCTCATCAATGGGGAGGACACGCCCTTCAGCTTCTCATTCGTGGAGGACTCTTGTCACTCAGAAGGATACTCCTCCCACATCCAGGTCCAGCCAATGAGTGGTGTCATCCCAGCAAAGTCAAAGTAAGAAATATGGCCACATATGTAATGTATTTAATGCCATGCTCGTGTCATAGCATGAAAGTTGTCTCAGATTCAGCCCTTGTGTCGATACAGTGTCCAGTGACAAATTATTGGCCTTCTTCTTCTTCTTATCCTGACTCAGACACATGAGAAATAAGTATGAGTCAGGATAAATATAAATAATATTTTTACTAAAAAAATACATGATCATAATCTTTCTTAAATACTTTTATATTTTTCATTTCTACAATTTAGGCATTGTCAGTACTTCATAGATTTTATGCACTGTTTCTCCATCACCGTGAATACATTGGGCCAATATGCAGTTTAGTAATGCATATCTACCGTTAGTTTTAGTCAGCTAATGCTATGAGACTGTGTGTAACACATGGAAATCAAATGAGCCCTATTCTGTGCATGAAATCATGCGTTACAGCACATTGACACGATGTGTTGATCGGATACCACAAGATGCCAAGCAACAAACAATGCTGTTTGTAAGATGTAGGCTGAGTACTTGCTGGTTGACCCCTGAAGATCCTTGGTAGAATAGGTCTTCAGCAACCCGTGCTTGCCGTAGGGGGTGACTACAGGGTCGGGTGGTCAGGCGCACTGACTTGATTGATGCACGTCATCGTATACCAATTGGGTAGATCGATGCTCATGATGTCAATCACTAGATAGTCTTTTCCAGACTCAATTATTTACAGACCGCCGCCATATAGCTGGAATATTGCTGAGTGTGGCGTTAAACAACAAACAAACAAACAAACAACAAAACAACATCCTCACCTCTCTGTACCATGGGATGTTGTCCTGCAGGGTACCGGTCAGTCTGTTCTTCTCCCCCAACTCGGACAAGGAGGTCAACTTCAACCTGGTGTGTAACATCAAGAAGAAGGTTCAGCCAGTGACCCTCAACGTGAAGGCGGAGGGCTACTCCATGAGCTGCACCCTCTTGTGTGAGGACTCCGCTGGCAACAGGGTGGAACTGTCAGAGAAGGGGCTCAATGAGATTAACTTTGGAGAGGTAGTTACACCCATTTCTTGTGTTGTTTTCATTGCAGATGGAATTATATTTTCCATTCATTTTCAAACAAGTTCACTTTGGTTCGGAAGTGTGTCTGTTGGGATTTGAGTTTCTGATAATCAAGTTGACATGAAGCTGATTTTAATTCTTTTTTCTTTTTTTAATTTCTTTTAAAAACTATTCAAGGCATCTCTACATTAACTGTTGATGGGTGTGGTTCACAGGCGGCATGCATGTAATTAATTCATTATGGCTAATGGCTGCAGAATATTGTTGCACTGTACTGTTCTTGAAATCCTCCAGCAGTGTTGTGAAGCATTTCACTTTCATGCTTTCCCCCATAGCTATGGCTCTGTTAATTATTAATAAGGGGCGGTCGGGTAGCCTAGTGGTGAAAGTGTTTGCTCGTCACGCTGCAGACCCGGGATTGATTCCCGACATGATACAATGTGTGAAGCCCATTTCTGGTGTCCCCCGCCGTGATATTGCTGGAATATTGCTATAAGCGGCGTAAAACCATATTCACTCACTCACTCGCTCACTAATTATTAATTAATGGCCGTTGATGTGTATGTCAATGACTTAACATTAACATGCAGAAATGCTTTTTCAAAGCAAAAGTTTCTGAAATGTGCAAGTTTTAGCCCTCTATGAATGACTATCCTCACTCTCTTCTCATCATCCCCAGATTGAGATCAACGAGCAAGCTATCAGAAACTTGTTCATCCTCAACTCGGGCAAGTTCAACTTTGACTACAAGTGGGAGCTGAACGAAAGGTCCACCAAGAAGGATGTTGTTACGATCACCCCGGTCAGTGGGGGCGTCCTGCATGGAGAGAAACAGAAGTGCATGCTCAGCTTCTGTCCCCCCAGCCGAATGTCACTACGAGGCTGTGAACTGGCTCTCAAGGTAACATATCCAACAACAACATTACCATAGAGATCGACAGATAGTTCTGATTGTCAACCCAAGTACATGAAATCTGGGACCCGTGACGATCGAGGGTAGAATAGGTCTTCAGCAACCCCTGCTTGCCACAAAAGGCGAATATGCAAAAATACTATGTAGCTTCACTGAATATCACTGATGTAAATATACACATGTACATTCATAAAAAGGATCTTCATCTCCCTACTTGATACACGTTTGACCGCCCCGTGAAGATCCAGGGTAGAATAGGTCTTCAGTAACCCATTCTTGCCGTAAAAGCCAACTATGCTTGTCGTAAGAGGCGACTAACAGGATTGGGTGGTCAGGTGTGCTGACTTTGTTGATGATTGTCATCAATCCCAATTGCGTAGATCGATGCTCATGATGTCAATCACTGGATTGTCTGGTCCAGACTCGATTATTCACAGACTGGAATATAGCTGGAATATTGCTACGTACGAGTGCGAGGTTAAATAACAAACAATCATTTAACTGTTTGTCACTGTAGCAGTCCACATTGGTTGAAAGGAATGACGTGACTAATGTTCCTGGTATGGAACTGTTTAGAATGGTATTAAACTCAGACTCACCTGGTTCACATATTCCAGATATCACACGGTCCTACCTATCCCATGAGTATTGTCGGTCTGGGCGTCACCCCCGGCCTTCACTTCTCCTTCCATTCCTTCAACTTCGGCAACTGTTTCATCCACCGGGCCGGGATGCCAGACCATACAACCACACTCAAGCTCACCAACAAGGACAGCAAGGAAATCAGGTAAGGAAGCCATTTTCTGATACTGTAGAACACGGATACAACGAACATCGATATAGCAAATGAACGGATACAAAGAACTGTTAAAAAATCCTTGATTTATCTCCTATATAATATCATGTAAAATTTACGTATATAACGAACTCTCTACAGCGAACTAACGGATACAGCGAACTGATATCTGATCACCAACAAGCCTATCTACCACTAATTTTAGATGTGTATACCGAACTGAGGAATCTCACTCATTGTGTCATTGACAATTGGCTGTACGCAATCAGCAGTGAATCAACAAAATCGCGAGGAATCAATACAATCAGCGGTGACGGGTCAACCTTGTTAAACTTGCATTGTGTTAATCTTACCTGTATTGGTAATTTTGTCTGTAAAATGAACAATAAACATATAAATTTTATGAGATTGTGTCCAAGTGTCAGCTGCAATTACGTGTATTGTTTTGTTTTATCCAAGATGATAGACGTTTGCGAGCAAAAATGTGTATAACCAGGGACCATATAATAGATATTATATGGTCTCTGGTATAAGGAACAACAGATATAACGAACTGATTTCTCTAGTCCCTTGTAGTATCCATGTTCTACTGTATTATCAACACCTCCACTCTTGGCCACAATGACTGGTTAAGACTTGGGACAATGGATAAGTCTGCTTCTACCCCTGTTCTATCACAGCCTGTCAGTTTATTGTGGGAGGAAAGCCTGAAGTGATGCAGATCTCATGAGTTTACCACTTCGGTGAAACCCACCAGTATGGGTATGGTGTTGACACACCAAGAAACATTACTGGGGCAAACTGGGATTTGAACCCATGATCATAGGTTTCTGGCGTGCCCAAGGGACGCAACTCTGCATGCCAAATTGCTGCACCTTAGACGATTGGACCGCCTGTGACCCTCCAAATAAAGAGCTGTCCTTTTGAATGATATATGATGTAATTATGTTATAGTAGTATTGTGTCGTTATCTCCTTCCAGCATCGACTGTCTGTATGAACCGACCAATCATCTGCATCACAACTTTGAGGCTGGAGTCGTTGCCCCTGGACAGTCAGTAGATGTGACCTTCACCTTCTACCCAAGGGAGACAATGAGATACCATGAGGTGGTCACGTTTGAAATCAATGGTCTCTCAAAGCAAAGTGTGGAATTTGTTGGGCAGGGAACAGAAATGAAAGTAAGTTGATGAAAGGGTGTTCTGAAGAATTGTAATTGTGAAAGGGTATTTTAAGTTTGTATACAATCAGGCCAGTGTATCTCGCAGATGCTAATTAGAATGAATAATGTCTTTAATATTCTGTTGTCTTAAGTTTTATCATTGTAAGCTTGACAACACAGATATGTGAAAGAAGATTTTAGGACAACATAAAATAACTGCTATGATTATTTTTAATACGCCAATCCATTACTTCCTTTTCTAAACCCTCTGTTTAACATTCTCAGATTGAGGTAGCAGACCCCAAACACAAGATTGTCAACCTCGGTCCAAAATATGTTGGTGATGTTGTGAAGAAGTACATCCCGATTGTCAACAACAGCCCTGCTGCCATCACCTTCAACCTTGCCCTCACCCCCACAGCCCCCGCCCTGCAGCAGCCGGACGTCCTCAGTGTCTCCCCCACCCAGCCCATCCGACTGAGTCCCCGAGGGGGCACCTGCAAGGTGGAGATTGTCTTCAAGCCCAAGTCCAGGATACCACAGTTCACAGAGGAGGTAGGCATCTTTGTTTGTTTGTTGTTTAACGCCGCACTCACCAATATTCCAGCTATATGACGACGGTCTGTAAATAATCGAGTCTGGACCAGACAATCCAGTGATTGGCATCATGAGCATCGATCCACGCAATTGGGATACAATGACATGCAGTAACCAAGTCAGCGAGCCTGACCACTGATCCCGTTAGTCGCCTCTTACGACAAGCATAGTCGCCTCTTACGGCAAGCATGGGTTGCTGAAGACCTATTCTACCCTGGATCGTCATGGATCGGTATGCATCTAGCTTGCTGTCTGTGTACATAGAATTGGTCCCCAGCAAGATTGTGTTGTAAGAGTTGACAACATGGACGTGATGATCATGAACGATGACTTGGTTGATTGTGTGTCAGTGTGCCCCGATGGTGTTGGATGTTGCACATAATATCAATCACTGGTTTGTCTGGTCCACACTTGATTGCTTACAGACCACCCTCTTACAGCTGGAGTGTGGCTTTAAACAACAAAGACAAGTTTTCTGTGTTAATGCATTGGAGGCAACATTGTTAGGTCACATTGATCACTTGCCTGACTATCTATTTTTCATGTTTAACAAACATTTTTAAGTTATTAATTTACAAAACTATTGGATGTTGATAAGCATTTCTTCATTATTCCAAAAGTCGAATAGTAAAATAACTCACTTTCAATGATTTGATCTGTAATATTGGGGTTACAAAATTGGTGAGATTTTGTGCCCTGGTCACATATGGAGGATGATTTCTTTTCAATGATTGAACTTAGAACAAATATCTCTCCCCTGATGTCAGTTTACAGTGAAACTATGGTCTAGTTTGATCATGACTCATTCAAAAGTGTCAAAATGCCAAATCACTTGTGATTTAGTACAAATTCTTCCCTCCCCTAGCTATCCCGATGAAGCATGAGAGCACTGTAACAGGTTTGTGCCTTGTGTCCTTGTAGGTGATGCTGGAGTGTGCTGGGCTGTACCAACCCCTGTTTGTGGTGAAGGGGTCATGTTTGGGCATGGAGATCGCCCTGGACACAGAGGGTATTCCCTTCGGCACCGTGGTGCAGCGCAGTCAGAGCACCCGCAAACTGGTCATGTGCAACACTGGAGACATGAACGCCAAGTGAGCAAACATTGTATAGCTGTCACCAGCTCCATACCCGAACCAAGCATAAACACAGATAGACATCACTATTGAAGCATTCTATTGATATAGCCTGATCAATTTGCACCCCATGAAGATTCCTGGCAGAAAACTTATGCGTTAACTTGTGAGTTAGTGAGTGTGTGAGTGAGTGAGTGAGTGAGTGAGTGAGTGTGTGAGTGAGTGTGTGAGTGAGTGTGTGAGTGAGTGAGTGGTTTGTGAGTTAGTGAGTGAGTGAGTATGGTTTTCCAGCAATATCATGGCAGGGGACACCAGAAATGGGCTTCACACATTGTACCCATGTCAGGAATCGAAGCTGGGTCTTTGGCGTGACGAGCGAACGCTTTAACCACTAGGCTACCTGACCACCCCCTATGACTTATGAGGAGAGGGTAGTTACAATGTGTGACCTGGTTGTGTGAAATTGCTCACAGATGTTCATGCTATCAACCAGTGGTTTACCTGGCGCTGACATGCTACCTTGATTAAAGCTGGAATAATGATGAATGCAGTTTAAAACAAGGTTCATGGATTGATCACTTGGCAGAGCTGCGGCTGATGTTCAGTTCAGTATGGGGGGCCATGGTGTAGCCTAGTGGTTAAAGCGTTCGCTCATCATGCCAAAGACCCAGGTTCGATTCCCCACATGGGTACAATGTGTGAAACCCATTTCTGGTGTCCACCGTGTGATATTGCTGGAATATTGCTAAAAGCGGCGTAAAATCAAACTCACTCACTTTTATGTTTTTTCCCCATCTTATTACAGACCTTGAAATAATAGCCAACAAGTTTTGTAGAAAGTTTCAGAATAACTTGAATTGTTTCAGGTTCCGATGGGATGCCAAGCGTTTTGAGCCTGACTTCTCCATCACCCCGGCAGAGGGCTACATCACGTCGGGTATGGAGGTGACTTTCGATGTCACCTTCCACCCCCAGGAGGTCAATCAGGACATCAGATATGACGTGAGTATACCGGGGTAGTTGATTTGTCACCAGGGTCGGGATAATAGTAATGCTACATTTAGGAAACATGTTATAATCACAAACTGAATGTTCCCACAGAGTTCATGGAATCTTTCTTCTTGCAATGATAGACAGGGATGACCCAGCAGTCTAAAGCACTGCAATTCAGTGTGCAGATGTAATTGGTTGATCTGGCAAGGTGACTTGGTTGATTGTGTCATCTTTCCCCGACGGCATGAATCGTTGCTCACAATATCGATCACTGGTTACACTCTGCAGTCCTATAGCTGAAATATTGCCGAGTGTGGCATTAAACAACAAACAGTGCAGAGCTGCACATTTTAACTAATTTTTGATTAATTGATTCTAGATTAATAGTTTTTGCTCTATTGGCACAATACTTATGAATGTTTTATTCATAGGAGGATTAACTTAAGTCATATTTTACTGTCAAATATTTCCAATATTTCTATTCTCTAGAAACTACGTTGCTTCCTGGAGGGGGGGCCCCACAAACCAGTGACCTTGACCCTGACTGGCATGTGTACCGGGGTGGGTCCCAGTAAGGAGATTCAGCACTTCGCCACCCATGTGAGGCAGAAGGATACGCGCAGCATCGCCATTGCCAACCGGACTAACCAAAACTGGCTGCTCAAGCCAGTCATCGATGGAGAGTTCTGGTCAGGACCGGTCACCATAGCTGTGGAACCCCAACAGACCAAGTCATACGAGCTGACATACAAACCGCTGACCATGACCACTGAAAACAAGAGACACACAGTAAGTCCGGCACTTATTGATGGTTCATGTATTGTAAACATATACAAGGCAAAGTATTTTATTCCCTTCAGCCCCAAAGCTATAACAATCTTTGAAGTAAAACAAGATGAGGTGACTGCATCATAAGCCACAATCTGCAGATAGGTCAGGCAATAAATAAAAAAATCTTTATTTGCCCTAAAAAGAATGATAGTCTTAGTTCTCAGGCACCACCCACATCATCATAAAGTCTGTTGCATGTTTTGTTTTTATTTCCATTTGCAAAAAAATATAAAAATCCTATTACTTAAACACAATGCACAAAAAAAATGAAAATGGAAACAAAAACGAAATGTGCAATGAGCTTTATGATGATCTGGGCAGTGCCTGAGAATTGTGACTTATTTTTTTTAGCCTTCTATTAATATTTTATTTTCCTTTTTACCTCACGGTCCTGATGAAATATAGAAAATACATTGTCAGCGGTTCGAGACAAGTTGATATTCGACCATAAAAAAATAGATGAACACTCCACCAGAATGTTATTTGCCTCAAACATTGAGTTTGAGTTAGCAGTGTCTCTTTGTGGAAGGTAATGTGAGTGTTGTGTGCGTGGCAGGGTACAATCTTCTTCCCACTACCGGATGGGACAGGACTGATGTATAACCTGACCGGAGCAGCAGAGCCTCCGAAACCCAACGGCCGGATCCAGCGAGATGTTCCGTGTAAGACGTCCTACGTGGAGATCATGCCTGTACAGAACTGGATCAAGAGGCCGCAGAGGTAACTGAGAAGTACAGATCTACAGCCATACTGGTCCTCCTTTTGATGAAACCCGTGAAGATCCGGGGTAGAATAGGGCTTCAGCAACCCATGCTTGCTGTAAAAGGCGACTATGCTTGTTGTAAGGGGTTGACCAACAGAATCGGGTGGTCAGGCTCGCTGACTTGGTTAATGCATGTTATTGTATCCCAATTGCGTAGATCGATGCTCATAATGTCAATCACCAGATTGTCTTGTCCAGATTCGATTATTTACATAGATGGAATATTTCTGTGTGCAGCGTTAAACAACAAATAAGGAAACAAGCAAATCCTTTTGATGAAGTAGTATAGGAACAGACCTAATATTGTCAGTTCATCTACATAGTGGTGTACAGAGGGGATAAACTCTACCAACAATAAGGTTTACTGCATTCGACTGTAATTCTGTGTTTCACGTTAGAACATAAACTCCACAAGCAGACTGACTGATGTTTCTGATCTTCTACAGATTCCGAGTGAAGACAGAGTCCATCAAGCCTGACAGGTTGGACCCTGGCACCACAGTGAAGGGCATGGAGTACATGGACGTCCCAGCCAACAGCAAGAAAGACTACAAGCTGGCCTTCTACGCCTTCAGGGAGGGAACCACCACACTCAAGGTACATTACGACACATGTATCACAGGGTACCTACGTCTGTATCTCACGTGGACAGTTGATGTCGCTCTTGTTAACTCATTGGTATCATGTAGCATAGAGTAGCATATTTTTAACTCACCTGGGCACCATTCCACAAAGCAATCTTAGCGCTACGACTATCGTAAGCCAGTGTTAAATATGGGAGTTACGATCACCTTAGCGCTAAGATGGCTTTGTGGAACAGGGCACTGGACTGACGATGCAAGTGTGCTAATGTCTTTTTCCTGATATATCTACAGTAAACTACGTTTATAACGAACACACTTATAACAATCTGGCAGATATAACAAACTGGCTTTTGGGTCCCGGCCATTTGCTGTATATATGTTTGTAACAAACTATGGTTATAAAGAACTAAAATTAGTTGCCCATTTCTGGTGTCTCCCGCCGTGATATTGCTTAAAGCAGCGTAAAATCATACTCACTCGCTCACTCATTCTAGATACCAAAAACAGCAATATATGGTATATTGAATTATTGTGAAGCTTCAATTGTTTAACCATCACTGTATGTATTCCAGGTGACATTTGTGAATGAGCAGACCAGTGAATATCAGTATTACGAAGTGACATTCCGGGCCACCAAGCCAGGCGTTCTTTCCTCCATTGACCTGTCTACCCCTGTGAGACAGAGTGTCCACCACACCGTGAAGATAGACAACCCCCTCACCTACCCTGTGACCTTCTCCGTCACCTGCAACATCCCTGAGGTCCTCATGCCCACACAGCTGCAGATACCTGCACAGTCAGAGGTCAGTGCACGCGTTTTAGTTGGAGGTCTTCTGACGGTGACTCTTGACTAGGGCTCAGACGAGTCCAAATTTACTACCCGGGTACCCTATCCCCTAATACCAGACCCTACCCGGGTACCCACCCCCTATTACCAGGCCCTACCCAGGTACCCGCTGTTGGTCTCAAGAAATAGGCACAAAATGTCCGATTGGGAAACGTTTGACCATACTTGTCAAAATGTATTTAGATAGACGTATAAACCAATCTGGTCATGCATACACTGAAGTTGAGTGACGTTTCATCTTTATGCAAACATAAAGTCAGAAGGAATGTGTGCATAGTCAGAAAGACATGTGAACATTTGTCACTTATAGTGTAACCATAGCGTTCTAGATAATTTTCGCCTTAAACAATATAATCACATGACCAACCACGGGTCTGGGTAGTCCTGTGGGTACCCGGGTCCTACTCAATACCCACTCAACCCCTGTACCCAAGTTACCCGTCCCAGCCCTACCTTTGACACCAAGTCGTGTACATGTAGTGCTTTTGTATGTGCGGAACATCGTGAATGCATCCCATAGTTCCTCATGCTTGTTTGTCTGTGGGGATTCCGGATTAGAATAAAGCCAACCTAAGCTTGTCATAAGAGGCATCTCAATGGATGAGGTCAGGCTCGGTGACTTGGTTGATCGTGTGTCATCATGCCCCTCCATGGTATGAATATCGGTGGGAGATATTGCTCGTAATATCAGTCACTGGTTTGTCTGGTCCACACATGATTTTTATTTACAGGCTGTGATCATGTGCTTGAAGGATGACAAAAATACTGAAAAGTTGAGAACCTAAAGCTTTAAAACCTCTGACTTTTTTTACCAGAAATTATCATGTCAATTTTTGGGGAAAAATGGACATATCACAGCTATATTGCTGACCACTGCATAAAACGTCATTCACTCAGAAGTGTCATTTTTTACATTACTGTAAACACTATCTGATCTTCAAATTGTTGATATCGATTCCAGGGTCGCTTCAACTTTGAGTATCAGCCATTGAAAGCAGGAGACATTCAAGGTCGGTTGGAGTTCAACTGCAGTGACCTCGGCCTGTACATGTATGACCTCAACCTCAAGTCAACACCTGGTGGTCCAGAGAAAGCATTGTACTTCAGGACGTGTCTTGGACAAACACAGATTCAGATGGCCAAATTCCTCAACTTTGCCAAACAGAAGACGGACTATGTCTGCAAGGTGACTGAACTTTAGCTTACAGAATTACATACATTGATAATCATTAGGCGCAATCTTGATGTAATATATAACCTATTGCTGTTTATATGTGACATTATGACCCTGAGGAATGGCTTGGTCTCTAACTTTGGTCACTAGCCTGAAGCCCAAGTGTACTAAACTTCTCTTTGGCCTTGTAAGATCACCTATAACATAACTATGCTATGCAAATGCTTAACCCACATGGCCACCACATCGTCTCCTTAACATGTACAGTCAAGTCCCGTTAATCCGACAACGATAACGATAACACATAACAACTGTTGACCGATTCACAATACTTTTGAAAAATTAGTCTGGAATAGAAGTTGCCAGTTTGAACCTAGTGCCGCAAAGCTCAAGACAGCAGCTTTCTTAGTGGCTAATGTAGACTTCCTGTTAGTCATTTCATTGGTAGGTCAAAGGTTGTTCTGTCATGACCTGTAATGGGTAGAGGAAACTTATATCTGATTGTTAATTGTTTATTGTTAAGCAAGCTTATAACTGCAGCCATTGTAATTTGCAGCAACTAGCCGATTTGTCTCATATCAAAACATTGGCTCGCACTGAATACACTAATCACTGTGTCGGATTAGCGAGACTGATTTATGAGTGATTTCAGTAATTCGTTGTGTTGAAGTTGTTGTGCAGAAGTTGTTGTGCAGAAGTTGTTGTGCAAGACTGTCGAACGAATGGGTCTAAATAGCAGATTTGATTGGTTCCCATCACTTGTGTCGGATAAAGCCGATTATTGGATTAACGAGTATGGGATTAACGAGACTTGACTGTATGTGTGTACTTTAGTTCATGAAGATAACATTGTTCCTGCTGTTATTCCAGGTGGACAACCCTGACTTCCATGTGGACAAAACACTCACTGCCGCCCCGGGCTCCACTGGAGGTACCGAGGTCGCTCTCGAGGTCATGTTCGAGCCATCCAAACTGGGAGAACACCGTGGCATAATAACAGTGTCCTCACCAATCGGAGGAGAATACACCTTCCCTCTGTTTGGTACGTGCATCCCTCCCAAACCTCAAGGTCCGTTCCTGGTGAAGGCTGGTTCCTCCACACCCATCATATTCCGCAACGTCTTCGGCAGCAACACCCCTTTCACCTTCCAGGTAGACAACGAGCACTTCGGCCTGGCCAAGCAGGGGGAGACTATCCGAGCTCATAAGGATCATCGTATTATTGTCAACTTCGACCCTGGCGAGAGTGGTCCAAAAGCTGTGATGATGGGGAAACTGACTGTCACATGTGCTCGGTCAGCCGGTGGCAATTCTAGTGTCCAGTGGGTGTTTTACCTCAAGGGGTTGACGCCATGAAGCGGACATGTGTAGTGTGATTGACTTTTTGTGTGTACATATTTTGTTTCCAGTTGTTAATAGTGGCTACAAGTACTTGTCAGATATATAACATTCCAACACAAATCATATGTTATTTATATGAAACAGATATTCCGTCCAGGTTTATTTTTCATACTGTGATAAAATAGGACTGAATGTGTTTGAGAATTTATTTATAATTTGTATGCATATACCACAAATGTTGCTCCCAGTTGAGTTTTCTGGTTTTATTGGAATGAATATGAAACATTTCTCTAAAATCAACCAAGGATTTACATTTTTACGTTATATACAAAAGATAATATGAACTTTGTTACTAAATACAATTGTTCTATACTTATGTATTTGTTGGTAAGAAAACATTTGTCAGTGCTTGAACACAATACAAAAATGACCCAAAGACAATAAAGTATTTGAAATAAATATTGATAAAATATTTAACACCCAAGTAAGACAGCAGAATTCATTCGTCAGCACTATTCTTGAAACTAACAACAAAGAATCAATTCTGTAATGCATTTGACAACAAATATTTTTAACAGTGCATAATGAACAGGCAGAGAACCTATACTTGTTGAAATCCTTTCATGTGAAAATAATGAGTGGCTCCCAGATTTACAATAAGCTGTGAAGGTCTGGATTGCCCCTTAGTATTTGTGACAAGTGCAGCTTGATGAAGTGTCTGCGATGTGTTATTCATCCAATATTTGTACATTTCTGTAATATATTAAATATATTTCCTGAAACTCTGTGTTATGTATTGTATAAATCATTGTCCATGGATGAAGATATCACCGACTTCAAAACTTCAACAGAACCAAATGTGTTCATAGAAAAACAGGGTTGCATGCATTCATTTAAAACACAAACCTTATTAATTTGAGGAGTTTACATTGGGGTGAGGTGATATGGGGTTTAACGTCGCGTCCAAGATTATTGCATTTATATAGCGACGTGCGTGTGTGTGTGGTTGCTTGTACTAGTCTTGACTGATACCAATTTATAGTGCTAGCTCACAGAGATACCATGCCGCAGTTTAACAATAATATTAGCAATATTCCAGCAATATCACGGCCGGAGACACCAGAAATGGGCTTAACACATTGTACCCATGTGGGGAATCGAACCTGTCTACAGTGCGAAGAGTGAACGCATTAACCACAAGGCTACCCCACCCGCCCCTAGCTAAGACAAGGAGAACAAGATACATTTATTAACTGATATCAATAGTAAAAATCTGGTTGGGGAATTTAGTGTGAACACAAAGTGATTGTCGATCAGTGACTCAAAAAGATTGGGAACTGGAGAAAACATCCGTCCTTTGAGGACCAGAGGACGATTTCTCTAAACATATCGGACATTTTCTCTAAGTACAAAGCATGATTTCTCTAAAGTGGTGGCCGTCCTCTCTAATTGACCCGCGGGCCGTTTTTTGTGGGCGGCCGTTTTCCCGAAAACCCAAAAGATTAATTGAATAAAACACATTTTGTGGCAGTTAAAATTAACTACAAAAACTAACATTATTCTTTTTCAGAGTAAGCTTATTTTATTGCCATAAAGAACAAATATACACATTTGGTACTTGTATTGAGAATATTGAAATATGTAGGCTTGACTTCCTCAGAACATGAAAAAAACTTCCTCTTTGTCCAGAAATGACATGGGATCTGAGCCCAACATCTCACACAGAAGTATTTCCTGATAGGTTGAATGTGAGTTAAGAGTGTGTGTTTTATTGAGCATACAGGTAGCTGGTCATCTTAAAACCCATGTTGGAACGCTATCACTTCACTGGGAGAAATTCTAAGAGAAGGTAATTTGTGTGTGTGTACATGTACTTCTAATGTACCAGCCTCCATACTCTCAGTGCATGCTCAAAGTGGAAACATTATTACCCTGGTCAACTTGATTTTCATTCTCAGCTCCCTGGGGAGTATACAACCCAAGCTTCATCCTGCCAGGTACCCAATTTACTGCTGGGTGAACAGAGGCATATTGTGAACAAAATCCCTTGCAGACACACCATATGTGCTACATGTACTTCAGGGTGGGGCAGGGTAGGGCAGGACCGAATCCCTAGAAAGTCTCAGGGGTCAAGCTGCCGAACGGGGTCACCCATCCAACACCACTTGATTTGTGCACTGTACACAGGACCATGTGCCTACTTGTAGAATGAGTAACTGAATGTTTCACTTCACAGTTAACATATTATTCCAGTGATATGACAAGTTTTGACGAGGCAAGAATTGGTATAATTCACTTATCATATAATGGAGTGTCATAGATGTGAAGAGGTATTGCGCACATAAAATCCTTGCCGTAAATCATCGGTAACACTTTGAGTTACTATTTGCTGTTAAAATTTATTTATAAACTGTTAAAATATAATATTATGTAGCAGTATAAATTCTGACGTTTTGTTACTTGTTTTTTGGCAAAAAGTTAACAACTTTTCCAAGGTACCCTCGTTTCGTAGTCTTTCCCGCCACAATAGCCATGCGAGCCAAGGTGCAAGGTTCACGACACAACTTAGATCCTTGTTTTACATCATGTTCAACTTCACGGAACACCAATAAACAAACAGTGATAAAACCTTTCGCTCTTCTGTGCTGATATTCCCACGTTACAAAACGGTGTCAGAAGTGGGATACAGAAGCGATGTGAGTGAGTGAGTGAGTGAGTGAGTGAGGTTTTACGCCACTTTTAGCAATATTCCAGCAATATCACGGCGGGGGACACCAGAAATGGGCCAGAAGCGATGTGAAGGTAATCCCCAGGGTGTCAGTAATGAAGAAGTCGACGTGAGGGAGGGTCATACAGCCAAGATGTCTGGGTCTGCCAGTCCAAGTCATCTCAACTTATAGGGGGAAGGTGAAATGTCTGATGGAACGATGGAAGCTGTCGCAAAAGAGTTGGAAGTCCTGAGGCTGAAAGTGAGGGAACTTGAGGAAGCTCTCGCCGTGAAGATTAACAAGACCATCCTCTTGTCCACTGGTCGACAGACTGCTCGTTTCTAAGACAAAGCAAAAAAATCTGGTGACGTCTCACAATTGAAATGCGCTGGATAGACCCGCAAATTGAAGACCGAAGATTTTGCAGTTCTGCTGTGTGAGAATCTTAGTGGACAGGCCAGGGTATCAGACGTCAGAAATTCTCCAGCCAACACATTACGAATCTTGCAGAAAGAGTTCAGAGAAGGGTGTGACTTACCATCGGCACAGCACCGCTTTTACTCCTATGTAAATCGTCTGGACAGGAACAGGTGACTGTATCAATCCATCTTATCAACCTTTATGACAAGATCACCGAATTTGACCCTACCTTCATCAGCAAGGAGTCTGCATTAAAAGGTCAACTGGCAGAGGCTGTACAGAGGGACATCCAAAAAACAAGAGACGAGGCGTCTAACTATTGAGCACCCCAGTATGAGTTTCCTGGGCTTGAGGGATCACCTTATTGAATGGCATGGCAGCACTTCAATAAAGGAAAAGAATGTCCACTATCAAGAACATAGGGCAAACGTCAAAGATGTCTTGAAGTGACAGAAGGCCATGACAGAGCAACAACAAAAACAGATCCAAGAGCTCCTCGGTATAATCAGTGCTTGGCCAAGGACAAGGCCTTGCTGGGAGTGTGGCGAAGAGGGTCACATGCGCCGCGATTGTCTAAGCCGGTCTGCTTCCCGTCTAGAAGACTGAAACCTTTAAACAAGTAGAACCGTCAGCGGTGGACCTCACTGTGAACAAAACAATGGTCCTCTCTTGCATAGACTAGTAGGGAAATGTCCAGAGACCATTATTTATGTCAATTGGATCAAGATCCGATGTCCGGAGTACAGGTGTCGACGATTACAGAATCTTTTTACCTACCAGAATTACTTTCAAGGAGGACTGATCAACACTAAGGCTGCCAATGGAAGGACATCCCCTACTTGGTCTACATGGCATTGGATGAAGTTACTTTATTAACTCAATAACCATAAACTCAAATCTATAGGATTCCTGGTAGTTAAAGACTCTTTAGACCCTGCAGTGCAAGAACGAAAATTAGAAGTCCCTGAAGTTTTAGGATCCCACGCCCTTAGAGACATGAAATCCCTTTCAGAAACAGACAGCGTAGCGGTTGAGGATGAAGTACGAGATCTTTTGGCGTACTAAGATGAAATCGCAACAGCAAGAAGTGATGCCATGGTGAGGACAGCTGGGAAGAAACCAACACTCATACCTGCAAGATCACTGCAGGTCCTGGAAGGAAGTGTAGCACCATCAAAAGAGCTCTACACAGCTGTCATTGAAAAATATTTCACTTCCCCTCCCTAAAGAATTAGTGCTTGGACCAACAGTGGTGACAGTTGACAAAACCGGACCAGTTCCTTTCCAAGTTGCTAACTTCAGCGATAAAGACATCTATTTATGGCCAAGGATACCTGTAGGAATGCTCAACGTTGCTGAGGTAGAGCCTAGAATAGATGTAGTTGACGTCGGCTTAAATGAAGTTAAAGTTACTGAGGTATCCCATTCCACACATGGAGCAGATCTGGTGGAAAATCTCATGAAATGTATGGAAATTAACAGCGATTTGGCTTCCTCCCAACAGGATCAGTTGACTGAAGTTATTGGCAAACATTCCAGCACTTTCAGCAAGGACAAGGATGATATCAGATTCTGTGATGCCATTAAGCATAGAATTATGACACCTGCTTATGCCCCAGTTCACATTCCACATCGACGTACTCCCCCAAGCCACTGGCCAGAAGTATGCGAATATATAGCAAGAAGTTGATGTGTTCAGGGAGTCATCCAGTCCTTAAACGTCACCGTGCGGAAGGGAGGTGAGCTGTGACTATCGTGCGTTGAATACGAAAACTCGGAAAGACGCCTATCTTCTACCATGGACAGAAGAAGCCGTCACTGTATTGAAGGATGCGAACTACTTCTGTAGTCTTGATCCCGCCACGGGTTTAATCAGATAGCCATTGCAGAAGCATACATCGGAAAAACAGCCTTTCTGACAGGAACAGGTGGCTTGTACGAGTTCAGAGAAGGGTGTGACTTACCATCGGGTTTAAACAGATACCGGTAGCCATTGCAGAAGCATACATCGAGAAAACAGCCTTTCTGACAAGAACAGGTGGCTTGTACGAGTATCTGCGGATGCCATTTGGATCACCCGGAACCCCAGGGACTTTCATGAGACTGAAAATATCCAAACTCTCCTCATTTATCTGGACGACATTCTTATAATCAGGACATCATTTGAGTAAGCTCTGTAACGTCTGGACACGATGCTGACCAAATATAATCTAAGTAAAAATGTCAACTCTTCAAAGAAAAACTTCAATATCTTGGACACATCGTCTCCAGACCCAGAAAGGATCATAGCTGTGAGTAGTTGGGCAGTTCCTAAGACAGAGACACAGTTGAGAGCCTTTGTTGGGATGGCAGGTTACTCTAGAAAGTTTGTTCAAGGCTTTGCCAGCATTGCAGCTCCTTTAAATTCTCTGCTGCAATGCAAAAGGTTGGAAATATAGGAAGAAGAAAAGTTATGCCAGGGGGTGGCAGGAAAGCTTGGGACAGCTCTTGCATCTTCATCTTACCATGGCGCCAGTCCTGGGGTACCCTGATTTTGACAGACCGTATATCCTTGAGGTTGATGCTAGTCACTATGGATTAGGAGCAATTGTGTCACAGGAACAGGAATCTGGAAAAGAGGTGCTGAGATTTGCTAGCAGATCCTTGAGACCATC